GCAATATTTATAAATAACCCCGTGACGCGCGGCATGTGCGACCGATAGGCGATCCGTGTGCTAAAGATATTCAAGAGCAAATGTACAGGGAAATCTATATGTGAAATATATACTAACATCAAAAAATTTGTATATACCTACAATCCCCCACCCCTCAATTTATTAACCCTAAAAAAATTTCAAAAATAATCAGAACTCTTTGAAACCCAAAAAAACAAAGTTTGAGCTGTTTATATTTTTTTTTTTTCGTTTTCGCAATAGCCAATTTTCAAAAATTTTCGCGAATACATTCATTTCTTTCCCAGAGGCGTAGGAAGTAAAAAAATATGCATCTGGAATTGTAATACTGATTTGAATTACTATTTTGGAAAAAAAAGATTGTAAAGGAGAATTATTGAGCTCACCAATTGTCGGCTAACCAATGTAAAAGCGCAAACGGCGTAACTCGACACAAACAGACGTCAAGCAACGGGGCGCGGGAGGGAGATTTGTTAGGATGGGGGATTTGAAGACATACTGGCCGTCTGCCGCCGTCTGGCATCCGCGTTGGAGGACGCACGAGGGAAAACGTGTGCCATGTGGACCGGGATGCGTGCGCAAAGTCAGCACGTGGTTGGCAACGAAAAGATGCTAGTTAGCGAAAAATCGTGTCAAGTAGACTCCATACATCCCATGCGTTCAAAATAACCTCTAATACAATTTCTTTGGAGCTCTGACATAAATCTGCCTGTCAACAATGTTTGGTAACCGATTTTAATAGATCTTGAGACATACTTCTATATAGTATTACGATACGAAATCAAATAACCTCATTGAATTTCACTCCAAGCATAATGAAAATCAGGTATGATATATGTCTGATAATAATAATACCAAACGACAACAACCTCAACATCAAAGAAGCTAAGAAGGCCAGGAAATACAGGGTGTTTCAGAACTATGGGATCAAACTTGTAGGGGTAATTCAGTGTAACAGTAGAAAACATTTGAGCATAGGAACCCATATCCGGCGCTTGAATTTAACAAAAATTAATTGTTGCTAATGGAAAACTTTACCAATCAAGAATTGGCGGATATGCATTTGACATACGGAGCAACAAGCTGCAATGCACGAGCAGCAGCGCGGCTGTATCAATGACCGCATCTTGGATACAAAAAGTTTATTGCTATTCATCGGCAGCTCTCCAAGACAGGCATGTTTAAAATCAACATGCATGATACTGGTGTTGCTCGAACTGTAAGAATGGTCGCATTTGAAGAAGAAGTCCTTTAGCGAATTGCCGACGAACCATCAAGTAGCACACGTCACATTGCAGAGGATATGAATACGAGTAACGCGTCCGTCTGGCGAGTGCTACACGAGCAACAACTTTATCCTTACCACTTCCAGAAAGTTCAAGGTTTGACTGCAGCCGATTATTATCCTAGACCTCAATTTTGTCAATGGCTTCTTCATCAAATCGCTGCACAACCCATTTTTTTATGGACCGGTAAAGCCTCTTTCACAAGAGACGGTATTTTTAATAGTAGGAATAGCCACGTTTGGGACAAAGAAAATGTCCATGCAATTTTTCTTAGAAAATATCAGCAACGTTGGTCTGTCAACGTATGGGCAGGCATTGTTGATGATTATTTGATTGGGCCGTACCTTCTACCGGCACGGTTAACAGGACCTATTTGCCGGCGTTACTTGGAGGAACTTCTTCCAGAACTTCTTGAAAATGTTCCATTGAACGTTCGACAGCAAATGTGGTTTTAGCATGATGGAGCGCTGGCTATACAAGTACGTGAGTATTTGGCTCAGCGGTTTGGGCACCGTTGGATTGCCAGAGGTGGAACAGTTTCTTGGCCTACTAGGTTACCCGATTTAACGTCGCTAAATTTTTTCCTGTGGGGACATGTTAAGTCTTTGGTTTACGAAACTCCAGTAGAAACAGGGCAAGACTTAATTGGACGAATTACAGCAGCATTTGAAATCATTCAAAACGAGTATCAAGTTTTTTGTAGAACTCATGTGCATCGTTTAAATCGGTGTATTCAGGTTGGAGGAAGACATTTTGAACAATTGTTGTGATGATATCATGTACAAAAGGCAAAAATTAAATGCATTAAATTCTATTTAAGCAGTTCATCGTCTTTCTAAATTTTAACGCGTAGTGGCGTAGTGACAATTTTCCGGATATAGATACCTATACTCAAATGTTTTCTACTGTTACACTGAATAACCCCTAGAAGTTTGATCCCTTAGTTCTGAAACACCCTGTATAAAGACCTCGAAATTTAAATATCGCGCATGTGCAAGAACGGTGCCCGTGGTCATCGGAGCTTTGGAGACTGCCACTATGTCATTCAAGAACAACATAAAAGAACTCCGCGGAGATGTTTTTTCAACACAAATTCAAAAGATATCACTGTTAGGAACAGCCAACATCTTGCGGAAAACCGTTTCCGACTAAATACCTTAGAACTCAGGCAGAGTTCAGGTCAAGCTCATCCCTTCCTCCAGGAGATGCAATACAGTAGATACCGTAAAATCATCTAAATATGGTCCAAAACTACATTCAATTTACTTTGTAAGCTTATATATAAAAGTCTATTACCAACAGCGGGAAGGAATTTGATGTAGACTGTACCTTATTGAATTACTGACTATATGTAGTAGTTATTATTGCTTAAAAATACCAACCTATTTTTTAATTTTTTTGTTAAATATTGGACCATAGTTGCATATGATGTTTTTAACTATAGTCCAGATCGAATTTCACCAAGAAAACGTACGCGTATACGAATTTGGACTACAGTTGGAAGGGTCTCATGCAAAAATAGATATATTGAAAGTGATATCTGCAAAAAGAAACTACAAATTACAATCAATAATCTTATTTTTTTATTTATAAGGTACAAATTGAGATCAATTTAACAAAACAGCCTACTCTTCTTAAAACGTCAACAAATGAACAAAGAAAACGTATCTTTCATAGGAACATTTCAAACTGTTCATAGAAATTATTTGAGAAAAGCAATAAAAGATAAAGAAATTAAACAAAAACAATTATTTTTTGGGATTTCCCCACCTACTTTCTAGCTCCGGAACTCTGAATAAAGACCTTTTGGTGCTCATTTTTTTGGGCTCCTCAGTTTTATATTTAATATCACCGAGAGGGTAAAATATTTTGTCCTCTTTTTCTGGCCATTTCCACAACAGTCCAGAACGGGCCATACATTTTACGTAGGCTCCTTCGTCTTCGATAGATTCTATCTGGCCAGGCCATAGTTCCCCCTCATACGCCACGACAACATAATCTTCCGGAACATATTGCAGCGATGCATTGTGAGGAGAACTATCATGCTGCTGTTGTATATTTTCATCTTCCCAATCGTCGGCTTCCTCATTTAGCGGGCCATCGGAATCTGAATCGTCAATAGTTTCCACTGCCTGGTCTTCTTCTGAATCTGTTTCAGTTTCCGAATCTGTTTTCTTCTTCTGTTTTTTTTTCTCTCTTCCATTTTTGTTTCTTGTGGAGGTTGAAGGTTCGGACAGGACTCTTTTGAGTTCTTCAGAAGATACGCTTTTTCCGGGATCTACATTCAATTTGGTCTTGCGACCTCCTTTTCCTTGACACACTACAGCTTGCCGCTTATTTTCAATAAATTGGATGAATGACTCTCCGACGGCCTTTGGATCTAAGGTTGGCTCAGGGTGTTTGAACGTAGGAAGTCTCTCAAGCACTGGCTGTTCATTAGTTGGGAAAATCCCTGTTTTTAAAAAGCCAGCTTTTAGGTTGTCTTCAGTTTTTGGTGCAATTTTTTCCCATAACAGTCCAGAACGGGCCATACATTTTACGTAGGCTCCTTCGTCTTCGATAGATTCTATCTGGCCAGGCCATAGTTCCCCCTCATACGCCACGACAACATAATCTTCCGGAACATATTGCAGCGATGCATTGTGAGGGGAACTATCATGCTGCTGTTGTATATTTTCATCTTCCCAATCGTCGGCTTCCTCATTTAGCGGGCCATCGGAATCTGAATCGTCAATAGTTTCCACTGCCTGGTCTTCTTCTGAATCTGTTTCAGTTTCCGAATCTGTTTTCTTCTTCTGTTTTTTTTTTCTCTTCCATTTTTGTTTCTTGTGGAGGTTGAAGGTTCGGACAGGACTCTTTTGAGTTCTTCAGAAGATACGCTTTTTCCGGGATCTACATTCAATTTGGTCTTGCGACCTCCTTTTCCTTGACACACTACAGCTTGCCGCTTATTTTCAAGAAATTGGATGAATGACTCTCCGACGGCCTTTGGATCTAAGGTTGGCTCAGGGTGTTTGAACGTAGGAAGTCTCTCAAGCACTGGCTGTTCATTAGTTGGGAAAATCCCTGTTTTTAAAAAGCCAGCTTTTAGGTTGTCTTCAGTTTTTGGTGCAATTTTTTCCCATAACTGATTAAGCAGTGAAGGGAATGTCTGTTTTGGAATGGTAGGCAAAACTTGACCTTCTCGCGTAGATTTCCATTCATCCAGTATTTTCCGCCAATGGTCTTTGAGAGGTCGGAAGTATGCCACGTCCAGCGGTTGTGTAAGGTGTGTACTGTTAGGCGGCAATGCGACGAACGCTATGTTGTGGTCTTCGAATGCTTTGACTACCTTGTAGCTGAGATGTGAGCTTAAATTGTCTCCAATTATTACTTTCTTTCCTTCTTCTCTTCTCAGTGCCGGTAACACTGTGGTGAAAAACCAATCTTCAAAACTATTAGCGTCAAACCAACCCGATTTAGATCGATTGTATCGAGTATTGGAAGGTCCTCCTTCGGACCAAGTGTCCCACAAATGTTCAGCTTTGTAATTAACATATGGCGGTAACAGTTGACCTGCGGCATTTCCACACATCATCAGACTAAAGGCGGCTTTCGTTGAGTTTTTAATAGCCTCTGGATATTTTGTGCCACGTTTCGTTAGAACTTTTTTCTTTCCTGGGTCATCAACTAAATTAGTCTCATCGTAATTATAAATCAATATGGGATATTCTCAATTTCCATTTTCAAATGATTGAAATAGTTCTTGATAGCTTCTTCATTTACTGCAGCTCGGACACGTTTAATTTTGCTGCAGAACCTATGCGAAAGCTCTGATTTGTGTCTCTTTAAAAAAAGTTGAGCCCATGTACGACCTGGAAAATTATTTGAAAATTGTGGCACATTCCTTCCTTGCTTGTCCAAATATGTTTTCACTATGCATCGTAGGTCAAATAAAGTGATTGGGAACCCAAAGTGACACATTTGGATGGCGTGATCGACGAATGAGGATTCTTCTTTCGTGGTGAATACACATTGCCGACCAGGTGGGCGAATACTATTGTTGCGTATTGCTTTTATTTTCAGAATTACTGAAGATCTTGGTATTTTATATTTTTCTGACGCCTCCCTTTGAGTTAATACTCTGTTTTCTATATCCGATAGGCACAGTTCCATCTGTCTGTCGCTATAATACTTGTATGGCCTGCCTCCTAGCTTTCTTCTGGACATTTTCAGTGAGTCATCCATCCACACCTGTAATAAAAATGAACTTCTAAATATGGTCCAAAAAAATCATAGGACTATTATTGAAACCAAAGTACGAAAAATTATTATTTTTCGATTAATTTTTATAACAACACCTATATGTGAAAAACTATTTGCACAAAGTAGTCACTATTAGCTTACCTTCAAACAAAAACAAACCGCGAAACTCGGCACAAACTGCAAGTAATGTTTTCAAATAAAAGTTTCGTCATCCCATAAAACACGCACCGACTTGTTCAATTTGTCGGCCGGATTGCCTTACCGAGCGGTGTTGCCATCTAGTTAGAAGCGCGGTAACTATCAGACTTATACCCATAGGCAATAATGATACACATTAAATTCACTTGGCGGCAGCACTTTCGAACTTTTAAAGACAAAAATGGACAGGTCATTTTGGATCATAGTTTATTTGCTGAAGTAAATAGCACAGCGCAGCAAAATATTTGTACATAAACGGAATATGTTAAAAAGTTTGAAGAAAACATTTTTTATACTGTTTTAATACTGTTGTTTTTCCGTAACTATACATAGTTGGCTGCGGAGCAGTGGTCTGGTGGGCAACGTACATTTCTGATTAAGTCATAATATAAAAATAATAACTGTTTGGTTGCCGCTCAGCGACATTTCCGACTTTATTTACAAATTAATCTACATTCTACATGGTTCAGCTGTCAATGTCAAACATAAAGGATCAAAGAAAAGTGTACGAACGCCTAAAACATCGACCCTGTATGTGGAACACAGTCCAAAACGTTCAACCCTTAAACGAGCCCAAGAATTTGTAAGACATATTTACTTTGAGTTTTGCATCAAGTTCACAATCTTCATGCATACAAAATTCAAATTGTCTAAGCAGTGAAACCAACAGACATCCTGGCTCGTTTACGTTTTGCTTAAACCGTGCTTATAAATGAAATCGATATACACAATTTGTGACGAGTCGCATTTCCATTAATCCAGCTATACCAACAAATAGTTAATAATAATATAATTAATGGATTATAGCGCCATACTTTTTTGAAGATGAGAATGAGAATTCTGTTTCCATTAACTCAGTGCATTATACCAATATGATAAACCAGTTTTTGAGTCACCGCTTGAACAGATTTCCGCATAATAATCAAACATGGTTCCAGCAGGATGGTGCTACTTCTCACACCACGAGAGCGTCATCAAGTTCATTGTAAAGATTGTTTCCGCAACGTGTTACTCGTATTCCCAGATGAGGAGACGTAGACTGACCACCAAGGTCGCCAGTCCTAACAGCTTGCGATTACTATATTATTTCAAGAGTGCATACAGAGAAAGGGAGGACATTTACGCGGTATCATTTTTAAGAAATCGAAATGGCATATTACTAATTGTTAATGTTATACTATACTGTATTTTATTTAAATTAAATTGCCTTTAGAATCATAAAGTATTTAAAACTTCCCGCTCCCGGAACCACCTTGTACATATCTGATCCAAATGCAGCCATATAGCTATTACACGTTCATTTAGAAAGCCCCAAAGAAATGTGACTACAAAAAATTAACTTTCATTAGTTTGATCGCTTGTGTTTCACTCACATTAGTGCGCAATGAAGTGTTTTTCAAAAATAAAATTTTTATATTCAATTTTAAACTGGTTTGTATGCCGAATTTCCAAGTTACTAGAAAATTGATTGTAAATCCAATAATTTTTTTATGAGAAATATCTACAAAAATAAGAGGTTTGATGGGGAAGAGCTGATATGTAATCCGCAAATTTGAATTATTAACATCGATACAAAAAGTGTTCCTATAGAATGAATGTCATGGTTGAAATTGTAAATGAATCTTAGGCAGAACTTGTGTCCACATTCAATTCTGTCCATGTCAATCTTGTCTAAACAAAGCCTCATACACGCTATTACAAAAATTAAAACGCTTGAGCACTGGTGCTTAACAAATCAATATTTCAAGTACAACATGGAAGACATATCGATGAGCATACAGAACTTTCAGAGAAGCATAAGCTTTCTGGATACATTTATTAATATGAGGCTTGAATCTTGAAGATTTGAGTCAAATTCTGCCCGTATGTAGTGGCTGAACAAGGTATAGATTCAGTTCTTTTTTTTACATGAAAAGTGGGCTCAATATTGTCTTTTAATCTGCCAAATACCATGATATGTGTTTTGGTAGCATTACTCTGTAAACCATGATTTTCTAATTCTAATTTTTCAATATCCCAATTACTAGTGGCCAAGTCATCACGTTTCTCGTTAGGATTGAAAGAAATACAAATGTACCTGACAATTTCGGAGGAATAATTACTAAAAATCAGAGGACCTAAAATGGAGCCTTGTGGTTTACCCGATAGAATGGCCGGACAAGACATAACCAGAATTTTTGTATTACTCCTCGACATAGGTCTGCAGCATTTCAACGTTCTTTTTCATTTCTTGCAGTTAAAATGTGGAACAGTCTAAATAATGATGTAAAGGTAATGTCACAAAGAGTGTTCTCAAAGTATGTAATGGCCATGCTTCTTCAGGATCAATAATACAATAATGAGTGTGATTGTGCACGGATACTTGTTGTCAAGTTTATTTTTTCAAATTTATCTTTTTATTAAGATGGAGAAGCGAGCATGTGATGATAGATCTTGTATGTGTGTGTAGATGTATTTCGGTGTTGTTAACTGTATGAGGGTTCGTCGTCGCGCATTCGCAGTACACACGCCGAGGAGTGAACCACGCCGAACCGACAACAGTGAGACCGCACGCGACACAGGCGACACGCGCGCGACCGAGACGCGCGGAGACGCGGAGAGAACGCCGGAACGCGAGGGTGACGCCCACCCAACAGGCAAAGCCTAAACCGGGCGGACGAAAAACTTTTACACAATTTCCACTCGTCGGAAATTGTGTAAAACCCGAACCCAGCGAAAAAGGACGCAACAAACAAACCAGGTGAAGTGCAGTGAGTCCAAAAGGGCACCTGTGCATAAGAATTACACAATTTCCAGCGCGCGCGGCACAACTGGAAATTGTGTAAAAGTCGAACTTTAAAAAGTCGACACCGCACCAAAAAATAACGGACGAGGAAAACGACTATTCCTCAAACAGTGAAGAAGAGGAAGCTGCTCAAGATGCGGATCACCGTAAATTGAGCAACAATGAAAAGATGAAGAAGGAAAATTAAGAACTAAAGAGGCAGATAGCCGAGCTATCTTGCCAATTGACAGACCTGACCCGTCAACTGGTGGAAGAGCGAAGGGTGAGCGCAGAGGAGCGTGAAAAGACCAACAAATTGATCCAGCTGATGGCCTTCAGGCAAGGAATTGAGGTAGAAGACTTCAAAAACATAACGATGAAGCCTGAAAAAGATAAGACGGTCCCGCATCAGCAGCAGAAGAACGAGAAGAGAAGGCTGTCTAGTACCTCCTCAGAAGAAGGGAAGAAGAGAGAAGCCCCTAAGAAGAAGGCACCTCGAAATGATGATGATGATGAAGCGTCCACGTCGGCAACAAAGACAGCTGAAGTGGATGCGATGGAGCAGTCTTCCATCCCCACCCCCAAACCTCCGTCGGCGGAGGGAAGCAAGAAGAAGGAGAAGAGGCCACCACCACTCTACATCCACAAGGAAGAGCAGTGGAAGGAGGTGCTAAATAAAAAGATGCTCTCCATCGAGAAACCTGCACGACTGACAGGCGCAGGTATTAAGGTCCAACCAAAGGTACAGCGAAGAATACAGAAGGGTCAGGAAAACCCTAGAGGATGCCAAAATTCAGCATCATACAAACTCCCTTCCGGAAGATAAGCCACTGGGAGTGATATTAAGGGGAGTGCCCATCGTTACCACCTGCCAAGAGATCGGAGAGGACTTGGCAAGGCAAGGTTTCCACCCAAAGAGGGTGAGTAGGATGACCAGCAGAAGGACTGGCAAAGCAATACCGCTGGTTAAAGTAGATCTCCCGAAAGAAGAGACGGGGATCTACAAGATAAATGCTGTTTGCCACATGGTAATCCAAGTGGAGGCACTTAGAAAGAGGACCGGACCAGGTCAGTGCTACCGTTGCCAGCAGTTTGACCATAGCCAAATGAACTGCACGGGAGAGCCGCGCTGCGTTAGATGCGCAAGTGTACCAACTGCGGGGGAGAGCATCCCGCAAAATTTCTTCATTTGGGAGATGGGAGAACACCTGTGGAGCAAAGAACAGTGAAGAGAGTGGATTGGCAGCGATTTAGAATCAGACTGCACTATTCACTAGGACCACTACTTCTAAAAGGAAGATTAAGGCTGCGTTAGAAGCCGCAACCACCGAGGAAGACATAAATTCAAATTCAAATTCAAAATATTTATTTCGTCATGAATAAACATCATAAACAAAAGAAATTCTACATATAGCGTAATGACGAAAAAGGACAGTATCTCGATTATAAAACCGATACATTGGACCCTTTAATATAGAGAGTCCATGCGAAAAAGCCCTGAATACCCTAAAAGTCCTTAAACAAAATAAAAAAACAATAAAGAGGCAAATGAAGAGGCGGTCAAACACAAAAAAGGCAAAAACGAAGAAAGAACCCCCGGAGCTGGCAACGGACGCGAAAAACAAATCTTTACAACCTGTCAGCGAGTAGGAATGTAAAAACGATATTTTTGCTCACACAAACGCTGCTAAAGTAGCTGGTGATTCTGTAACAACGTTTTTGTCAGTTTTGAGAATGTTTTTGACGATGAGCTTTTAATTGAAGTTGGTAAATTATTCCATAAGTGAACCGCCACACAGGCAAACGATCGTCGGAAGGAACGCGTTCTATGCCTAGATACAATAAAATTGAGATTATTTCTGCTTCTCTGGGGACTAGGCAAAGGCACAAATCTTTCTCTTAAATAGGGCGGTTGACCTGTTTTTATAACCCTATAGATAAAAGAATACATGTGATATTTTCTGCGATTCGTCATGTTTAATATGTTGTAGTTATTCAGATAAGGAGTGATATGGTTTCGATATGGAATTCCAAACACAAATCTCATGCAACTATTTTGAACTTTTTGTATGCATTTTTTGGTTCGCGATGATAGCGAATCACCATAGACGACATCTCCATAGTCAAAAAGTGATAAAATTAAGGTATTACACAAATAATATTTTTGTTTGGCTGATAAATGTTTTTTTAATTCGTTTATATTTTTTAGTCGCATGTAAGCTAAATTTGTTCTGTTTTTTATATGACTGCCGAAGCCAAGCGAGCTATCAAATATAATGCCTAGATTTTTTGACTCCTGAACTATGGGAGTTCTGTCATTGTTAATAGAAATTACTAAATTTTGTTCAAAATGTTCTCTTTCAGTACTGTTTTTATTCATAACCATTACTTGCGATTTTGATGGGTTTAGTTTAAGATTGTGATGCTTTGCAAATCCGTCAATTCTTTGGAGATCTGAATTTAGTTGTTGTTGTGCAATATGGATTGTGTTTTTATTGACAGAGAGATATATTTGTGAGTCATCGGCATATTGTTTTATCTTTGCGAATTTTACCGATTTGACCATGTCAGATATGTAGATTGAAAATAGCAAAGGAGATAAAATTGAACCTTGAGGAACTCCTCTGTTTATAGGTTTAAAATCGGCTTTGTAAATAGCAGAACCATTTGCTAACATTACACAGTTTGAACGGTTGCTTAAGTATGTTTTTATTAGATTTACGGAGTTCTGCGAAAACCCCTGGTAATGTAACTTAGCTAGTAACATTTCATGATTCAGAGTGTCGAACGCTTTACTAAAATCGAGAAAAACCATGCACGTACTATTTTTTTGTTCTTGATGATGTCTGATATCATCCAAGATATTAACTAATGATGTACTTGTGCTAAAGTTTTTCCTAAAACCGGATTGACTATCGGGTATGATATCGTTTGTGTCACAAAAAAATCTAATTTGATTATAAATATGCCTTTCTAAAATTTTGGATGTAGCGGGTAATATGCTAATAGGCCTCAAGTCTGTAAATTCTTTAGGTTCTGCTATTTTTGGTAAGGGTTTAACAATAGCTTTCTTCCATATTTCTGGAAATAATCCCCTCAAAATACATGTGTTGATTATATTCAGCAAGGCATTCGTACAAAATCGGTACATAACTTTAGGTCTCTCATAGAGAAACCATCCTCCCCAATGGCATTTGATGAGATATTAGTTACAATTTTGATTTGACTGGCCCTGTCTAACAGTTGGAAGCTAAGAGAATCGTTAATGTTTACATTGTTTTTTGTAAAAATTTATTAATTCTTGGGAAGCAGTGTCTGCTGGAAGTAATTGTGTATGTCATTTACATTTTGTAAGTGTTCGGGTATAGTTGAGTGAGTTTTCTTGCATGTTATGTTGAGCTTTTTGGTAGTGTCTCAAAATTCCTTACCTTTCTTTGTTGAGAGTAAGTTAAAGAATGTATTTTTTTCTCGGATAATTGCATGCTTTGTATAGTTCCTTAGTTGTTTATAATATTCAAAATGAGCCTGTGATTTTGATTTTTGAAATTTTTTATGAGCTTTATCTCTTAGTCTGATTAAAATTCTTATATTTTGAGTTATCCAGGGTACATAAGGTTTTTCGGTTATTTGTTTTGTTTTTATCGGAGCATGTTTATTCAGAACAGTTACTATATTTTTATTAAAGACTTCTATTTTTTGGTCGATTTGGTTTATATAGTAAATATCCTCCCACCCAGGTAGAAGCCCTTCATTTAAGAAGGATTCTCTATCTATATTATTGTAGTCTCTATATTTAATAGTCTTTTGTGATTTATTTATTTTTGACTTTCGAAAGGCTGAGTAAATTAAGTTATGATCTGAGAGATTTTGAGAAACTGCCAATGATTTAGAATCGATAGAGGTAAGATCCTCACTAGCACAGATTATATCAATGAGGCTAGCCTCTCTTGTGGCAAAATTGAATCTTGTTGGCTCACTGATCCTTTGTGATAAGTTAAAACTATGAATCATATTTTTAAGGCGATTTGTGTATGCAGAATTATTTAAAATGTTAATATTTAGATCTCCTATCAGTAATAAATAATCATATTTGACAGTGACAAAACCGAGAAAATTTTCTAAGGAGTCTAAAAAATAAGTGACATCTCAGAAGGCGAACGATAACTATTAACTAAAAGATAAGTTTTTCCACTTATCTTAGATTCTATACCTGCACAGTTAATTTCCACATTTACCCTTGAATATTTCAACCCGCTTTTTATGTATAACGACCCTTCCTATCATTCCTTATAAATTTGTACCCAGGCAAGCAAAAACTCTCACTTCTTAAAGTTGGATTTACCCATGTTTCAGAAACTCCAAAAATATCAAAATTGTATTCTGTCATATAATTACAGAACTCGTCAAATCCAGAATTTATGGATCTGATATTTAGATGTCCGACTGTGAAATGGTTTTGATGTGGACTATCAAATATTTATTCATCATTAACACTCTCCACTCGCTGACCCATGTTATCATTATCCATTATCCCTTATTTCCTCACTATTGCCAGTCCCCGAAGACCAAACCCCGCCATCCCAATTCCCCCGCGTCAACATATAACCTCTATGTAACAATTTATGTTTTTCCCAAAAATTAACAGAATTAAGTCCATAACTTGCTGCGAAAAATAAAAACTGAAACCACTGCCACCTCTTTTGAGGTTTTTCCAAAAAACAACGAGTATACAAAGGAAACAGAAATTCATTATTTATTCTCTTAATTTAATTATTATTGACATGTATTTAGAAATTAGGCATTTTTATTTTATTAGTGTCCATAAAATTACTGTAAATTGGCAAAGTATATGTGTATGGACTAATAAATTCGTTTAAAATTATTGCATAACAACATTGTGATTCGTATTAATTATTATTAAGCAATTATTTCTTATTTGTTTAACCTAAAAGTGTAAGAAGAAAAATAATAATAGTCGAAAAGACGAGTACTGATTAAGCCAGATTCAAAGTAGTTAATACTAATACATTTTTTACGACTAGAAATAACGTCTAACACTGCCTACTTTGAAAACATCTACAGTAATGTTACCTTCATGTAGGAATGCTGCAGCACCCGTCCCCCCACATACCTCACTACACTGCATTGTTTATTGAAAACCTTACAAAAAAACCTCTTAAACATTAATTTTGTGTAGGTCCTCATCACCGGCGATTCGATGAACTTCATTGTTTTGTTTTACGTAAATATTTCCTCTTAGAATCCACGCATTGTTTTTCGTAAACAAATCAATACATCTTTTAAATAACTTCAATCGCGATTTAGTCAGATCTTCTTTTATACGAATTCCGGTGTTTTTCAACAGTTTTCGATTTTTCAAAACCGATGCCCGTGAATCGCTAGAGGTGAACCGTACCAGCACGGCCGACGTACTGTTATTTGAGTTTTTGTTTGGTATGCGATGGTATTTGACTATATCTTTTTCTTGTACATATGTTTACTTTCAGTTTGTTTTGAAACAGATCCACTATAACATTACCCAAATCTTCCGCTTCGTCTTCCTTCAGTCCAAATATTCTGACATTTTGGGATCTCTCCATTTGCTCTTGATCGTCCATTTTCATGATAAGACGTCTATTATCCCTTTCCAAATTCTCGACCATGTCACAAAGAGTCTGTATTTCCTCCTTGTTCCTGTTAAGTCTTTCTTCAAACTGCTTTTCTACCAGTTGTACGACTTTACTCACTATTTCTTGTAAAATTTTTTCGTTGAAGGTATTGATGATTGTTGACTTGATTTCGCGCATATCGGTTGTCGATAACCCAATAATGGCGACGAACTAGTTGCTATTGACAGTTCTCAGGAATAATGAAGATTTTCACTGTTTCAGTAGTTTCAGCCACTTATTTCTTCACAATTTTTGTGGGATATTGTAAAAACTTTGAGATCCACTGCAACTTTTCATAACGCAACCAAACTGGTTCAGGGACCTACCTGACGAGGTAAATCGCAAGATCATCTAAAGAAATAGAGCCCGAAGAGTAGCCCAGGAGACCAGAAGCCCCACGGACATCATAGTGGCAAACAGACTGACAAGACAGGCAAGAGACGCCTTGAAGCAGCATCATCAGAGCACCTGGGATAAGAAACTCGAAGAATTATCTCAGCTGATCCAGGAATGTGGAATTTGGCTAAAATCCTCAGCAACAGAAGACAGCCCATCCCCCCAATACACAGCGAACAGGGGATGGTGTACACAACCGAAGAGAAGGCAGAAGCTTTTGCTGACAACCTTCAGAGACAGTGTACTCTCAATACTCACCCCGATGAAGACGAAGACTTCATCGACGAGGTGTAAGAAGATCGAGGAGAGCTGTAAGAGGAGGAAGAGCCATTGAAGACATGACCTCTCCAGGCGAGGTAAGGGAAATCATCGGAAGACTCAACGTGAAGAAAGCACCGGGTGTAGACGAAATTGGGAACAGAGTCTTGAAGAGACTCCCGAGGAACGCGATAATGGCAATTACCAACATTGTCAACGCCATACTGAGACACCGATACTTTCCAGATCACTGGAAAGTAGCCGAGGTGATCAACATACCAAAACCTGGGAAAGATCCAAGGTTCCCCCAAAACTACAGACCCATAAGCCTGTTGACGGCACTGAGCAAGATTGCGGAAAGGGTAATCGAACGAAGACTGAGGAATGAAAATGAAGAACTCCGAGTAGTTCCAGACGAACAGTTCGGATTCCGAAGTGAACATTCAGCAGAGCACCAGGTCCTAAGGCTGGTCGAGATGGCAATGAAATCGTTCCAGACTCGGCGAGCCGTAGAAGCTGTGTTCGTGGATGCCGCTAAGGCGTTCGATACTGTTTGGCATGACGGACTGATCTACAAGATGGTGGACCTCGGATACTCAACGGGGATGATCCAACTGGTGAAGTCCTATTTGAAGCACCGAAAATTCCGAATTAGGATTGGTAAAGCAACTTCGACGACGAGGACTGTGGATGCAGGAGTACCGCAGGGAGCGGTTCTATCACCCCTGCTGTATGCAATCTACAGTTCAGACATCCCGAAGACTCCACAAACGCAACTGTATGTGTATGCGGACGGTACAGCATATGTGGCAGAAAGTACGAGACCCCGCAAGGTTACGAAATATCTGCAACGAGCGACCACCAACCTAGAGGAATGGTGCATCAAGTGGAAGATCCGTCTCAACCCTGAGAAGACCGAAGCGGTACTGTTCCGAAGAAATCGAAGATTACCTCAAACCAAAATAAAGATGACGACCACCAGAATGGAGAGAGGCTGGAGAAGAGATGAAGAAGTTGAGGTCGACTGGAAGGACTCCAGCACATACCTTGGAGTCAAGATGGACCAAAAACTCACTTGGAAGAACCATGTCAAGGGCCAGGTGCAGAAAGTGAAGATGGCACGCTCCAGACTAAGACGTTTAACAGGCAGAACAAGCAAAGTGTCCTTAAAGAATAAGACCATCATGATTCAGATGGTGCTGCTCCAAATCATGACTTACGCAGCAGTAGTTTGGGGCTACGTTTCCAAAACGATGAAGAAGAGGCTCCAAGCTAAACAAAACATAGCACTCCGTGAGGCGGTGGACGCACCGTGGTATGTACCTAACAGAGTGCTATATGACGAACTACGACAGGTACCGGTCGTAATCCAGATAAGAGAGAGTGCCCGAAAGTTCTTTGAAAAGAACGAAAGACATCTAAATGTGCTGATTAAAGACGCCTTGGATTACGACCCACGAACAATAAGGCATCACAAAAGACCGAAAAGCCAGCTGCAACAAGAAGAAATTTGGCACTAGCAGCTGATGAGGCCAAAGAAAAGGGCAGAAGACCGACAATAGTTGTACACCCAAGAGGGGAAAGAACAACCCGTGTACAACGGGTGGACAAAAAGAAGCCTGATATTGAGGTGGCCAGAGTCAAGCACGGACTCGGGGCTAACCTCAGGAGACGAATGACAAACAGCAAATGACTGACTGACGACGACTGATTGACTCTAGTCGACGAGGAAAGAGCGAAGACTCACCAACCTTAACGCGGGGCTTAGGTCAAAGCCCCCAGCGCAGGACCCCCAAGAAAGAGGCCGTCCATAAAAGTCGAGAACCGACAGTTGGAAGAAACGTCCACCACGTGCTTCCGCGTCGCGTGCGCGATCGAGTCAAATTTCGGGAAAAAAAGGGCAGGGGGGTTAGCTCGTTCGGCAGCACACACTCGGGGAATGCGCAGCGGCCTGAACCATGCAGCGCCACGCTAGGCCTTCGGGCGGGAGAGGAGGGAGGAGCAGATTGCTCTTCCGCCCACTCCTCAAGCGTTTGAGGTTACCTGGAACAGGGGTGGTGGAGGGACCGCACATGGAGGAGGGTGTGTGTGTGTGTGTGTGAGGGTGTTTGCCGCTCTTCGCCTCCTCTCCGGTGCTCCCCATCCGTCGGAACGTTGACGTTTTAAGTGAGTAAATACATTTTTTTTCTTCTGCAATATCAATGGTTCATGCTCGTAATAAATGAAATCATTAAATTCCAAAATATTGTTTATATATTATAATATATGTGTAAATTAGTGTAACACAGGGAATTTTCACACCCACCCTACTTATGTAAGGCTAGGTGTTAACGGTCAATTGATCGAGGATTTGTCCTTTTTGCCAAAAATATTAAGTGTGTGTATTTTCTATAATACGGTAAATATAATGTTTTTTTTTTGTTTTTGTTTTTTGGCAAATAAATGTATTTTGAATTTGAATCTCTGGAGGAATTCACTCTGTCTGCTTTTACGTACTGTGTTCTGTGAGGAGAATTACAGGAGTTGGAAGTGCATTAATATACTACTATATACTTCTCAATCAGCTTTACAGGATATGTTCCCAAATCATAGATATATCGTTGAAAAACCAATAAATGAAAAATCAGTCCCGCTGATTTTTCCCCCTTTTTTTTTAAACAAACTTCAAAAATTGATCTTTTGCTTCAGTTAAAGTGTTATAAGGTTTTTTTAGGGCTTCCTGATCAAAAAAGGTGTCTTAGAGCTAATGTCCGAAGTTGAAAGTTTTCGACATATAAGCGATACAATATTTGAAAACGATATAAAAAGGCAAAAACCTTAATGTCGCCGAACTTCCTAAATATTATTTAAGCATTCGTCAGCAAAAGCAGTAAGTATTTTAGGGCGTATTGCCATTATAACCCTTTTTTCAATTGTTATTTAAGATCGCGCTCAATGTATATTTTGCAGGACTGCGAGAGATCTCACACAAAATGTACAATATAACAACAATACCCTCTGAAATGCTGTTGGATTTTATTGATGTATGCTTAAAGAATATTCAGGAAGTTTGTTAACTGTAAAATTCTCGTTTTGTCATATTGTTTTTGGCGATTGAAAATGGTATATTTTGCATTTTTGGCAAATATTGTACTGCTCATAACTCGAAAGAAAAGTTCAAAAGCACCTTTTGTGTTCAGAGCATTCTAAAATACCTAAAAATACTTTGACTGGACTTAAGATACCTGACAACATATTCGTTGAAAGGTATCGTTTTCGAAGAAAAGCTGTAAGAATATTGCTCCTATCAGATGCGAAGATACTACCTGGGCTGGAAGATTTGCAAATATTTTTCCAGCATAAATGCTTTGCTACAATAATATGTGATCTTGACAATCATATTACGTTAATTTTGCAGAACATGCAATGCTTAAAAGCTGATTATCCCTGTCTAAAGCTCATTATAGATATATTACCTTTCTATACAATGCACAGCGGGCCAGGTATTCCGAAAAGGGGTCATAAATGGATATTTATATAAGTATTAGTATCATCATCTGAATTTGCAGGTATAATGCAAGTTTTCCCGGAATTTCGATGGTTTAGATGGTCATTACGTATATTTACCTGGTGCCAAATCCTTCAATACTAAGTGTGAAGATGTTTTACTGGAAGTTTTATTTTCTAATTCGAGTTTTGCGTCTTTCAGACATTTTTTATAATATAGCTCCAATATTTCCTTATAACCTACTAGAAGGTGATGATGCGTTTTCTAGGTATTTCGATTTTGCTTACTTAAATCGTGTTCATGGATATGTATTCGAAATCCTTTGTTACACATTTTATTTTATTATTTCAGTTTACTGATTTGTTTCCAAATATTTTATTCTATTTAACAGAAAAATGAAGTTCGTCTTTTAGTTATGACGTGACGGCTTTAACTTTTACTTTAGTTTTGTCTTTCACATTATTTTCTCTTTACTTATATAGTGGTATTTATCTTTTAAACTTGAAAATGGCAACAAGAAGTCTTTGATAGCACAATGGAGGCTCTAGAATGTTCAGAGCGTACAAAATATCTGGTGGGACACTACAACATCGAAGGTTGTTCATCATCTTGCCATGTTAAAATTGAAAAACATCAACTCAAAATGTTGAGGCGCCATGTTGTCGAAAGCTTGATCAATGCGAAAAAAAACGAATAGATTTTTGAAGAGGCATAAAGAATGGTTGGATGTTCAATTTGTTTTTCAAATAACTCACGCAAAAGGTATCAAACACTTGTATCTTGTTCACCGATGGAAAGCAAAGGAAAATTTTGACGGGATCTACCTCCGAAAAGACGGACAAATTGTAAAAGGGTCATAGATTCAAAAGTTATTCCCTTATTGGAGGAACTCTCAAAAGAATCAGTATTTGATATAATCTTGAGTTGTGCCAGTATATTTAATATGTATTTTTTATATGCATATATTTGATAGTGAAAATGTTCAAAAGACCTACTCAATGCCCCATAAAAGACACCCCCAACAAATTTATTTATTTTTTTACTGATTTTTTTTTCATCAAAAGTTTCACATTTTTCGCCAATGACCATTTATGACAGCTTTTCTGATTTACTGCGATATCGTAAATAAAACATAATGAAACTGGACATACTTAGCTAAAACGCACAGCCTTGAACACAATCCTTATTATTTGTCTTCCATTTTTCAGTCCATAAAGTTCGATTTAAATACGACATTTTGCACAAAGTATACTAAGAATGTATCTTCTATATTAGCGCATAAGCATCAGGAGCATAAAAGGCCCAGAAATTAGATTCCGGACTAAGATGGAGTGTAAGACGCGCTAGCAAATGAGATTGGTCGCTCGTAAGTACAGGGACTCCAGTGAAAACGCGGAGCTCCGGAGTTAAAAGCTTGAAGAAAATTTATCCGAACAGCGACTATGTAGCACAGCATTTACCTGGTAACACGTACCGAAATGTTGCAGTTTTATACAGTATACAAACGGTAAACCACTTCGTAGCAGCAAGTATGTTTAGTAGACCTCATATACTCGTATAGGATTTTGTAATATTTAAAAGCGGCATGTAAATCTGATACACCGGTAAATAGTACGATAAACAAATGAGGAAGATACCCTACTAAAAGTTTCACTGTTCTTGAGATATTATTTTATTTTTGTCTTTTTCGAAAAATTTCCTCGTTTGATCTAATGTCCGTTGCTGATTAAACAGGTAATCTATCGCAGTACTTTGCAGTAGCAGTCTAGTACATTTTTATTTCATTGCTGAATACCATAGTTGAGTAAAATGGTTTTCTAAAATAAAAATTACGAAGTGGAAATTAGTTTGTCAAGTTTACCTACTTGTATTTATCAAAAGTGATACTTCAAATGGCAGACCAACTATTTGAAAATATTTTGCAAAAAAAAAACAAATAGATATCCTGTTATTTCTGGGCACAACAACATAAGATAGATTAAAAAAAGAGAAACCAAAAAATGTATATCTCAAAAACAGTGAAACTGTTACTAAGGTCATTTTTTGGTATGTTGTAGATCTGCCCTTTACCTATCGTCCCTATTTTTTGTCGTATTATTTGCCGGACCCTGTATATAAAATGGAGGACATGAGAAATTTTGAAAACGAAACCATATCAATGCTCTCTGAGATCGATTTTGTAAAAATGATTCATATTAACAGGAGAATTAGAAACACCAAGAAAATACAAAAAAAACAGAAACTGCTACATGAAACACACCAAATAGATTTCACAAATCTGTCCTAATAAAAATTCTGAATTTGTTAGTTGCAAATTTCATATTTGGTAGTGCTACGGTTTCACATATTATACAATAAAGTTACTATTATTTGATCTCCGTGACAAATTTAAAATAAAACTATGAACCCAGATACGTGATCTTATAGTACACGCTTAAGCCGGCTTTTTATGAAAAAGTGACAAGCAAAATTAAAATTTCAAAAAGTTGTAAAAAAATTTGTTCAACCAGCTACCCTTGAAGTTGCTTCATTTAGATGCACAAGGAATTTCCAATAAAGCTGACATTATTGATATACTCAATGCGGAAGAGATGTTTAACAGAACAGTGGCTGAATAACTTCAATGAGAGAAACATTCGAATCAATGGCTACGTCTGTATAAGTAACTTCATTGGAGTCCATATACACGGAGGCGCATCTAAAATATAAAAAGCATTATAGCATTATATAAAGAACTGCACTATCAATTCTCAGCACCGACCTTTTACTCTTTATGTATTATGTCTATTTACAGACCTTCCTCAGACGACCCCGAACTTGTTTTTCGATTGTTTTAATAAAACATTACATATAGCTACAAAAAATACAAAGGGTACTATAACTTAATAAACGAACGCAGGAGGCTGCATTTTACTGCATGATGAACAGGGTTCTGTGTCTGGAGCTATACAAAACTGAATGGTAATTAGAATTTGTAAAACGGGTTTTTACGGATTTCACAGTCTGAATCCTTCAAATAAACTCTTGACTGCGTCTTAAAATAATCAACAAAATTTGACTTCTTTCTGAGTTTGTCTCCTCTAAGTAAAATTTTAACAAATCGGTGTAAAAAGCCTGTTTGAATCAAACATCGACCAAGTGTCATTCCAATGTTCAAAATGTTTCGCGAGCGCTGGAAAAATGTAGATCCCGAGCAAATACAGATTTACATTGAAAAGCTATCATGCCTGGATATTTAGAACAATAGGGAAACGTCCTTCACGTGGATGCGGCAGATTTTCACAGCGATTTAATCGACCCGATAACTGGGTTTCTTCGGATCACCCTGTATATACCGTTCGGGCAAGTACCATAGCAAACATCTTGGAGTAGGTTATAGGAAGTAATAAACCGAGAGAGTCTCGCAATATCGGTTTCCGTTGAGAAGTTGCAGACGAGACGCGACGAAACGTATGTGATGTGCTCGCAAAGCACAAGATGCGGTTTAATTTTCTATTGAGACTGTCTTGGTTATTTTCTGTTTGTCATTGGTAAATAAAACAGTCGGCGTTAACGACAAGGGACTTCATCCAATTCACGTCAAGGGCAGCGTTCTTGATATCGGCAGAATTGGTGATCCGACAGTGTTAGTAGACTGCACTTCAGCGCTACTTGTCGCGATCCTTCGAGTAAATCCAGGGCATCCTGATAGTTGGGACTTTCCTGTTCAGAAACAACTACGATGCAATTGAGGAAACTAATCCGGGGTGAAACAACAGCGAAAAAGTAAAACAAATACGAATAAGAAAGTATTAGATGTTAATCGAAACGGAATTTCAAGAAGGGCTCTGTCACTTGCAAATAGGATTTTAGAATGAATACAGCAAAATGCTAAATCCGCACACGTAGTTCGTCATTCGTCCTCGCCGCAGTTTTATACACATTTCATTTCGCCCCAACAAAAAAGAAAATAATATGGAATTCCGATACTGCAGTATAAGAGTGCCATTTTTAGTTTTTTTTTAGAGCCGATGTGTGAAGATTTTATTTACCGACGCGGCCAGCGCCTTTATTAAGTACTGATGCGCAATGTACATAGTCATGTTCGATCGAGAGTCTAGAAGTCTAGATGAAGTGTAGGACCGGATCCAAATCCAAATCCAAAACCAATTTTGTTCAGGTTTGATTGATGTTAGCCTTTGGTGTACATGTTACTAGAAAAAACTGCTTATTTTTCCAATATCCATACGCCGTGTAAAAGAAAACCCTAACTCTGAGGCCACCCTGTATGCCCAATGTTTTACCGGGTGGACCTAAAATAAACGTCGGCTGTATCTCGGCAACCGTTCAATCTAAAGCCATCGATTAAAAAGTTTCATAACAAAATTGCTAGAAATTATACGTTTGATAAAGAAAAATGTTATGTAATAATTGTACGTTTGAAATATAAATCTTATGGTCACCATCAACGTGACCTTGACTATGACCCTCAAGCTTTATTCGTTTGACTATGACCGTCAAGGTCATTTGAAGATCAAATTAATTTTTAACGGGAAACATCTATTTTTAATTACTGAAATGCAAATTGTGGACAACTTTAAGTTCAAGCATACCCTTGCCAATGAACCTAACCATGATCTTCAATGTCACTTTAAGATTAGACAAATTTTCAAGTAAATTCCTTACTTCTTGTCGAGGATATAAAAGAGCGAAACATTGAAATACAACCCCCTCTTTGCGCCCTAAATATATAAATATTTGTTCTTGAAAATACTTCATAATACTTACTCAGAAAATTTATATGTTTATACGACAGGATTGCCGAATCTGTTTTTTAAGTAATATGAATGTTTTTAGGGGAGGGATGAAAGTAGATCTTTAAAATTGGCTTAGTTAGTTCTGTATATAAGCTATTGTAAAAGAAAAGATAGACAACATCGTAATGAAAGTTTATTTGCCTATTTCAGTAAATCCAGCAATTCAAATACACACATTATACATACAAATAAATTTAAAGATCCCGCAAAAGAATTAAATTCTTGTGCGTCAAAGGAGTACCTAATTATGTTAGAAGTTAGATATACATATAAACATAATAATCAAAATGATAAAATATGACGCTCAAAATTTAATTAATCCCAAATATCAAAACGAATTTCTGGTCATCGCAATCACTAACATGATGGTACGTGGCTTCTTAGACTGAAAGATGTGTATATATTTTTCATGTATGGAGCATATCGTAGCCTGCAACGTTTATGTATGAAAAGCTTCTATTACATTTTCAAACTACAAAGGTAATCAATCCTCTTTCACAGTTTTTGTGAAAACCTTCGGGACACGTCACATGATACATATTTCGTATCCTGTTTAGCGGAGACTCTACGAAATAACAATGAATCATTCATAAAGTTTTCAGTGGCTTTTTGCGATGAATATGCAACTGAAATTAATTTCGATTGTCGTCTCCGAGATAAACTGAATTTGCATTTAAAGGGTGTACGTATACGTCTCCGACACTTGTGCATCACTTCTATAATCTAGATTAGAGGAAGGGAGCTGTTCCCGAATCGTAACAAGTTTTCCATTCAAATAAATCAATATAAACTTGGAGGTAGGTAGGAATTTACGAATACGTTTATGCTAGTTTGGAACCACAAGATTTGTACCAACGTACCAGAAAAAATTTGTGCTATAGTGCAAAAATTATATTTTCCTTGGTTTGTGTGTCTTGAGTAAATTTTGAAAAAAAAAAAATTACGTGCTCGGATTGAGGAAGTTGCCTAATTTTTGACACACTTAAAACGGTAGTATAAATAAAGTGAAAAAAAATAGTCTCTTAAAAAATGGCAAAATTTTGCTACTCAGAAGTTTCTTATTTGGATCTTGCTATGGCCACTATGGCGTGTGACTGAGTGATGGCGTCACATTACCCCAGCCATTATCACCACCACAAAGCGATGTGCACGCCGCGCATGCTTCGTGCTTTTTACACTATTCTGCTACTAATTTACGATTTTCGGTAAAAATAGATAAAAAAGGGGTCAGACCTTCGACTGACACATACTGTACGTTGTACCTAGATGTACGAATTCAAGGAGACCAAATCCAGGAAACAACGTAATTGGTGTTCTTTTACACCTAAGCAACCGCGCAGGCAGAAGCCTAAATGTCAGGGCACCGCGGCTGCTATGATCCCAAAGAAACTTTGTTCATCTGATCTTTGCCTAAGCTTAGTAGAACTGTTGTAGATTCTTCCACAATCTCTACACCCTAGGGAAAAAGGAGCGGTCATATCGGCCAGTTCTGGATGTACAAAGTTCGATACAGTTAGGATGGGAATCGAAAGTCTGGTAGGCACATCGCGCGGCGGCATCGCAGGGGATAGCCCTGAGGAGCACAGCCCGTTTGTGTAAAAGAGAATGGGGATATAGAGTTAGTTATTGCTTTAATTTCGAGATACCATATTGTGGCTGGAGAGGGAATACTCCTTGAACCTTGTCTGTGTCAACGTGGAGATGCATAGACGTGGTTCAGGAACCAAAACGCTTGGCCAACAATCCAAAAATGATATTTCTCTATTTCAAATATTAGCATGTTTATAAGAAATCTATCAATTTGACTGCAGCTGACTACCTTTAGCAATTATGCAACATTATATAAATAAAAACATAAATTATACCTCCATAACATATAATGAATATGAGACACACACACTACATCACAAATTAAAAAGTTTAACTACATTATTTTCTTTTTGAAAGCATGTATTAACTTTTACAGGAAAAAAATATCTGACATTATATATATTACATATATTTGACACATAACAGACCTAAAAGTATATACATGTGCCCACAAGTTTCCCATCACAACACCAATCATTATAAAGTAAGTTCAATTCCTAAAGCCTTCTGTAATGTTGTTCCACATTTTCCAGGGAAGTGAAATGCAAAAGAATTATCTGCTGGTTCCTCTGTTATATTGAATTCAGCTACAGGCATGCCTCTTTGAGCAACCAGTGGGGCAAACATAGCTGCAGGATATACCACTGAAGATGTGCCTACTACTAAGCACAGATCACAACTTTCCACCAACTCTCCTAAAAAATACCAAAGAGATCAAAATCAAAAGTAAGTGAACCTTAATTGGAAGGTACTTAAATGTGTGATTGATTGAATTCTTCGAAAGTAAAAGGATTTGCAGAGATATGGATTGTAAACTGATTAATGTTCATACAATAAATTGTCCATACTTGATTTTCTTAGAACTTCATGATCAAGGTTTTCACCAAACCAAACAATATAAGGCCTAACTAGGGAGTTACACTTTTTACACTTGGGGAGATCTTCCTTCATAACAACTGGTAAACTATCATCTTTCACATTTGGATCCCTGAAAGACATTAGTTGGTAAGAAAATATTGGGAAGCTCAAGAAACAAGATATTCAAAGAAATATTGTCATTATGGCATAATTCTTAGTTTTCTGTTGATAATCACATACCATCTATCCTTAAAAGCCTTACAAATTGGATCATCATAATTTTCATCAATAAATATACATTTTCTGTTTGTACAAATAGTTTTGAATAAGTTTCCATGCAGCTCTATGATGTTTTCTGACCCTGCTCTTTTGTGCAGTCCATCTACATTTTGAGTAATAATTGCTAGGTGATGTCCCTCACTTTTGCATTTCTTCTCATATTCAGACAATGCTTTATGTGCCTAAAAATAAAAATAAAACTGTATTGAGTTGATAAGAATGTGAACACACAACTTCTAGTCTCATAGATGTTTGGCAATTAATTTGAATTAATCTATGGGTTGTAAATACTAGTTGAAAATTGCTATTACATTATTTGGATGAGTATTAAGTGCTACATGTCTCCTATAATTATAAAACTCCCAAACTAGGGCTGGGTTACTTTGAAATGCCTGAGGTGTAGCTAAATCTGCAGACCTATAAGTCTTCCACCAACCGCCTTCACCTCTGAATGTAGGAATCCCGGATTCGGAAGATATTCCTGCTCCTGTGAGAACGATGATGCTTTTAGCATTGTTTAACACTTTTTGGAAACCTTCAAAGTCGCTGATTCTCCTTTTCGCCATCGCATGTACGATTGGAAACGACTGCCTGAACTTTGCGCTTAAAGTAAGCATTAAATTTCAAATTAACAATAATGTTTAATTCAAACCACAAGGAAAACCAACTGTCATAACAAAAACATTAACATAACCCTACTTAAGTATGTCACAGAAAGTGATAAACGTGACAAAAACATCAAAATCTAAAAGCACGCAGTGTTGCCAGGCCGAAAAAAACGGAATCGGTAAAAGAAAAGAATCGGAGCCGTGGCAAGATCAGTAGTAGATCAAGGGCCTTTGCATCAATCAGCGTCGTCTATGGAAATATCATATTTTTCATTGTGCAGGCACAAAACACATGCTTATAACTCATATAGTAGCATACTCATTGCTCTTCAAACTACTTTGCAACTATGCTGGAAACTCCTTTTTCCGTTCTCTCTTATGAGTAAGATGTCAACATTTACTGTTTTATTCCTAACCTTGGAGCTTCAGCACTTGACATTTTGATTTAATATTCAGTTATAAAAAACAGACAAACTTTGATTTGCTCATTGCAGTGATGAGGCATTGAAGGTCTCTGTGCCTCTTATACGCACAAAAACCAATACAAGGAATGCAAATCTACATTCCTCGTGTGTCTGACTGCCCAAGTGTACGCATATGTATGAGTGGTATGGGCCTCTTTTTGGTAAAAGTCCAGAGATCTGGATTATTTTGACAAATCGTGGAAAATGGGGACGTTCTCGGTATTTCAGTAAATGTCTCGTTTCGGTAGAAATACCTAAAAATGGGTACCTTTGACAACACTGTAAGCTTGTCTAGCACCATTGTACGTTGAGTCCGCCCTCCATCGATGTCACGTGATCACATGTTGCCCATCATCTTTGACAGATGACAGTAAAAATATGAGGTTATGTATCTTTGGTTCGCATGAGAAAAAGAAATATGGTTTTTACTATACTTTTCAGTATCATTTAGGATTATTTTAAATATGTCCACTTCTATGGAAGATGTTCTTCTGCAAATACCTCAAGTCAGATATAAAAAAGGAGACGGTACCCTTTTTCTTATGGACCAGAGGCTGATTTGGATGGTAGAAAATAAGGATACTGTTGCCGTGTCACACCTATATGCAGATATAAAATGTAAGTCCATTTGGGAACATCAATAGAATAATATTCAATACTATGTCTCATAGCTCAGAAGATATCTCCTGAAGGAAAGGCCAAGGTACAGCTTCAAGTAGTACTGCACAATGGAGTCTCATCAACATTCCATTTCACAAACACAGAAGGTCTCCAGGCTCAACTTGCAGATAGAGATAAGGTCAAAGAAATGCTACAAACACTATTGCCAAAATTTAAGAAAAAGGTTGATAGAGAACTGGAAGAAAAGAATAAGCTATTGTCTAGTAATCCAGCATTGCTTCAACTGTACAAAGATCTTGTTATGACAGAGGTGGTTACTTCTGAAGAATTTTGGTCACAACATGCTGTACAATATACTCAGAAACAAAATCAGCCACCTCAAGAAATTGGTAAGTGCTAGAAATTGGGGATCAAGTGATCCTGATACAGAGGGTGTTTTTTTAGAGGTATAGAACTTTAAATTGCAATAAAACAATGATGGATTATTCGATTGACATGAATTTTTTTTATTCAAAAGATAATCTTGTGGCAATACATTTTAAATATGATTTCTGGCATATGACTGCCATGGCTGGAAATCCAATTTTCGATGACTTTTTCCAACATTTGTGGCCATATGTCAGCAATAACATTGCGAATGTTGTCTTCCAAATGGTCAAGAATTTGTGGCTCATCCGCATAGACCAATGACTTTACATAGCCCTACAGAAAATAGTCTAGCAGTGTTAAATCACTAGATCTTAGAGGCCAATTCACATGTCCAAAACGTGAAATTAGGCGGTCACCAAACGTGTCTTTCAATAAATCGATTGTAGCATGAGCTGTGTGACATGTTGCGTAGTCTTGTAGCCACAGCTCCTGGACATCATGATTGTTCAATTCGGGAATGAAAAAGTTAGTTAGTTAGTTAATCATAGCTCTATACTGATCACCATTGACTGTAACATTCTGGTCAACATCGTTTTTGAAGTACGGACCAATGATTCCACCAGCCCATAAAGCGCACCAAACAGTCAGTTTTTCTGGATGTAACAGTGCTTTGACATAGACTTGAGGATTAACTTCACTCCCAATGTGGCAGTTTTGATTTTTGACATAGCCATTCAACCAGAAGTGTGCTTCACCGCTAAACAAAATTCGCTTATGAAAATCGGGAACAACGGCAATCTCGTTTTGGACCCATTCAACCAATCTAGCCTTGCTTGATGATCATTTGGCTTGAATTCTTGCACGAGTTGGATTTTGTAAGCACGCAAACCAATCCAATCTATACCTCGAAAAAAACACCCGTCATAAATATTGGCCAATATTAAATACCATTTAATATTATAGGAAAAAGAATCTAATACATAGAAATACACTTGTTTTCTTTTATTCTATAAAAGTAACATTATTTTATTGCATATTATGTGTAAAAAACGAAAATTATCTGCCAGTTTCTGTTGTCAAGTGTTTGGTAATAGGTTGAATACAGATAAATAAATACCAGACCAAACACAGAAAATATTCATTGAAAAAACCAGAAGCTTTTGAGAACAGTAATCAAATTCAAGCGAATAATCAAATGAAAATGGTATCTACCATTTAGGGTTGGTATTTACCAATCTGTTCAAGCGAGTGTGGTTATCAGTTTGGTTATAAGATCGGTGACTTCATGAATCAGCTGTTATGTCTTAGTTATCACCGCAGAGTTGTGGTATTTACCCAACTCAGGAGTAGTTTTATATTTCTGGTTATTATTTGAAATGTGACAAGTTAGAATTTTGCCGGGTATTGGATATTTTTATTGTACTTCAGCTTTATTTTTGGAAAACTTGATACAGGCTGACTTCAGTTTTAGCATAAAGTAAAGCACCTTATTAGTTATAATCATTACTGTTGTTGGGGACACTTTAAATCTAGTTTCTATGCTTAACAAAATATCCTGTGTAACCATATACTACAAGAATATTAAAATATAGCCATGTAAACTCACTGGATGATGTCCACCTGTATATGGTTTTGCTAATATATTTTTTTATCACTTTTTCCTATCATTTCTGCTAAATCAATAAATGTTTTCTTTGACATGCGGAAAAGCTTAGAGAATTGAAAGTTATCATAGTTACAAAGCTAGGGTTCCAGTATTAAAAAAAATTCTGACAAAAAAGTCTTCGATTAATATTACGAGAGGTTACTTTTTTAAACTTTCCATACGCCGTTGTAGACAAAAAAGCACCGATTATTAAGTGATAATCAATATAATCAGAAATATATACGAGCTTTTCTGAAATAAACAACTTGCATCAAAACCGCGGTTAAAACCAACGCATTCAAGCGATTCGAGTAACTGACGTCATCTTGAACTATATTATAACCGCGGTACATAACACAGAAATTTTGGTTATTCGCTTGGATTTGATTATAGTGGTTAAAAAATATTTAAAATTCAATTTAGGCAGATTATTGCCCTTGCCTGCCTCAGGAAAAACATGTTCCCTGGGTGTGATTAGTGGGTCTTCATACCTGATGTTAGTGAAATGCCTGTGGTCATTTCATCTATTTTCTCTTGCACACATGCTTTTCATCTTTGAAATATATCAGGCATGATAGTTTCACAGAAATGTTTATCTGATGGTAAGTCCTAACTTCAATAAACAAATGAAATCAGTACTACTGGTAGTAGAAGGTTGTCGGTTGTCCACTGTGATAGTAATGCAACAAAGCACAGATTATTTTTTGAATTGCTTCTACTGAAATACACTACTGCTCAAAAGTCTTGGGACAGTAGATTTTTTGAGAGAAATCAAACCATAGGGTGTTTTTAATAAAAAGAAACTAGTTTCCACTGAAACCTTATTGGTTGGTAACTGATTCCTATCAAAATTTACTCTAAATTCGTGATTCATCGAAATGTCTACCACGAGCCCGAATAACTGCATTACAGACACGACTCATCCAACTTATCAAATTTACGGATACCCATGCTTCCTGCAGTTTAGCCCTCAAGTCTGCAGCACTGGTAGACTCTTGTTGCTTCACCTGTCTGTCCAATTCATCCCACAAATACTCGATAGGAGACAAATCTGGAGATTGGGAAGGCCACTTCACGATTTTCATTGCACCAAGTTCTTGCTGCTGGTCCAAATAATTGCGGCACAGTCTAGATGAATGCTTAGGGTCGTTGCCTTGCTGAAATTCGAAATTGTTGCCGACAATCCTTTGTCCTGAGGGAACAGCATGGTTTTTCAATATTTCCAAATACTGCTCTTTTCGCATTATACCCTCAATACGAACCAAATCTCCTAGTCGATTTCCAACAAAACATCCCCAAACCATTACACTCCCACCTCCATGTTTAACAGTGGGCTGCAAACATTGCTGAGCCATGCGTTCATGGGGTTGGCGGCGTACAAACTGTGGTCGTCGAGATCCGAACATTTTAAATTTGGATTCATCCGACCAAAGGACTCGATGCCAATCGTCAATGGTCCACTCATTGTGTTTTTGAGCCCATACTAACCGGTTGCGTTTATGTGTATGTCGCAGGAGTGGTTTGCGTGCTGCTACACATCCTCTAAGGGCAGCCCTTTGTAAGCGGCGTTTTACCGTGGACACAGACACAGAGTTTTCCCTCGTTCTATTCAAGCTGTGTGTGAGTTCAGGCGCAGTTAAATGTTTCGCTTACTTGTTATTATAAGCCTATACTCAGGAAGCCTTTCAGCAGTCGCTCGAATGGGCAATTCCTCATCGCGTAAGGCACACACTGCACCCCGTTTTTCAAGATAAACGTTTACCCGTCTTTACCATTTTCGATTATTTTGAAAAAAACTGACCCTAGCACATCGACTAGCAGTTTATACTAAACTATGTACAATTTTTACTTTGGTTCATCGATACCCAGAATGTATCATATTAGGCCGAACATAATACATAGTACAAAAAAAAGTAAACAGTGGCATTCGGCCAATTTATGACTGCAATGAACTAATAAAAATATCGGCATCTCTAAAGATGTTTACATTTATTTCCTTTGAAGGGGTGTTTCAACTGTTCCTTATACATCTTTAACTTGAATGGTCGTATAATAGGTGGTAATAATCAATCAATATCATATATGCCTTATTTATTTTAAGTTCTCTTAAAAAAAGTTACTGTCCCAAAATATTTGAGTGGTAGTGTAGGTATTACTACAATTGCTTCATCCTTCTAGGAGTGTCAGGGGCATTTTTAGCAGACATCAAACCACAAACAGATGGTTGCAATGGATTGAAGTATAATATTACCCCAGATATAATAGAATGTATTTTTAAAACATATCCAGCAGTTAAGAAAAAATATATTGATAATGTGCCATCGAAACTAACTGAATCTCAGTTTTGGACAAAATTTTTCCAGTCACATTACTTCCATAGGTTAGTATTGTCAACATTATATCTGGAACATGTTCAGTTAGGTAAATTGGCTTGAGGTTTCATTCAGATAATTTTGAACAAATATTTGCTTAGCTTTTCTGTTATTTGTTCAGAGATCGAAAATATGCAGAAAGCAAAGACATATTTACTGAATGTGGTAAATTAGATGATCAAGAATTGAAGAAAGATATCCAAACTGGCATCAATGATCCACTTGTAAACCTTACCGAATTTGATGATAAAACTCTGGACGAAGGATACGGTTTGGGCAGAGAAAAACAACCTAGTAGTAGTGGAACTGTCAGCCAAGCGATGATCAAAAGATTTAACCAGCATTCTGTTATGGTAATTTCATTATATCTACTTACAAAATATCCACAGTACTGGCAGGATCTATCTCAAACCTGAAATGTTTTAGGTGCTAAAAGCTACAAAGAAAAAGGACAGTACACCTTTGCAGAATGGTACAGATAAAGAGCCAAAAACAAATGCATCTTCCTCAAATAACATAGATGAAGACACATCTGAACCAGTTAATAAAAAACAGAAGGTATTAGAAAAGATTACCTATGATGACCTGCAAGATACCACAGCTGACAATAATAAAACTGGTGTTCATCTCAATTTGTCAAAGGTATATAATGTTCTTATTTATTCTGTATGTAGAAATTTAGACAATTACAAAATCTTTGTCTTCTGACATATGGGATAAAAGAGCTATAGCCACAATAATTATACTTTATATTTTTGGACCTTATAATCAAAACTTTCTTGTAGGTCGAAAGATATTTGCACGGCCCCATGCCAGACACGTCTGTAGAGTACATCAACCCAAATGAAGCATTATCAGTCATAAGGAGTGTCCTCCAGGAAACTAGGAATTGGAATAGCAGGCACAGTTCTAGTGCACTGGTAACACCTGCATCTGCAGTTGGTGCTCTCGGTGAACTGTCACCTGGAGGAGCACTAATGAGAGGATTCCAAGAACAGTCCTTAGCACGTAAGCTGCATCTCATTTTTTCATAGGTTGAAAATAGACTGATTTTTTTGCCTTTTGCCAGTGAAATTTCTGAATTGTAGTCGATAATTTTGAGGCTTTCCTCCAGCTGGCATCCTTCTTCCTCTATGGTCTCCCTCTTTAATCATTTCTTTCTTTCTTTCTCCATATATTTGACTAAGTGTAATACCTGGGCAATCAGGCCTCATAACCCTATATGTAGACCCACAAGAGCAACAGTCATATGTACAAAAAATAAAACTCGTTTTTTGCGTCTATTTTTGAGGGGTAAAACATTGGGGGTAGGAGTTGCAGTGTGTAGTGGAGGGTATATATAAACTTTTTGAATTGCAATTCTTTGTTATACGAGGAGGTAACTAAAAATAACCGGAATAGCATTGCAGTGGGCGGAGCTTGTTTAGTACACATTTCTGCCCCTAAAGGCGTACACGCCACCTGAGTTGTCGATCTGGCTTGTTTCGCTCCTCTGTAGTCATCGTTTTTGCTAGAGGTGTTTCGAGCTTGTTTCGTTTTTTACGACGGCAAGCTTCAATGAGCAACGTGCAGCTGTGAAATTTTGCTTTCTAATTGGTCAAAATGCTGCTGAAACTGTTTTAATGTTGAAAATAGCTTACAAAGATGATTTTAAGGGAATAACTCAGGTGTACGAGTGGTTTGCTTGATTTAAAAATGGCCACATGTCGATTGATGACAAACCTCTCTCTGGACGTCCATCAGCTGCCCGAATCGACGAAAATATTGAAAAAATCGAGAGTTTGTGCTTGTAAACCATCGACTGACAATCGATCAACTATCAGTAAGTAGTGGGTTGTCCTGGAGTTTGGTTCAGGGAATTTTAACAGAAGATTTGGGAATGAAAAGGGTTGCTGCAAGGCTTGTTCCTCGGACTCTGACTGACAATTAAGCAGAACACCGAGTTGAAACATGTTGTGCTTTGAAACAATAGCTTGAATCTGATCCAAATTTCTTGTCAAAGATCATCGCTGGTGATGAGACTTGGTGCTACGGTTATGACCCAGAAACGAAGCAATTCAAGTGAATGGAAGACACGGCCGTCACCCTGTCCAAAAAATGTCGTCAAGTCAAATCAAACATCAAAACAATGCCGATTTGTTTTTTCGATGTAATCCATTCCGAGTTTGTTCCCCCAGGTCACACTGTCAACCAGGCCTTTTCTTTGTAGGTTTTAAGACGTTTGCGAAACAGTATTCGACAAAAAAGACCCGATTTGTGGCAGTCAGAGACTGGTTCTTCCACCACGATAATGCACCTGCGCACACACTTTGTGAAAAAGTTGAAAATAAATAGCTTTTAAAATATAATTCCGGTTTTATTCGGGTACCCCCTCGTACATGTTCATAGTTCTAACATATTTCTAAAATGGGCGAGCTTGTGCCCAACAATCTTCTCGTAACTGATGACAGTGTTCTACAAGAAGTGCAGAGTCAACCTACTTGACGCCATTTTTAGCATCATGTGTATTTTCTAATGTTATTTTATTGCAGAGTTAGTTCCTCCTGACATAGAAAAAGAAGTTAGGAATCTCTACTTAGCTTTATGTGAATTGTTAAAACATTTCTGGAGATGTTTTCCTCCTACCACGCCTGTGACCGAGGCCAAATTAGTCAAAATGCATGAGGCGTTAAGTAGATTTCGCACTGCTAAATTGAAGCCATTTGAGGTAAGCTGCATGATGGTCCAGTCGACATTTGTAATAAATTAGTGTAAGAGTAATAAATTATTAGATACTCTACAGATACTTTGCCAATCACCATCCAGATTGGTTTTATGTAATTTATACCTTTTCAGGACAAACTCATTAGAGAACTTTCACCTCTATCCCACCATCTCACCAAACATTTGAATCAATTGTTGAATGCCGCATATCAAAAGTATAGCAACTGGCAGAAGATCAAAGGGAGATAAACAATTCCAATAAAACAAAATAAAGACACTTACTCCCAACCAACACTTGGTGCTAGTAAGTGAAAAGATAAAGCAGCGTGTTCAAGCAATTTTTCTTCCTGTAAGGATAATGATACTGTTATGTTAAAAGTTCATTTTCAAGTGAGTACAAAAGTACGAAATTTGAATGGCTTGTTAAGTATTATTATTGAGATGATGTATTATCAAATAGGCCAAGTTGTATAAAGTATTGTTTATATTTGGAAAACATATCATTTTTTGTTAAAGCATGTTGATGCGACATGACTCTAAAACATAGATTGTAAGTAATAGAATGTATTGATTAAAAATTAAGATTTCATCATCTGAATGGTTTGGGGTCTGTTTAAATTTACATTTTGGATTAAAATGCTTTGAAAATACGGCATATAACATTAGAAAGACAATTTATGTTGTAATACAGGAATATGACACCTATTCGTATATATTAGATTGGAATCCGAGTTACCACTAATGAATGATAATGCTTTATACAAAACTGGAAGTTAGTCTTTTGGGAACTACTAATTATATTGACGTTAATTTATGAATTGTATGATCAAACTTAATTTATTTATTTTGTTGTGTAAATTTTGTACAATAAAAAATAATTTCCTATCCAATGAAATCGATTCATTATATTCAACACCTTACCCTTTTTCCGGATTCCTAGAATTTGTAAGTTATCCAGACCAGATCTCAGTTTAGCAGGCCGCCTGAAAAATTCTGTCAATTTTAATAAAAAAATGTCTTCTCCAGTTAGAATTGTTCCTTTAATTTTATTTCTTCCCAATATTCTGTATTTATTCAAAGTCTTCATAAGAGACATATGGCATACCATAACATATTACAAGTTTCATACAGCTTCAGCATCAAAGCAAGCTAAATGGCAACACTAGCGCCGGTGTTGGCCCCCTAGCGGCAATATGCGACCTTTAGCTCAAACCTCCGCTTTATCAAAAAAAATTCGCATTATCCTCGACTTCAAAGATCAGGTATTTTCTTAGATTCAAAATTGCAATTTTAATAAGAACTTTTTTGCCGCAAGCTTCTACGATGGATAGGTTCTAAGATACAGTACCTCCACTCTCAGTTGGCCACCCTGTACATACGAAAGAGGTGCTAAACCCACAGAACCTGAAATTTATTTCCTGCTCAATGTACTTACTAGGAAGCCCCGCCTTCGCCGTGGTCACTTTTGACTGCACCCCCCCTTTGAAGTTTAACATCTTATATTTTCGAGGTATATATATGTACTGTTGACATATTTGGCGAGCAGGATTAATACCTGGTTAAAAACAATCAGTGAAACAAGTGTTAAAACGTCAAAATCTATTCACAAGCTACGTTACACACAAATTATATTAAAACTACAATGTATCTTAATCTTAAATATGAATCACAACATCAGTTTAGTCAATTCAATTCTTCTTAAGGACGTCCTTCAGTTCATCCAACTCGTTATACATCATGTTGATTAGTGATGTCTGAGAATCTAGCTGTGGACAAATAGAAAACATTATTAGAGTTTATAATTTTTCAAAAGATACAATTTTGGGTTCATTTAACCTCAAACGTCCTCACGTCAATTTATGATTAAATATAATCAACCAGAACATCGTTTTAACTCGAAATTGTATGGACATCGGAGGAATATTTACGTTATATTTTTTCTATTGCAATTAATTGTTACATAAAACAAAAGTTCATACTCTGTACATGCCTAATGATTAAAACTTGTCAACTACCATACAAATTCGGGAAGACTATGTAAGTACTTCGGTTACGGTAATGACCCAACTCAATTATACTGTTAAATTTTCCACGTAGTTTTTATGTGCTTATGCCATAATTTTAAAACTGCTATGTTTTTATTTACCACCGCTAGATGCCGCAGACTCAGAATGTGAAAACTAAAGAACGAAAAGCTGTTTTCTGGAAGAATTTGGCCAGTAAATCAAAACACAAATATGCTTTTCAAAGTATATATGCCGGGTTGTTGAAACTGGACCCGCACCATTACCTTAAATGGAGCAAAGTTACGTATTTAGGTAACTTACAAAATGCCGCTCAGATTTCGAAATTCAAAGTGCTTCTAGAGATGGAGGAGGAATCGTTTTAATTTTGACCTGGGATTTCAAGATACAAGAGACAAAACATGTTATTGAAATTTGAAATGCCATATTGTCGAGGAGAAAAAGTATAAATGTTAATGTGAAATTTATTTTGAAACCACACTTTTTTAGTCTCCCGGAAGTACTTTGATTTTTCTTAAATTTGAAATCTAAGAACTTTCGAAAAAGACGCAACTTTGCTTCCATTTAAGCGACTACGTATCTCTTACCGTTTCCGGGATCTAAATAAGAAGAAATAGGGGAATAACCGTGACAAATTCTGAGGCTGCGGCATCGCATTTGATCTCTGAATATTTTTTTACTTTAAATTTATTTACATTTTTTGCTTTTATTTTGGCTGCTAGGCTAGCCGGAACGTTAAAAAGGTATCGCAAAAACTGTGGTTTGATTTATCGGAAAGCACAAAATGGAGAGAGATTAATCAGTGGGACACCCACAGGAAATTACATTAACATTAGATTTGAGAAACTGGCATATTATGAAAACCTTGAACTAAATAAAAACGAAACAACCCCAGTTTATAGTTTTACAAAGTGCCCCAGAAGTCGACGTCAAGCCGGAAACGGGGGATAGATCAAGTCGTAATTGTTATGAATATAAAAAAATCTATTTCTTTCTGGTTACAATCAATCTTCACTACTTACACGAGTGGCATGTAGAAAGTACCACATTTGCTGAAACATCTGGACCGGGATTCTAAACGGGAGAATCATTGTACCCCTTGAGCTGATTGTTTGGATGGCGAATTTATTTAGACTTTTTACAAAATCCCGTTTAGTTAGAGATTATCTTGGTGCGGAATACCCTGGTACAATTCGTGGCCAGCCCGCTCACCTGACTTAAATCCAATCGATTTTTTCACTGGGGAGAAAAAGTTTACTCAAACCGAATCGGAAATTCAGCTGAGCTACGAAACAGAAAAACTGAAGCAGCTGAATTTGTTAATAACAGAAGATTCTCCCGCCTGATAACCCGCACGGGTATCACGTATCTTGAAAAGTGACATTATGCCGATTTTTTTTGACATTATCTAGGTTATTGTACAAGATGATAACTTAGCACTTAGTTGTGTACGTGTTGCATAAACGTCATGCGGCTTGAGATGGCATTACTGGAGGTCTAAGCTGTAAGTTGTATCTGTTGATGATAATTACATTGGGTTCTTGCCTCAGATACACTTAATTGAGATTCAAAGCTAGAAATTAGTTGCGTAACCACTTTTTCTTATCCATTCTCGAAATTACATATACAAATTTGCTGAATGTCAAAAATGAGAGTGATAAATAGGTAATTATATTCACTGTACACTGTCGAATTACATGCCATAACATGCTAACAGTAATTACACACAACGCGGGCGCGGTGATTTCCCGTAATTCTCCACAGTTTTTCGTAATTTATAACTTTGAACATAACCTCTCTTCAGAAAGCACAACATATAAATAACCCGTCATATTCGGTATATTCAGTAATGATTTTCTCACACAGCAAATATCACTTTTATACACATGCAGACGAATACACATAATCTTGCTATTCAACCAACTTTCTTCTCAGAGATAAACTCGTGCGAGTATCATGAAAAAAACCTATAAAACGTCAAAAAACCTATAATAAGATCTCAACTTGCAGACTAGGTAGTATGGCGCAAACAGTCATTCCACGTTTGCTCACTAGGATCGTTGTGAACGTCCATCTATGGAGGAATCACTCAACTAAACTACGCATTATTGGTTGCATATGTTTTGTGGGGCTACATGGTCCTTGTCTGTAATTTTTATCTCTGAGAAGAAAGTTGGTTGAATATCGCATCTGGATGATTATGTGTATTGGTCTGCATGTGTATAAAAACAGTGATATTTGCTGTGTAAGAAAATCATTACTGAATATGACGGGTTATTTATATGTTGTCCTTTCTGAAGATAGGTTATGTTCAAAGTTATAAATTACAAAAAACTGAGGAGAACTACGGGAAATCATCACCGCGCCCGCGTTGTTTGTAATTACTGTTCGCATGTATATGGCTTGTAATTCGACAGTGTACAGTGATTATAATTATTTTTTATCTCTCCCAGTTTTGAAATTCAGCAAATTTGTATATGTAATTTCCAGAATGGATAAGAAAAAGTGGATGTGCAACTATTTTCTAGCTTTGAATCTCAATTAAGTGTATTTGAGACAAGAACCCAATGTAATTATCATCGACACATACAACTTACAGCTTAGACCTCCAGTAATGCCATCTCAGAAGCAGATTTTACATCACATCAGAGCCAAAGATTGATAACAAGCCTCATGAAGTTTAGGCAACACGTACAACTAAGTGCTAAGTTAATATCTTGTAGAGTAACCTACATAATGTCAAAAAAAACAGCATAATGTCAAAAAAAATCGGCATAGTGTCACTTTTCAAGTAACGTGATACCCCTGCAGTGCCGATCATTTTAAGATGTCAAGGAAGGCAGTTTGAACATTTTGGTGTATTTTTTAATTCACCGGTTGAGCAACCGGTGCTACCGGTGGACCAGACATCCGTCCTTTTAATTCAACCGGTTGCTGCCATCACCATACAAAGCTGTCAACAGTGTCAACCATAAGCACCGCATCCATCAGTGGTGGAATCAACCGGTGTATTAAAGAATTCACCTTTTGTTGTGCCTTGCTGACACTACCTAGAATGACACTTCGTAATAGAAACTCAAAGATCATCACAGGGTGTAGATTTTTTTATATTTTTCTGATTACCATTGAGACTTGGCCTATCGCATATAGTAGTTGACAATATATTATTTCGAGTAATCCATTTTATGTAAAACAAGTACAGTGTTTTAAACCGTTTCTATCAAGAATATATGACACGTCAATCATTCACACATTTTTAAAATCAATTACTTTAAACAACGTAACATCACAAAAAGCATGACAGTTATGTCACAAAACACTTGCATAGGTGTTATACGTACAGTTTCCTTTGTGTTTTTAAGCGTGATAGTCATCTCCATGTTTTCCATTTCAAGGTTTCCGTTTTCAGTCTTGGAGACCTGTAGACGGCCGCAATTATTCTCGTAGTTGAAAGAATCCTCTTGATCTCCTGTAACGTCACTTCCGTTGTTCAAAACATCATTAACTCTCTTGGTTAAATCCTTAGATACTTCAACGTATAGCTGCTCGACATGAACATCAGCTTCGATATGGCCTTGGTCCATCTGCTGGAGTAACTCCGCGATCTTAGCCTTACTTTGTTCGACCATCCGCTTTTTTTTATTATGAAGATCGTAGCATATGCGTTGGATAGCTGCCCGTATGACGTTTCTTACCTCGGACTGCTTATTTTTCGGAACCAGAGACACTTTACTTCCGAAATAATTTTGAGCGTCTTTCAAATGACTAAGTTGTATACCTGCATGGGTTGTTTGACGGACGTTTTTGTTCAATTCGCCAACGTTCTCTTTGAATACCTTCATCTCGTTTTCGATTGAATGCAGTTTTGCCAAAACCAACGTTTCGAAGTCTGTGTCTCTCTTGGTCGATTTGAATATTTTTCTATCCAGAATTTTCTGGAACTCTTTGCAAACCACGTTGAATTCGTCTTGTTCCATCTTGGCCAATGTGTCAAGTTCCTCTGAACTGGCATAGCTGCTATAGTCGTCGTCGATGAAACCTTCACTGCCAGGATCACTTCCGCACTTCATCTTCAAAGGAGATACGTTTTCTTTAGAAGATCCAGCTTCGGAAATTGGAACTTTGTGGAACGTCGCATTTTGGATGTCTTCTTTGTTATATCTGTCAATCAGCGCTTTGATTGGATTCTTGTATGTACTCTCCGAATTTGGAGTTGAGGAGTGCAGCCTCTCGAACCTATGGTGCGATTTCTGCAATAAAATTTAAAAATCAGATTTGTTTTAGAATCCTGATAACGTAGCGTTACTGTATACAGGGTGATTCACAAGTCGTGACCAACAATGAAACATCATACACAGAACCGCATTTTTACGAAAACAATGTTTGTTTCAAGACTACATATTTTTATACAAAATTTCACTACTATGAATTATGGTTTTCCATGAGATATTTTTTCAATTTCCCATTTTCAAACTGACACATATCTTGATATCATTACTTAATTTATTCAATTCGTACAATATCCCTTTTGAAATACTGACTTGCTCGTTATATTGCTACTGCAGTTTTGTAAATTAAAGTCTATATGTCCTCTAGTAGAATGATTGTGGCACTCATTGTTCAGTAAAATAAAATTTTGTAAGTGATTTGGTAGAAGATGATTTTTCAACTTGAATATGAAAATGAAAGCCAAGTAGGCTATGAAATTTCTGATATTTAACCATTGTATTTCTTTCAGCATAAAATTTATTCTAGTATATTTATTTTTATTTAAGATGATTCTCATAGCTTTATTTTGTAATATTTGTACTTTTGAAAATACAGTTTCATATGCAGTGAACAAAATAGTCGAACAATATAACAAATGAGGAAGAATTATAGTGTTGTACACAATTTTTTAGAATCAACCCTTAGGCTATGCGAAATTCTATAAAAGTAATTTATTTTCTTGGATATTTTTGAAATAATATATTCATAGTGCCCTTCAAATTTTAATTTACTGTCTACGTATATGCCCAAATATTTAAATGATTCGATTGACACCATTTTTTCATGATTAAGATTTATCGTATTTTGATCTGAAGATTTTCCTATTAGCATATATTTTGTTTTGTTTGTGTTTAGTTTGAGTTTATTTGCATTTAACCAATGTATTATGTTTCTCATATCATTATTTAACAGCTCTATTGCAGTTTCAATGTCTTTATTTGATATGTATATATATATATATATATTGCTGTATCATCAGCAAATAGTTGAATTTTGCAGTGTTGTAAAATATCAGGAATATCGTTAATATATAAAATAAATAGTGATGGACCTAATTTGCACACCTACCGAAATGTTTTCAATGTTTGATAATGTATTGCCGATTTTAGTTCTTTGACTTATATTGATTAAATAATTTTGTAATAAGTTGAATACTGAACCTTGAAATCAATAGCAATGCAATTTCGTTAACAATTTCTCCCTGTCAATAGTCTCAAATGCTCTCTTGAAATCTAAGAACAATGTTACTGTAAACTTTTTTCATCCATATTTCGTCTCCATTCTTCTACTGCCATTTGAATTGCTGTTTCAGTAGAAAACTTTTTTCTGAATCCTGCTTGAAATTTTGTCAATATCTCATTTTCTTCGATATATTCATTGACTTGTTCATATATGATTCCTTCTAAGAGCTTCTCGACATCTGACAGTACATTAATTGGCCGCATGTTGTATATAATTTTACACTTTTGGAACAGGAGTAATTGTAGAACGTTTTAATTTTGAAGGAAATTCGCCATACACTAAACAGTGATTCACTAACAATAACTTTTCTCCTATACTGTTGAAACATTCCTTCATAACCATTTTTGAAAGATGTTCACTAGGATTTCTATTCGATTTCAATCTTGTAATAGCTTTTGAAAGATAGCTGATATTTATTGTTTGGAATTTTCTCATAGAAGAATTACAAGTAACTTACATGTGACATAGATTTGGATCTTCGATTGATTCCACTATCTCATTCATACTTTCTATAAAATAAGCGTTCATTCGTTCTGCAATTAATATTTTTTGCGTTACTATATCATCTTCGAAGCACATTCTTAATAATTTATTCTTCCTACTGGGAGATACAATATTTTTTAGTGCCTTCCACATCATTTTACTGTTATTTTTATTGCTATCGATTTTGTTTTCATAATATTTTTTCTTTTCGTTCCTAAGATTTATTAAACACTTGTTTACATTGTATCCAATCTTCCTCAGTTTGAGTGATCATAAACTTTTTATACTCATTATCACGCATCAATTTAGAGTCTAGAAATATTATATGCAGTTCTCCATACAATCCATAATTTTTTGGAAGTGTCAGCATCATTAAAAATTTCAGTGATATTGGCTTGTAAGAGTGACTCTCGTAACGTTTCAAAGTCAATAATTGTAATTTCTCTTGATTCTCTCTCATTAAACATATTTTCCAGCTCGAAACATATCCACGAATGGTCGCTTATTTTTGGAGTATGTAAAACCTTAATACTCAAATTCTGTTCATTGATTATTATTAAATCGATCTTAGTTCGTGAAAAGTTTGTAATCCTTGTGTAGTCATTAACTTGTTGCCATAGACCGTGAAAGTTCAGTACTTGTTTCAAATTTTTTACATAAAAATCTTGATTATCAAAATTTATATTGAAGTCTCCCAAGTGCACAGTGGAGCAATTTCGATAATACTGTTTTTCACAAACACTGTTAAAAAAGTCAAAAAATCGGCTAATATTACAGCTTGCAGATCTGTAGTAAACGTGTACATTGTAATTTTGTTTCATCTTCATTTCAAAATTAAAATACCACCATTGATAATCAACAACTACAGTATTATGTGTTTTTACTTCATACTCAGTTTGTATATTAATATGCCACCTGTATGTTTCGAAACTGTGTTTACTCTTATAACATCATAATCATGAATACGAGTATCAATCTCCATATCTCCAATATCTTCTGTAATATGTGTTTCAGTCAAGCAAAGAACTAATGGTTTCACTAATATTAAAAAATTTATAACTTCATCCTTGTGCGATAAAAATCCTTGAATATTTATATGGTATACATTGTTAGAATGTTTTTTGGCCTGTAATTGCTATTTGTCACCATAGGAAACTTTATTTTTTGATTTTTCATATTCGATTTGGACCATGTTGCAGGTATAGTGGAAGGGTGAGTGATTTATATCGAAATTTGTGTTGTACTTCAAATTTAATGCTCTGCAAGTTGGACATGTTACTTCGTCTTTGGATATCATACAGTTCTGAACCTGATGCACATTTTAAACAAATACTGGTCTTGGTGCAATTCTTCGCTGTGTGGTGAAATCCACCACAGTTAAAACACCTTAGAAGATCGTAATACTCAAAAATTGTACAAACATCCATGGATACAAACAAAATTCCTGCTTTCATTACTGCTTCAAATGTCGATCTATCCAATTCCAAAATTGTCATATACCGAAATTACATTTTTTTTATTGCCATTACTTTAATCGAAGCATCACTATTTATAACGTTGTTTCTCATTTTTAAGTCTCTAACCAATTCTTCATTGTTTAAGTCTTCACTGAAACGCACGACTTTAATCATTGGTAATTTTTTGTGGCCTACATTTAGTTTATAATTCTGTCCAACACTTTTTTCTATTTTCAATTTTAACTTTTTGATATCATCGATATCTTTGCATTCAATTTTCAGTGCTCCATCTTTCAGATCATTTACTTTTGTTGGTGTTTTCATATGTAGAACTGTTGACCATGTCTGCATAAGATTTACTGTTATTTGCAGATGTATCTTGGAAATTCTCAATTTGTTTATTTAGTTTATCTATTTTTTCATATAGTTCTTTTATCTGTTTTTCTTGTATCGAAATAGTATAGACTTTTATCTTTAAAATGTCAAGAAAGCACTTGACCCTGAAAACCTGACAACTTATGTCAGTAATATGTTTCAAAATTGAGTATCCGTAAAACTGCCAAAAAGTCGCTTCGATCACTGTTTAAAATTTACCACTGCTCACTAGTAGCCTCCATTACTCTAGATATTAACTTTTTTAAAGTATTAAAATTCTGTCAAAGTCTGTGGAATTTCCCCAGAATATTAAACCGTACCTTAACTTTGAGTGTATAAAGCATGATATGCCGTTAGAGCCACATCCGAACCTACCCTACTTGAAACCACCCACAGAACGGGCATAATTTCAATATTATTTTTTTTTAATTTATGAGCCTGCATCTTGAAAACTGCATTTCCGGATGTTTATAGAAACTTTTTGATTTTACTCGAGCGCGGCAGATTGCATTTGAGGTTTTCGAAAAAAAAATAGATTAACGACGGTTAAAAACGATCTAAACTAACAAAAGAAATGTGTGTAAGATCAGTGATAATCGTTGAATTTGCTGCCAATGAAGTATATCTATTGGCTGTGCCCGACGGGTTATTTTTATTATGTGCTTTCTGAAGTGAGGTTATATTCAAAGTTATAAATTATGAAAAACTGAGGAGAATTACGGGAAATCATCTCCGCGCCTGCGTTGTGTGTAACTACTGTTAGCATGTTTATGGCTTGTAATTCGACAGTGTACAGTGAATGTAGTTATTTCTTATCTCTCTCATTTTTTAAATTCAGCAAATTTCTATATCTAATTTCCAGAATGGATAAGAAAAAGTGGATGCGCAACTAATTTCTAGCTTTGAATCTCAATTAAGTGTATTTGAGACAAGAACGCAATGTAACTTAACGTAATTATCATCAACGCATACAACTTACAGCTTAAACCTCCAGTAATGCCATCTCAGAAGCAGATTTTACATCGCATCAGAGCCAAAGATTGATAACAAGCCTCATGACGTTTAGGCAACACGAACAACTAAGTGCTAAGTTAACATTTTGTAGAAAACCCTACATAATGTCAAAAAAACAGCATAATGTCAAAAAAATCGGCATAATGTCACTTTTCAAGATACATGATACCCGTGCAGAAGTGCCATCATGGTGAAAATATTCAAGCCGAATTGCTCCCATTGTTGATAAACCCAAATTTTCATAACAGTTTTACGTTAAGTTTTTGACTAATCGGTAGCTGCAGTTCTACGTGAAACGCCCTGTATACTCATTTAAACTTAATCCAAATAATGTTTCGAGTGGAATGTATAAAGAAACTCACCAAACACCTGCAGGAACTGGTTGGTGAATCGGGGTTGTCCTGTATGCATTTGAACCTAGGGCATCTTGGAATACTGTAGCCCCCATAATAAGTAGAGAATACGTTGTAATCGGCTGGAGAAACCACTATATCTGTAAGGACAAAAAGATTTTGTACCTCGTCGAAGAATACTTTAACTTTACACAAAAATGTTTGCGTTCAGATATTATTAAAGAATTTTACAATGCACTGGGAACTCACATTTAAATAAGATACTTGGAAGGATTCAAAATTTTGATTTCTTAATTTCTTATATTATATATTGTAATGCCTTATATTTATTTTAAATTGTTGGGCGCTTTTTATCTCCTATATCTATATATCTCCTATAATATCTATACGTAATTCGTAAAAATTTAATGTAGGTGTAGAATCATTAGTCAACGGCCTTCAAAAATTGACGTTTCATTTGATATGAAAGTTCAACTTAATCCTTCGGTATAAATATCCATCATGGTGAAATGTGTAGCGATTTCTGTTGGTATACCTCAATGTAGTAAATTAGGTCCAACTACTATTTATTTTAGACATAAATGACATTTGTACTATTTTAGATTATTATAAAATTCAAATATTTGCATATTATACATATCAGATGAGAATATAGACTGCTTTAAAAATGCTAAATTCTGACTTTGCAAAAATCATAAATTGGTTAAATGTGAATAAACTAAAATTTATGCTTAGAGGGAAATACCTAAATGAAAATACTGTCACAGTTATGATAAATGGTTAAATAATTGAAAATGTTGAATCAATTGAAAATATATGTAGATATATATTGACAGTAAACTAAAGTTTGAGGATCACTATGAATACATTAATTCAAAAATTGCCAAAAAACGAAATTATTTTTATAGGGCTTCTCGTAGTCTTGGTACATATTCCAAGAAAATAGTGTATATTGTTCAACTATCTTTTTCACTGGCAATGAAGCTGAATTCTCAAAATTACAAGTCCTGCAAAATAAAGCTATAAGAATAATATTGAATAAAAATAAAATAAAATCTTACAAGAATTGCCGTGGTTGAATATAAAAAATTTCATATCATATTTCGTTCCTTATTTTTATATTAACATGAAAAATCATCTTTTGCCACAACATTTATCACACAATTATTATACAATAAAAAATATAGATTTTTATTTAACAAATTGCAATAGTTATATAACTAGCAAATCAGTATTTCAGAAAGGATTAATTGAATTTAATAAGCTAAATAATAATATAAAGTCTACTTGGAAATTAAAAGATGTTTAAAAGAAACTTAAAGGACTATTTCTTATACAGTGAAAATTCTAAATATCTGTATGTTGTGTAATTGCTTAGTTTTTTTACAAGAATGTAATTCTAGCAATCATGCTAAATAGACGACTGAGGAGTTTTAGAGACAATGCCACATTCTGAAGAATTTTAGAAAAGGCCGACAGGGCAATACTTTTCTGCCTGAAAATGGTTATTAAAGTTGTCCCTGTCCAAAAAAAATTTGCCGAAGGAAAATCGTGAATGCTCTATTTCCGGTATTGTTTGTGTTGAAAAGTTACGTCAGTATTCTACTAGACTATGTCCAATCTAAAGCGGAGAACGAACTCATGCGGTTTACTATCACGATACACATACACTAAAGACAGGATATTGCGCATGTCGGCGGAGCTTCGTGACGTCACCCGGAGAGTTATCGGCTCGTGGTTACCGGTGGCAGGATTGTCGTAACGTTACCGCAGTTCACGTGTATCGTGGTTAATACTATATAGTGCAATTTGTTGGTGTTTTTTGGTGGTTTTGTGACTTGTACTAGTTATACATACCTTATATACCCAGTATAATTGATAAATTCATAAAAATGCGGTGTGCTGTTGTGGGATGTAATTCCGACAATCAATCTAAACGGAATCTTTGCACACAGTTTTCCTCAAGACCCAAACTTTAGCAAAAAAATAGCTACATCTCACGAAAAGATAAGACAAAGTCAATGTAAATAGCGCTAGGGTTTGTTAGAAAATGCTCTAGATGGTCTGAAACGACGCTTCAGCGTCCAATACCTGTTAACAAGACGTTTTCATCAAGATGTGATAGAAAACTTTTTCGGAGTAATTAGGGCAAAAGATGGACTTCATGACCATACAGGTCCTCTAGAGTTTAAGTATAGAATAAGGTCATATATGTTGGGGCGAAACGAAGGCGCATACTCAGAGTACCTATGTCAGAGGATACTCCAGACATTCCACTAACCGCATCATTAACGAGAATAAACTGAATGCACCTGAAGTATCAGCTGACTAAACCGAGCAAGTTTTAGTGGGAGAAATAGATGAGCTCGAGTATGACGGGCTGGAAAATTTGGCCAGCTTTGTTTGCAATAAAGTGCAGGATGAGTGGTTGGAAAGTTCCTCGAATGAAACTTATTCGTGGATAGACCATCCTAGTGAGGGTGGATTATCAAAACCTTCTGCAACTTTCATGAATCGAATTGAGAAGCTGAACAAGGTATTCATTCAATTCAATGGGTCGGAATAGTGACAAAAAAGCAAAATTTTATAGGTAAACTTCTGTTGGAGAGCAGCAACATTGACTGCCCTGAAAAAGCTAAAAAACTCTTTTTCAGGTCAAGGATGTTCTTCCGGATCAAGGAACTGAATAAAAGTTTGAGAAACCAGAAAAATCGTAAAAGGAAATGGAAAAAAATTGTTGCTTAGATTAAGTCATTTCCATTTATTGTTATACCATCACCTTACTGCAAAAAGAAGATAACTCCATTTTTCTACTTTTCTACTTGCGTACATTTTCACACTTACATGTACTTAGGATGTTCTGTGGAATAAGGATAAATGTAGTACAGTATTATGACATGAACATGTTGATCCTACTCCACAGAACATACTAAAATATAGGTAATGTAGAAAAATGGAGTTATCTTGTTTTTACAGTGAAGAGACGATACGCTCTATTGTGGAGCTACGAGTAGAATCCGTTTAAGCTATAGCCTGTGAAATAGGAATTACAGGGTTGAAATGTTTTATTAAAATCCACCATTTTGTTTTTTATAAAATTTCAATGTAGCTAGTGTCACTTGCACCGCTAAGACGAATCCAACGACACCTCATATGTGAAAATCTATCAAGCCGTTTGATCTGTAGCCTATGAAGTAGGAATTACAAGGTTGAAATCTTTTATTAAAATCCACCATTTTGTTTTTTATAAGATTTCAATGTCGCTAGTGTCATTCGCACCGCTAAGACGAATCCCACATATGTGAAAATCCGTCCAGCCGTTTGGTCTGTAGGTGAAAATATGCACGTTATCTATATCAACCTAAAGATAACCACTCTCCGCGTGACGTCATCGTCAGAATCATTCGTATTCATAGTATAATAAAATACTTAGAATTCTTGTTCTTTGGATTATCAATTACTAACACAAAAAGATCACTAGCTAGTTGTTTCGATTGACATTAATTCTGCATTTACAGTAAAAAAGGCAAAGTAGCTAAAAATGGGATATAAAGTATATTTCACGGACAGTAAAAATGACACTGGCTATATTAAAATTTTACAAAAACGAAATGGCGGATTTTAATAAAAAAAACCTAGAAATTCCTTTCCGGGTTACACCTTAAACGGCTTTATGAATATTGACATGATGTCTCTAGATCTCTCTTAATAGCGCAATTAAATCTTTTTTCACTCACCGCAATCGGACTGTTTGTGTTTTTTTTAAATGTACTTGTCCCTCGACTCCCAAATGCCGGATACTAAAGCGATATTTTTTCAGAAGTTATTTTTAAGCAAATTAACAAATTCACACCAATCAATTCCAAAACAATATTTTATGGACATACACGGTTACACTTTACTTACCAGGTTCCGTGTAGTTGAATCGCTTTGCTTTTCCAAAAGACATTGCTATACACTGCACTGCACGACACTCGAAAATGACGACTGATCCAAAAGGGTCAAGGTATAACTTTATACTGAAATATTTTGCATCTATTCAGGCCTTTATAAGATCCCTCCTGGTCTTAATCCCTGTAGTGGTGGTTCCTTCTTACTCCATTTAATTGCCATTTGGAACAGGTAGATTCTAGGAAGATATTTAAGAAGGTATTCGGGATTTTTTGCTGTAACGGTTGTTTTTGCAAAGATTTGCTGTCAGGGCTAAATACGATACGTCCAAAATAACGTTTATATTTATCAGAATCACTTGTTATATTTATTTATATGTTCTTTTGAAGCTTCGTTAAATGGAAAAACACAGTTGCGTGGTATGTTGCAGATTAAGATGTTCGCAGCGCAAGTTGCGGCGGTTGTTCCGCAATATACAGGGTGTCCCACAAGTCGTAATAGTGATCAGAAAAATATAAAAAAAAATCGGAAAAAACTGTGATGATCTACATCTATCATTACTACAAATTTCAATTTTTTTAGCACACGGAGTGACTGACAATGTCATTCTACGTAGAAACAGCATGATAGATAGTGACGCCACTTTTATTAATTCATGATTGTGTAGTGCCATCATGTCGGTGTACACCGGGCAGGAATACGCCAACATGCACCTTATTTACGAGGAATGTGTATGCAACGCTAGTGCTGTAGGTAGGCTTTATCGTTTACTCTGAGAGGGACGATTCCCGATTCCCAAATCAAGCAGATGATGAAAAAGGACTTTCCTTTCCTCGCGGGGACGTCGAACTACAAGCAGACGAAGAAGACTCGAGTACTTCAGTACGGTGGAAAGAGGCAAGCACGGGAGTGCCCAAAGGTACAGCCCACCAAATCTTGCGAAAGAACGAGCCCCACCCTTGCCACCTATAGCGAGTACAATACGTACAATCTGGTGATTATCGTCCAAGAGTTGAGTTTGGTCAAACAATGTTACAGAGACACCGGGAAGATCCGCAACTTTTAGAGAAAATTTTATGGAGTGATGACACTTAAAAAAGATGGTTACATGAATCTACATAACTCGCACGAGTGGCATGTAGAAAATCCACACTTAATGAGACACGATAGATCACGCAAGGCAGGTTCAACATGTATTTTGAATTTAGTAAATATATTCACGAATTAATAAAAGTGGTGTTACTATCTGTGTTGCTGTCACTGCGTGTCCGTCTAAGAAAAATTAGATTTGTAGTAACAGAGTGTAGATGTTTCGATTTTTTAAAGCCTATAATTTGAAAAGCACACGACAGATTTTTTCATATTTTTTTGATAACCATCACGGCTTGGCCTATCCCCCATTTTCTCCACGTCGACTCCTGGAACGCCCTGCATTGTAGGTTGTGAAAAATGAATGATCCAGCGCGTTAAGGATAATCAACATTCGGTCAAATATTCTCCGTTAAAACATATTCCAAAATTTATCATTATTCGATATTTTGCTCGTAAACATCACTTTCCAGGATATACTCTGAAATTCTAAGTAATGCTCAAGGTTTTATCTATTCGTTATTTCTATGCGTGACTATTGCACACAGAATAATGTTGATTCTTCAATCAATGGAATGCGTCCAGAATCGCATTTTACTTCAAACGTTATCGCCAGTGGCGTATCAAGGGGGGGCGCACCCGGTGACTCAACTTTTTCAGAGTTGAACTCTAGACAAGACATAAGCCTCTTCAAGACCTAGCTTCATTGTTCGATATCGTTTAAACAAATACCTTGCTTTTGGCAAATACTGAAGAACTGAAATTAGCTACATCCAAATTTACTGATTTTTATGATGAGGTCTCAGAAACAGAATTACTTTTGAAGATACCAAGACTGCTAAGACATTTAAAAGCCGCTAATGTTACCGTTTCTGTTTGGGTATCTCTAGATTTTTTTAATGTTTATTGTAGAATGGAATTTTACAGAATCTCTTCCAAATATTATGATTGCACTAAAATTGTTCATGACGGTTTGCGTCTCCGTAGCTTCATGTGAAAGGAGTTTCAGTAAACTGATATTGATAAAAAACTATTTGCGGGTAACAATGACCCAATCGCGGCTTAGCAAACTTGGTATATTAGCCATGAACACGAAGCAATACAAAATATAAATTTTGATGAAGTTATTTCTGGGTTTGCAGCTATCAAAGCTAGAAAAAAGATTTTAATTGTAAGGTAAACATATTTTTTCTGTCTTGGTTTTTATTGAGTATTGTTATTTGTTAAATATTTTAAATATGAATGATCCATGACGTTTATAAATCATATAAAATTTATTGCTTTTGATTCTCGATGGGGTGGTACCACCAACTTCCGCACCGGGTGCCACCCAAGGTAGGCACGCCACAGGTTGTCGCTATATGGTTTTGGTAATGATAGCCTGTCCTTAATCACGTCTCATTTATCAGACAGAAGGCAGTATGTTAGTTTTCAAAATTGTTTCTTCAACACTACATATTAACCACCGAGCTCCCCAAGGAAGTGTAAATACCTTTTTTTTATTGATATACGTGAATGATCTTCCACATTGTAGCATGAATTATTGTACGTATATCATTGGATCACGTTGATCAGGTATTATATTCTCAACAGCATTTTGACAACATATAAAACTGGCAAAGCAAAAACTAAATCTCTTTTACTCTGTACTCGTCCACATAAAATTACGTTAATAGAACCCGTGAAATTCCTTGGAATGTTTATTTATGTGAACTTGACTTTGGAATTACACATCACCACTTTATGAAAGACGTTATCCAAAGTAACTTATTTCATCACGATAATGCTCATGCTCCAGCGCTGGCGGGCGTTATTTTGAGGATGACTATATAAAATTGAAATTATATTTGAATAAAAAAATTTGCAGATCTATACGAGGAAAAGAAAAACATAATCAAGCTCAAAAACTTTATTAGGTGTATATAAACAATTCAGACTTTAATAGTAAATACAACGTACGGTAAAATTAGTGTAATGTCGTTAAGTACAAAATAAGCTTAGAAGTGGAAATGAGTATACAAAATGAAAGATCAACTAATCACAGACTTAGACCATACCAAAGCCTTCGGTGCCTTCACTTATCGCCAAAAGCAGACATTTCTCGAACTGTTCATAGCAATCATAGTCCGGTAGACATAACTGATTGAAACTGCAAAAAATACATTATCATTTTACAAGCATAAAAGGTTGTATAGGGCGTCCAGTGGGAAGGTTCATATTTCAAATTTGAATTACGCGGCAACCGTATAGCTATATAGTCCACAGACGACTGGTGCGCCATATCCTCTAGGGGTATTATTGAGCCGTATCTCTTTGAAGATGAAAACGGTCATGCATTGACAATTCCGAGCGATACAAGCACATCGTCGGACATCTGACAATACCTGCTATATGCAGGAACCGTAATTTTACAGGGGACGAAAAAACCTTATCAATTTTATTCTACCGGCCTTAAGACTCTAAAACTTAGGTCACAGAAAATAAATGACGTTTAACACATATTTGATGCGTTTTTATCTAAATGAAGCTCTAACTGACAAAATTAGTGCAGATAGCTGACATTTCTGCTAACTTTCTTTGCAGTTAGCAGATATTGTGCTATGATGCATAGGTGGAGTTAGTGAGATTCGTGTTAGAAAAACTGTTATTCATTATATCAAATTAAAAGTTTAATGCTTTTACAAATCAAAAAAATAATAGCATTCTCAGTTACACCTTAAATGAACGTTCAGCTTCTTTCCTTGACATATATGATCCCTCGGGGAATACTATTTCTGAGGAAGGTATGGGCAGTAGATTCGTTTGCTCCATACAAAAGTCCAGGTCAGGACGGCGTATTTCCGGCCATGTTACAGCAGGGACGGAGTTCGGTTGTTCTTTACCTGTTGAATGTGTTTCGAGCATGTGTGGCCACTGGCTTCACACCTAGAAGCTGGCGGAGGCTAAAGCGGTATTCATTCCCAAACCGGGCAGAGCTAGCTATACTGGCCCGAAGGAGTTTTGACCGATTACTCTTTCATCTTTTGTGCTTAAGACACTGGAAAGGATAGTTGATAGATACTTAAGGGATGGCCCGCTGGAAAGGTGTGTCATTCATGCAAAACAGTTTGCATACCAAGCTGGAAAATCGACTGATCTGGCGTTACACAATCTGGTCGGTAGGCTGGAGAAGACTCTAGATCAGCGAGAAGTGGCACTCGTGGCCTTTTTGGGCATTGAAGGTGCATTTAATTGCACCACAACCGACTCTATCAGACATGCCACGGGGTTGGATCAATGCTAATAGATTGGGTCCTATCTACTCTGGAGGGTCGGGTAACAACAGCTATGCTGAATGACGTGAGCTGCAGCGTGAGTGTAGCTAGAGGCTGCCCTCAGGGCGGAGTTCTGTCACCCCTACTGTGGTGTATCGTGGTGAACGAACTCCTCGTTAGGCTCAGCAGTATGGGTGTCTACGTGCAAGCCTATGCTGATGACGTAAGCATAGTAGTTAGGGGGCGTTTTTGTAGAACAGTGTCGGGAATTATGCAGGGCGCTCTGCGCTCCGTGGAATCGTGGTGTAGGGAAGTCGATCTTTCTGTTAATGCTGAAAAGACCGAGCTGATCCTATTCACTAGGAGAAGAAGGCTTGATGGGCTGGTCATGCCGACCTTCTTTGGAACTAGATTAGTTTTGTCCCAGTCAGTGAAATATCTGGGAATTATCCTGGATTGCAAACTGAACTGTTGAGAGCATGTTGAATACAAAGTTAGCAAGGCTCGCAATTCGATGTGGGCTTGTAGACGTGTTGTCGGGGTAAGGTGGGGGGTAAACCCAAAGTGGTATACTGGCTCTACACGACGATAGTACGTCCATCTCTCTTGTACGGCTCCCTGGTCTGGTGGCCTTGCATTAGAACTGAGACAACTACGGTCAAACTCAATAAAATTCAGCGTTTGGCCTGTATTAGTATTACAAGCGCAGTGCGAACAACGCCATTGAGTGCAATGGAAGCTCTGTTAGATCTCGCACCGTTGGATCTGGTGATCCGCGGTGAAGCGAGAGTAGTCGCTCATCGACTGTGGAGTCAGGGCAGCTGGGCTTTCTTGAATCCTGTCAAGGGGCATACTGCCATCTTAGTCGAATTACAAAGGGAGGAGACCCCGTTCTTCTAAGCAGGGGTGATCGTGTTACCCCCAAATATCGCTTCAACCGCAAGTTTATTGTGGAGTATCCAACGAGGGAGGAGTGGGACGCCGGTAGCCGGGGACTCTCCGTAGTGAGCGGGCAGGTCTGGTACACGGACGGCTCGGTCACCGAAGAGGACTCAGGTGCTGGGGTCTCTGGGCCTAGAACTAGGCTATCTCTGCCCCTCGGTGGATACACCACTATTTTCCAGGCGGAAATCTTTGCGATTCTGGCTTGTGTATCTCACATTCTGGAGGAGGATGGGCCTAGGAGAAGAATAACAATCTTATCCGACAGCCAGGCTGCAATGAAAGCACTAAGTGCCTGTAAGATTACTTCGAGTCTTGTATTGCAATGCAGGGAGGCTCAGGATTGCCTCGCAGCGAGGCATCCGGTATCGTTAATATGGGTACCAGGGCATGCTGGGATAAGGGGCAATGTGACGGCGGACACTCTGGCGAAGTCAGGATCTGCCAGCAAGCTCGTTGGTCCTGAGCCAGCTCTAGGAGTGACCGCGCATAAAGCTAGGAGGAAAATGGAGACGTGGGTTGCAATACAACACTCTCACAAATGGAGAAGTATCTCCGGACATCTCCGCCAGGCACGGGAACTCATTGAAGGGCCCAGTTCTAAGGATGGACGCTTCTGCCTATCTCTGGATAGAGCCAACCTAAGGTTGCTGGTGGGATTGCTGTCTGGCCATAACACGTTAAGACGTCACCTGCACGTGATAGGGGTGCCTGAGGATCCCTTGTGTGAACGCTGCGGGGTAGAGGAAGAGACCTCGGCGCACGTTTTGTGTCGCTGTGAAGCTCTGAGCTACTTTAGGCAGACTATACTGGGGTCCATTACTTTGGACCCTCAGGACGTCAAGGAGCTTGGACTCAAGGCGATTCTCAACTTCGCTAAAAGGGCGAGGCTTGTGATCTAAGGATTGTAGAGGTGCATAAGGGCCCGCTTAAGCGGCCTATGTACTGGATCCTTATGGTGGTCGGAATGCCTCTAATTTCAAGATTAATTCATTCATTCGTTGACATATGGCAAATTGTCGCAAAACATGTGACAGTCCTTAGATATAAGACTTATAATCTGAAATGAGGCGTAGCTGTTTTGGTCTCATAGGCTCTACACTGAAGTCTAGTTTCACTTCAATTTTTCCATCAAGATTATAATATAGTACTTTGATGTTTGTGACTACATTGTGCCTGCCTGGTCTAATTGTTGAGTATCGCTGCACCTCTGTTCGAGAATAGTCCTTGAAGAAGTCGTAACTCAATTGGATCACCTCATATGGCTCTGGTTTTGTCCCAGCTTCTTTTGACGCCTTAACATAGTCATTTGATAATTCAACAACTATTTCTCAGTTTTCGTTAAGTGCAACTGTGTACAGAGTCAAATTTGGGTGTGTCCTTTAGTGAGATATTTCTGAGAAATCACAAAGTCGTGTTTCATTGCACAGTTAAGAAAAATAGCACGCGTAATTGTCAGATGGCTGGAATTGCCGCTCATTGACAGACGTGTTGCCAGCGGTAGGTATTGTTTTGGCTGAATAATTCAAAAACTAATTTTTCTGCAGTTAGCGGACTCTATCACAATGTGCGCTGTAGTAAACGAAGAAAAATGTGCATATACCTCAGATTGGGCTAAAATGTCAGATAGCAGGTATTTTCAGGTGTCCGACGACATGACTGACACTTTTTTTGATCCTATTATAAGAACAGAACGTCGATTTAACAGAAACACATGGTTTCAACAGGATGGGGCCACTGTCCATACTTCCAGAGAATCGATGGACAAGGTGAAAGCACTGTTTCCTCAAAAAGTTATATCGAAGTTTGGAGACGTTCACCCGACCTCACGCCATACGATTTTTTTTGTGGCGTTATCTAAAGTCAAAAGTGTATTACAATAATAAACGAGTACTAGAGACATTGGACGAGAAATAAACAACATCGCTCCGGAACTCTGCAAGAGAGTGTTTGCGAATTTGCGCGCGCGATTAGAAGAGATGGCAAAAATGTGGACGGAATGATATTCAAGAAATAAAACCCGCCGAATTCACGAATATGTTGATAGTAATAAATATTTTCTTTTCATTAGGTTTGTATTTTTTTCTTAAATCAAAATGTGAACTTTTCCACTGGACACCTAGCATTATGAATACAAAAAGTCTGATGTGAGAGTAGCGCACCGCTAGAAGTTGAAATTTCTGATCATTCAAGAGTACTTGAAGATTCCCGTCAATTACTCTACCTTTTATAGGGATTTTTTGTACATTAAAGTTTCATTTGTACACCCAGAAATTGAATGGCTGTCATGTCAGTTTTTACTCCCGCTGGACGCGCTAGTGTGGCTGAGGGTCAAACTGTCACAACGTATACATGGGAAAAAGTGACGGAAAAAAAACGACAGGGTTGTTGGAAATATAACCTGTTTCTCACGTAAATGTCTGATCAGCAATTAGGAAGTTTCCTATAGTCGAAAATACCGTCTGTTTTACTTGCATCTGATAATATAACTAGTATCTTTGATGAATCTGAAAGAATTATTCCAATAACTTTAAATTTAAGGAAGTTATGGCATTTTCTGGGTTGGCTGCTGTAGCCGATCGGCCTCGCGCGTTGAGATTCGGTAGTGACGTCACATGAAGGAACGTCGCACGTCGTAGTGAAGCGGTCGGACGACACGACGGCATATCGCATACATCCTTAGCGCTCAAGCTGACAAGACGGAATTTATTGTTTGAATCTTGGCGTAGGCTGTTGTATTAGTATATAATAATTAAAATGGAAAAAGGTTTTTTACGTGCCAATTTTACCAATCTTTTGAAGGTGGACATAATAATGGTAATGAATTTATTCACAAACAATCCACTTTATGTCAGTACGGAAATACGTAAGTAAGTATAATATAATAAGTATGATTTATTCTATACAACTCTGATAACGTGAACCCAGTTTTTCAACCCTTTGCCTGCGACTATACCATAGTGTGGACTTATAAGTGTTTTGAGTCATCAACTTTACGTAGGACGCGTGGTGTCAGTGGCTATTGATGATCTTATTTGGCTTTATTAATTTTATAAATAGAAGAAAATGAAAACATGCTTTGCATGCATCAAATAATTTAGGATGACCCAAACTCCAGCGAATACGTTTGATAAATTAATAATAAATTCAATACCGCGCAGTGACCAGAAAATTACCTGTTTAAACTGAAATTTAATCCAACACCGGTGTTTGTTTGCTTGCTTCAGATTTATTTAGCATTAATGCTACAATATCCATAATATCCATATTACACAGTATATCACAAAATATATTATGTCTTCAAGACCTACATATTTTTATACAAAATTTCACTACTATGATTTCTGGTTTTCCATGAGATATTGTTCCAATTTCCCTTTGAACATTTTCAAACTGACACACATCCTGATATCATTACTTCACAGCATTTTAATAATTCTTTCGTAACACTTCACGATATCCATTTGTTAACCAGGAGTAGAATCAATGATTCGTCATTCATTTTTGGGTATTGTTATTTGGCTGTTGTCATCATAGATCTGGAAGAGACACCTATGGAGACGAGGCGATTGGTTATGTGCAGTTAAAAAGAGAACGGGATATCTGTATTGTAAAAGCCAGGATTACGCCCGAACATACAGTTAAAAGCAAACAGTATCATTTCGGTTTTGAATGCGACGAAAAGGAAGAAACAGTAATCAAGCTAGAATGCAGTGGTTATGCTGCACAAGAGGGTGGCTGTAAGCAGGGTGTAGCGCTATTTATGTGGCTGCACAGAAGAAGCGAAGAACCACCATACACTTTCGTGAAGTGGTACTGGACAAATGCCAGATTATCTACTATTGGCAGTAATCTAACATTTATAGAAGCCTCTCAGATGATTAAACATTAAGCCCACACTTGATCGACGCCTATGCATCGCCGCCTCGGCGCAAACAAGGTATGAACAGTGTTCCCCTTTAGCCACAAGATGATCACTATACTCACACTATATCGAAATGAAAGCAATGATCAAATCTATTTCTGTTCTCCTTTAAACCATTTAGATTCTTTACCTTATCATGCGATTCATACAGACTAAGACTAATAATAATAATAATTAGCTAAATAGGTGCTTACATCAAAATGGGATTAACAGCAAAACAACGTTGATTTTTCCGATAGCGGCATTTTATCGTCACTATTCATTACCTTGCACCACTTCTTTCTAATACTTCCCTTTTTTGGCACACAGAAAAAATGTTTATCTGGAGCTGATATTCTAGTATTTGTACACCTAGGTACAATAAAATATTTGTAGGTTGAATGTTTGACCATCTTTTTATTCATTGTTAATAATAGGGGGAAGCGTGTGTCGCGGCGCGGCGGACGCATCTCCTTGCAGTGGTGCTGGGCCAATAAACTTCCGTCATATGACGTCAACACTCACTCGCCCGGCCCACCACACGATTCTCCAACTAATAACCTTCTGACTAGCGTAACTTTGTTATTTTTCGAAATATTAAAAAAATTTAGCGCTGCATTTTACTTAGACTATCATTTTGGGTGTCTTTTGAAAAATAGGAAACTTCCTCATTGTCTGTTCATATCATTATAGCGTTTTATTTTAATAAAAACGGTGCAGTTTCCATGTTTGAAACACCCATTCCCCGGTCCCTCTCCCTGCTCAATTCTTTTACGGTTTCGTTTACTTTTTTCTACCGACTGCGCATGATTTTGTACGAAATGTATTTCAAAAACTTCTTTACTAGACAAACAGGATTTTAACTTGTAAACAAAATGGGAAGAATTTTCAGTAAAATTATGAACAAGATAAGAGAACACAAAACATGTTATTTCGTATCTTACCTGTCAATGGATTTTTTTCACTCTGCTGATCTTTTCTTCCAAAGAAGTAAGTTACCAAATTTAATACTACTCACCAGGTGTGCGCAGTCGGCAGGTTCCCGAACGTCGGCGCCGCAGTGATCTGGAACCTTGGCGTCAACTCGCGGAATCCACCTGGCGGTAGCTGCGAGCATCCGGTGGTGAACTGCAACAACCTGGCCATCTCCTCCTGCGTGAAGTTACCGACGGCAGCCCAGAACCACCCGACAACTCTCCTGAACTCCGCCGAGTTGCCGTTGACCATGTGATGGGCTCGGAAGTCGGCCAGGTTGTATTGCCCGGTGCCGCAAAGCAGCAGCTGGAACGCCAACGGGAAAGAATTTTTTATGGGAGCTTGTCGCTTACAATTACAGGGAAATTCCCCTTCGCGGGTCCCTGTCGACTCTCATACAGGGTGGCGCATCGAAAACGAAACACGCATTTACTGGCAGCTCAGTTTTTTTTTAAAAACGCTCAAACCCGTCGAATTTGTTTTCGAGGGGGGCACAAGTTTGGCAAAAAATCACGTTAGCACGTGCAACCCCCTAAACGGAGGTGACACCACCCCCAAAATCTTAAATGGAAAGGGGGGTCGAGTGATACCTTATGTTAAAGGTCTTTCAATTCCCTTTATAATGATATAAAATTAATGTACTTCAGTTCAGTAGTTTTGAAGATTTATTGATTTAAAGCTTAAATAAAACTAACACATTATCATTAGTGGAGATCAATACATTTGGCAGCAAAGTAATTTAAAAATGAAGAATGAACTGACCCGTTAGGCAAGTAAATGTTGAAAATGGCCACCATGAATCTTCATGCAATAATAAAGATTTTGGTCAAAACGTTGCCGCACATTTGACAATATTTGAGGAGTAATTTGAAGGCACCCATTCACAATTCTTTGTCGCAGGTCTTCTAATGATGTTGGCTGAGTAGCATTGATTTTGCTTTTTAAATGACCCCACATAAAGAAATCCAAAGGTGATAAATCTGGCGATCTTGGGGGCCATTCAATGGCACCTCTTCTACCAATACATCGATCTGTAAACGTCTGATCTAAATATTGTCGAACATGTAATGCGTAATGTGGTGGGGCACCATCCTGTTGGAACATCAACCTAGTCGCAATGTAACGCCGATCATTCTGATTTTTAATTATGGCTGTTAATGCAGGATCTAAGGCGTCTTCCAGTAATTCCAAATACATTTCACCGGTCAAATTTCCAGCTAAGAAAAAAGGACCAAATAAATGATCACCAAAGCCCAAACATTTAATTTTTGTGGCTGTGTGCTGTGCATGAACCTCATGATAATTCTGGAATCAGAATCGGACCAATATCGGCAGTTATGACGATTTAGTACGCCGTTTAAGAAAAAGGAACATTCGTCGGAAAAGCAAGTGTTGAATAGAAAATGTTCATCGTTTATAATTCGTTTACTCATATCTTCACAAAATTGTAATCGCCGATCAAAATCGTCTTTATCAAGTTCTTGAACCAGGTGAATTTTATACGGATGAAAACTATGGGCCTTTAGAATGCGTTGGATAGTAGTCTCCAATTTGCGGGTACTTAACGTAGGATCTACATAAACTTGCCCTAAAACCCCCACTTCTATTGCTTCGTTCCTTATGGGATTTTCAATGTTGCATTTTCTATTGGCGACTGACCCAGTTTCCCGAAATTTAGCTACAAGTTCTAGAACATATTTTCGATGCACGTTACTGTTCTCATGTCGCTCATTAAATATTTCTGCTGTTCTATTAGCGCACTGATTATTTCCGAAAAATATTTCGATAATTTCAACTCTTTCTGCTGTGGAATATACCATAGTTAATTTATGTAATAAAGCGTTACAAGTTATGTTAGCAACAAAGTTTGGTCAAATCAATCGCAAACTGTGTACTAAATTCCTATTTAAAATAAGTATTGATCGACCAGCCAAAGATTGCTAGGGACGAAAGGGGGAAATGCGATGAAAAAACCTTACCATTAGACGATTTTATATGGAGTCATAGGCGGAGATCGGAGAGACTTGAATTATTAATTGAATTTATATTTTATTACAACTGGTAGTATTAATATTTTTTTGCGATTCATAATGACGTGATACCAAACATACATTATAAGAAATAAATATACACAAACACTGAATATTGAGAACAAAATAAATATATTTTTTAGGCAACAAGTAATATTCCTATGTACGCATTATGATTGAACAGCAAAACAAATTATGCATTCTTCTAAAATAGAATACAACAAGTCAAAAATATCTGACTGAATAGAAAAATATAGGAAAACAAAAAGTAATTTCTTGATGAAATAACCCATAAACAACACATAGAATTAGACTTTCTACTGAGATACTAAAAGCCACAAACCAATAGTATAATAAATGAATATCTAAAAATTCTAAAAGGTAGCCAATCTAGTATAGTTTCAATCCTGATTAGAGTCATGATCACTGTCTGAGGAACTGTCATTGCTATCACTTTCACCTCCTATGTTGATTATTATTTCTTCCTGTATTTCTTGAATGAGACTGTCTTTTTCCCAATATTCATCTTCAATTTTTATAACATGTCCAATAACCTTTTGCCAGTCACTGGCACTTACTGAAGCGATGGCCTTATTAGAAATTTCATCTAGTTTTTTTATAGTAAATTCGCCGCTTGTATTATGGCTTCTAATGAAAAATTTTACTTGTGCCCAAATCATCTCTATGGGATTAAACTGACACATATAGGGTGGCGTTCGAAGTGGGGTGTGTCCGAAACTTCTTATTAAATTATCTATCTTATAATTTTTCTCATCAGATGGTGGCCTATGTAGACAAGCTATTTCATAAAGCTCCATTTTTTTAGCATTAGGATCATGCTCTATACCTTTTTTGCTCAACCACGTGATGATGTCTCTTTTTAGAGAAGATCTAGTTGGAGGCTTGTCTTCCAAAGCTGAATGGTAAGGTGCATTATCCATTATTATAATACTATTAGGAGGAATGTTAGGAAATAGTTTTTCAGTAAGCCACTTCGTGAAATTTTCTTGGTTCATTTGACCGTGATAATCACCAGTGGCACAGCCAGCCTTGAAAATGAGACAGGCTCCAGGAACAAAACCATCTTGCGAACCCGCATGAACAATTATAAGTCGTCCTGGAAATGAATAAATAGCCTCATTTTAGTGTTATTTTAAGTTTGCCAACACCTTTTTGAATCACTATGTATAAAAAACATATTTTTGAGAAAAAAATACTTGCAAGGGATTATGTATTCAATTAGACAAATTAAATGAGCACTTATTAAGAATATTCCAAAATTGAGAAAAATGTATAATAAGCAAAATCGAGGTGAAAGAAACTTTATTACCTGTAGAACTTATATTGCTCAGGACACCCATAATTTCTTCGCTTTGCCAGCATTTCTTGAAAGTGAGGTCATTATCAACCCAAGTTTCGTCCAAATAAATAATATGCCTTCCTTCTTCCCGGAACTTTTTAATAGACCTAAGATACTTGTATCGCCAATGTAAAATACTGGGTCTTTCCATTAGTAATTTCCTTTTGTTGTGGCATTTACGCCAGTAAAATCCTTTTGCTTTTAAAAGCAGCCTCAACGATTCTTTACCAAATGGAAATTCCATTTCTTCCTTCAGTTTGATTAGAAGTTTACTACAAGTAGGTACCACTTTAAAATCACAGTAAAATTTTTCTATCATTCTCCGAATAATGGAAAAATCGACTCCATCAATTTTTTGGATCACAGAAGGGCGTGATCTCTTTTTTCCGGGAGAAGCTAAAGGCTGTGTGGAGGTTGCATTTTGCCTGTCTTTATCTTCTTTTCTAATTTTACTTATAGTTCGTTCACTAACACCCGTATAATATGCCGCCCTTGCATTTCTAGCTACCAGTGGATAAACGAAAGTATTGTTAGCCGCTTCTGCATCGCAAGCACGTATCACGTTTGCTATTATTTCCCTTGCCTGGCTGTGAATAACTTTCCCATGCTTGAATTCCATTATCACCACTAAACAGTAAATTATATTTTCAAAGTATTTGCCAACTGCCTACGCCTATGGGAGTAGGTTTATAAATGACCGTGCCATCGGCACGTTATTCTAGTTTCAGATAAGATAAGAGTTTTGGACCAATCAGCGACCGGATGTTTACCTGCGGCCTGGGTTTTCCAGCTACATTGCCAAATTCAGCGGAACAATTCTATATCTTAAATATGTTAATATGTATGGACCGCATTTTATGTAGAACATCTGACAACTTCGCAATTTTTTGTCCGCATTCTTTCGGCTTGCAATCTTTCGCTGGTCCAACAGTACGAGATATTTCCTTACCTTTCTTCAAGAAATAACTTTTTTGCCACAAAAAAACGCTCCAATAGCTATTTTCAACAACAAGATTATAAGCAAACCATGGGCGTAGTGAAGAAAACCATTTACTTATTAAGTAAATTCTTTTAGTCAAATTTCTTCTGAAAGTAGTACAAACTATTGATCGACCAGCCAAAGATTGCTAGGGACGAAAGGGGGAAATGCGATGAAAAAACCTTACCATTAGACGATTTTATATGGAGTCATAGGCGGAGATCGGAGAGACTTGAATTATTAATTGAATTTATATTTTATTACAACTGGTAGTATTAATATTTTTTTGCGATTCATAATGACGTGATACCAAACATACATTATAAGAAATAAATATACACAAACACTGAATATTGAGAACAAAATAAATATATTTTTTAGGCAACAAGTAATATTCCTATGTACGCATTATGATTGAACAGCAAAACAAATTATGCATTCTTCTAAAATAGAATACAACAAGTCAAAAATATCTGACTGAATAGAAAAATATAGGAAAACAAAAAGTAATTTCTTGATGAAATAACCCATAAACAACACATAGAATTAGACTTTCTACTGAGATACTAAAAGCCACAAACCAATAGTATAATAAATGAATATCTAAAAATTCTAAAAGGTAGCCAATCTAGTATAGTTTCAATCCTGATTAGAGTCATGATCACTGTCTGAGGAACTGTCATTGCTATCACTTTCACCTCCTATGTTGATTATTATTTCTTCCTGTATTTCTTGAATGAGACTGTCTTTTTCCCAATATTCATCTTCAATTTTTATAACATGTCCAATAACCTTTTGCCAGTCACTGGCACTTACTGAAGCGATGGCCTTATTAGAAATTTCATCTAGTTTTTTTATAGTAAATTCGCCGCTTGTATTATGGCTTCTAATGAAAAATTTTACTTGTGCCCAAATCATCTCTATGGGATTAAACTGACACATATAGGGTGGCGTTCGAAGTGGGGTGTGTCCGAAACTTCTTATTAAATTATCTATCTTATAATTTTTCTCATCAGATGGTGGCCTATGTAGACAAGCTATTTCATAAAGCTCCATTTTTTTAGCATTAGGATCATGCTCTATACCTTTTTTGCTCAACCACGTGATGATGTCTCTTTTTAGAGAAGATCTAGTTGGAGGCTTGTCTTCCAAAGCTGAATGGTAAGGTGCATTATCCATTATTATAATACTATTAGGAGGAATGTTAGGAAATAGTTTTTCAGTAAGCCACTTCGTGAAATTTTCTTGGTTCATTTGACCGTGATAATCACCAGTGGCACAGCCAGCCTTGAAAATGAGACAGGCTCCAGGAACAAAACCATCTTGCGAACCCGCATGAACAATTATAAGTCGTCCTGGAAATGAATAAATAGCCTCATTTTAGTGTTATTTTAAGTTTGCCAACACCTTTTTGAATCACTATGTATAAAAAACATATTTTTGAGAAAAAAATACTTGCAAGGGATTATGTATTCAATTAGACAAATTAAATGAGCACTTATTAAGAATATTCCAAAATTGAGAAAAATGTATAATAAGCAAAATCGAGGTGAAAGAAACTTTATTACCTGTAGAACTTATATTGCTCAGGACACCCATAATTTCTTCGCTTTGCCAGCATTTCTTGAAAGTGAGGTCATTATCAACCCAAGTTTCGTCCAAATAAATAATATGCCTTCCTTCTTCCCGGAACTTTTTAATAGACCTAAGATACTTGTATCGCCAATGTAAAATACTGGGTCTTTCCATTAGTAATTTCCTTTTGTTGTGGCATTTACGCCAGTAAAATCCTTTTGCTTTTAAAAGCAGCCTCAACGATTCTTTACCAAATGGAAATTCCATTTCTTCCTTCAGTTTGATTAGAAGTTTACTACAAGTAGGTACCACTTTAAAATCACAGTAAAATTTTTCTATCATTCTCCGAATAATGGAAAAATCGACTCCATCAATTTTTTGGATCACAGAAGGGCGTGATCTCTTTTTTCCGGGAGAAGCTAAAGGCTGTGTGGAGGTTGCATTTTGCCTGTCTTTATCTTCTTTTCTAATTTTACTTATAGTTCGTTCACTAACACCCGTATAATATGCCGCCCTTGCATTTCTAGCTACCAGTGGATAAACGAAAGTATTGTTAGCCGCTTCTGCATCGCAAGCACGTATCACGTTTGCTATTATTTCCCTTGCCTGGCTGTGAATAACTTTCCCATGCTTGAATTCCATTATCACCACTAAACAGTAAATTATATTTTCAAAGTATTTGCCAACTACCTACGCCTATGGGAGTAGGTTTATAAATGACCGTGCCATCGGCACGTTATTCTAGTTTCAGATAAGATAAGAGTTTTGGACCAATCAGCGACCGGATGTTTACCTGCGGCCTGGGTTTTCCAGCTACATTGCCAAATTCAGCGGAACAATTCTATATCTTAAATATGTTAATATGTATGGACCGCATTTTATGTAGAACATCTGACAACTTCGCAATTTTTTGTCCGCATTCTTTCGGCTTGCAATCTTTCGCTGGTCCAACTATAATCTGATGTTACCTAATAAGCTTTTTTTAAAGCTTTAAATCAATAAATCTTCAAAACTACTGAACTGAAGTACATTAATTTTATATCATTATAAAGGGAAATGAAAGACCTTTAAAATAAGGTATCACTCGACCACCCTTTCCATTTAAGATTTTAGGGTTGGTGTCACCCCCGCCCAGGGGGCTGCACGTGTTAACGTGATTTTTTGCCAAACCTATGTCCCCTCGAAAACAAAATCGACGGATCTGAGCGTTTTTCCAAAAACAAACTAAGCTGCCAATAAATGCGCCTGTTTCGTTTTCGATGCGCCACCCTGTATATAATTTGAATTGTTTTAACTCACGCTTGGACAGACATTCCCTTGAACGGACGCGAACACGAGAAAATGTTCTCCTAACCGGACAACACACAAAATAAAAAGAAACGCCACAAAATTGTGTTATGACTGGTCCATAGCAACTCGTCATAAGGGGATTCCTTCGAATGAGGTATACAGTAGCGGACAAAAGTTTGGAAACAAATATTAACATTATTATAAACTATTTCATATACCTAAATTAAAATTGTGAAGGAACAGATATAAATATTAAAGTCTACCTTTGACTTTCGTACTAATACAAGGTTCATCTATCTTATATTCAAATTCTCTGAAAATAAAAACACGCGTTTTTTTTAAATACTATAGTTTTTGTAACGACAAGTAAGTATATATTTACAGTTTTGCCGCGTCTATTCGTTCTGCGATACACTGATATTGCGTGCGGTAAATATTAACATCAGTTAGGATGGCAAAAATAAAAGAATTTTCAAAAGATTTAAAAGACAAAGTAATTGAATTATCTAGAAGTGGTGTCAGAAATGTTGACATTTTTCAAAAGTTAAAAATGAACAAAGGGACGATTTCGAAAATTATTAGTAAATATGAATAATACGGATCAACAGCAACGCGGCCCAGGTGCGAAAGACCGAAAAAAAAATTCGGATTATGTTTTGGATCGCTACATTAAACGTTTCTCCCATGGAGATCATCGAATGCTAGTAACACAGATTTTCGAAATAATCGTAAAAGAGGGTGTCGAGAATCTTTCTGTCAGAACAGTGCAGAGACGCTTGGTGGATTTTGGTCTTTTTGGTCCAGTGCAAAAGTCTCTCATTTAAAAAAAAAATCATAGTGCTCGGCTTGAATTTGCTAAAACTCATCTAATTTGGACAGAACAACAATGGAATACAGTTTTATGTTGAGTTATGAAAGCAAATTTCACTTGTTTAGATCTGATGATACGGCATATGTGAGACGTCTAATACGAAAAGCATTCGACAAGAAGTATCAGTTGAGAACAGTTAAGCACAGTGGAGGCAACATCATGGCTTGGGGCTGTTTTTCTAGTTCTGGAACGGGTCCAATTGTTAAAATTGTTGGGAAAATGAATCAAGAACTTTACAAAGATATTCTTAGTGAACACATGTCCCCTCTTGCTGAAGAGAAATGACTTTAGGTTGGACATTCCAGCAAGATAATGACCCCAAACATGCCTCAAAATTCGTAAAGGACTGGTTAAGACTAAAAAATGTTGATGTTCTAACATGGCCTTCGTAATCCCCGGACCTAAACCCTATAGAACATCTCTGGGAGCATGTTAAAAGATAACTGACGAGAAAAACTTAAAAAAAACAGGAACGATTTATTTGATTATGTAAAAAATATTTGGCAATATATCCCAACAGACGTCTGTAAAAAATTGGTGTCTTCTATGAGATGCAGATGTCAGGCAGTGTTGAATGCTAAAGGCTATGCTAGCAAATATTAGCTGAACAGTATTTTTTAAATCTTTATTGTATTTAATTTTGTACTAAAAAATATGTTTCCATACTTTTTTCGTATCATTTTCGGTCATAAAATAATTTGAAGGTATTTTAATGCTAGTCTTTAGTACCACAGCAAACACAAACTGTCATTTGTATACTAAAGACTGTAAGCAAACTATATGAGAAAAAAAATAGTTGTTGTTGTTGAAGATTTATTTAGCATTAATGCTACAATGTCAATTTTGTATAATGATTCGGTTACATATTTTTCTTCAATCCATTTTGTGTAATTTTACATTCTTGTTCATTAAAATTAAAATTACGTCACTATGTATTTTGATTATTCATAAAGTGATTTTTTAATTTCACCTTAAACATTTTTAAATTCGAACCCTGTTTAATATCATTATTCAATTTATTAAATTCAAATACTCCCTTTTGAAATATAGATTTACTAGTTATGCTACTATTACAATTTTGCAGATAAAAATCTATACTGCCTCTAGCCTCGTAGTTATGATAATGACTATTTAATTTTATGAAGTTCTCTAAATGTGGTGGTAATGAATGATTTTTTAATTTGAATATGAAAACGAGAACTAAATAATATATGAAATTTTGCACATCCAACGACTGCAGTTTTTCTAACATAGACTTAATCCTAGCATACTTGTTTTTATTTAAAATGATTCTCATAGCTTTATTTTGTAGAATTTTGTAGAATTTTCCAAATTTTTATCCGCTACTGAATGTACATATTATTTTTTTAGATAAACTTTTTTGTACTAATATGTTGATTTTCTTGACATATCAATACTAAAATAGATAAGAGTGAGATTGTCATTAGATTTGTCGTGACAAAAATGCAAAAAAACATATACTCACACGAAACAATAAAAAATAAAAACAAAGATAAAATAATTAGATAGATGTTAAAAAACGAAAAAAATTCAAAAAAAAACTATGTATAGCGGACTCACCCTTTTATTTTGAAACTGTGGTGGTCAAAAAGTAATCTAACGTTTGCACATCTTAAATACCATTTACACTGCAACTGATCAATATAACAAACGAAAGACTGATGGAAATGCGAAACATTTTTTTAATTTTTTGCTTTTCTGTTGATAAATATTATGTGGTAGTGATGATTGTCTCTTCATAAAATTAACGATGTTATATAAATTCTATAAACTCAACTTGAAAGTGGAAGTCATATTTCTGACATATAAAGGAAGCTATAAAGAGATTCGTCAGGTACTTACTTCTAACTCGTTTTCGTCGAAAATACTAAGAAGATTATCGGGAATCAACTCGTTGAGCCCTTTCAAAAACGCCTCCATTTCGTCTTTTATGCTTGTTGCTAATTTATATTGTGCTAAGGCATCCAAGTATTGCAGTTTTGTACTATTCATAACTCGAATTTTCGAGCCGTTCGGAATCAGCTCGATAGTTTTGTTAAGCTGGCCGGAAGAATCGTATTGCTCCTCTACGAAATATAGTTCCGTTTCTATTTCGTCGATATTGTTCTCCAGGAGGTACTTGATTTTCGAAAGATACAGATCCGGGTCATCCTGCTCGAAATACTGCAACAAAAACAAGTTCCGCGTAACGGGAATACGTCCTTAAAACGGCTGTTAATATTTTTTTCAGTTTCTCTTCGTTTCGACAATTTCGATCCAACAAGCAGCAACTTAAGAGATAGGCAGGGCCGTCCTTAGCAGATGCGAAGCCTGGAGCAAAACATTTTTTTTTTTAAGATAGTGATCTACTCCGATTTTTTTTAAGTTCTCGCGCAAAAAAGTGTTTACAGCATTTTTGATAAAGTCATTTCATCTCAAAAAACATTTACGTGATTTTTTTCATTTGCGAGGGTTGAGTCTATTTGTATTTTTGATTTAAGTATACAATATTTAGCTCTGTGTAAAGAATTGAGTTAAGAAAGAAATATGATTTATGACTAAGCTCTACACTCTTCCACTTTAATTTTTTAAGCAATGAACCATTAGGAAAATTATAATAAAAATTAGGTCTGCCAGGAAATAATTACATCTTTTTTTGTAGTGAATAGTCAATCATAAAGAAGCACATATTATTACAAGATATTCGTATCATTTGCATATACTATCGTTTGGTCACGATTATCTCCTTCGTGGTTTTTGTAATTAATCAATAAATTAACATATTGCGAGAGTAATCAAACAGTTATTTTAGGCACGTATATCTGTACATTATTATGGGTGTAAACGTTATGGTAGTCATTATTCAAATGGGTAATAGGGGGGTCAAAACAAGTCAAAAGGTTCATATGACCCATGGTCCACAAGTCAATAGATTTTTGTCTAATGGCTTTATAGTTTACAACTTTAAGTGCTTTATATCGACCACAATCTCACTAATTTTTATAATCTAATCTAAAACGTTTTTAAATTGTGTAATTAACAAATAAATGGTATTAAGCTTTTCTAACTTAAGCCAAAATTTGTAGTCAGTAAGAAAGTAAGTTTCATTAAATTGGATATTTAAAACACACATGACAACAGCGCGTCGGTCATCATCACTCTTATCGAACCAGCAATCGATCCCAAACGGTAAAAGTGGTTAGTATGTTGTTTTGTTTTTGATCGCGTACGTCGTCGTCTTGATTTACAGAATTCAAATCTTGCAGCTCAAATTTATCGCGACAGATTTCGCCAACGGGTACACCCAGACAGAAGGACATTTGTGCAAGTGTACCAAAGACTTCGAGATACAGGAAGTGTTCAGCTCACTAATATTCGAACTCGTGAAAGACAGATTACTGTAGAGTAGGAGGAACAAATTTTAAATATCGTGGAAATCAATGCAGATATCAGCACTCGGGAATTAGGCCGCCGCGTAGGACTATCGCATATCATAGTCCACAGAATCCTACGGGAAAATTTGCTTTATCCCTACCATGTACAAGGAGTGCAGGCCTTGTTACCAGAAGACTATCCTCGCAGACTAACATTCGGTCAGTGGTTTTTGCACAAAAATATTTTTTTAAAAACATTCTAACGACGGACGAATCTACTTTTACGTCTGACGGGATATTAAATTTCCATAATGCTCAAACGTGGGCCCAAGAAATTCCTCATACCATTCGTAAAGGTCGTAATGAAGCTTGTGTGGAAAGTGGAAGACGACATTTTGAACACTTTCTTTAAATACAAAAAACGGGCAGTGTGGGTTTTAAAAAGAAAAACAATGTATGTATCAAAATTGTGTTCCCTATTTAAGTGGATTTTTTTAATACGTTCAATAAACTTCCACACACCAGGTGAAGCGCTGATACCGTCGGTGGGAAGTTTTTTTTTTAATTGTTTGCATTTTACGAGTACATTATCAAATAATGAAATAATACCTAAGAGCCAAGAATAACAAACTCAATCTTTATTTACACTGCGTTCCGTAGTAATTTGCGTCTGGCTTTACGGCGTTGTCAGATTTTATTTTACTTTAAAGTCGCTTTTCTCTAAAAAAATGCCGTTTTGACCCCCATATCATATGAAACTTTTTGCTTCTTTTAACCTCCTCTATCACCCATTTAAATAATTACTATCATAACGTTTACACCCTGTATTATTTTCATTCAGCCAAACCATCTCCTCCTAACTAATTAGGATCGACTTCTAGAATCGTCGCTGCTCCTTGTTCCCTCAAGCTGCCTTTGTGCCCCATCTGGTGACGTTAATAAACTTTCGTTTTGCGAGTTATCTAGGTTTTACAGTAGCCCGACGATATGCGAATACGGAATAAAGTATGGTACATACCATTTAAAAAAACTGTCAAATTTCGTGAATTTTTTTCATAATGTAGTCTAATAATATTAGACGAAAATACCCCTGGTTTGTGAAATAATAGTAAAGTTTGGTTTTATTGATGCAAGTTGTTTAGTGGGGCATTTGAAACATAGTCGCGTAAAATGGGTACACCAATTGTTGTGGGATAACTTTTTATTCGATAACAAAGAATGAAAACACGTGTTTTTTGGGATTCAATCGAAAGTGTTGGAAAAACTCATCAAACAAGATTGTTAGGTATTTACGAGACCTACAAAATGAGATCACAGCTAAAAAGATCCGGCTAATAGCAAAAAAGTTACTGACAAAAGGCAAAATACAGGTTTTGGCACGTGTTGGTAATGCGCCGATAATTTCACTTGGAATTTTTCAAATTTGTAGAATTCATACTTCTAAATAACCACAACAAAATTGGGGTAGATTGATCAAGCAGTTTTTTGGCCATCACTACTAGTTCATTGAGTCATATACAGGGTTCGTTCAAGGACATTTTATAGCAAAATACACTAGTTTGCCTTGCCGATATGAATCGCAAACCATTCTGGAAAATTAATGTTATTTTTATACAAAAAAAAAGGATGGGTTACGTTTTTTCTTCTAATCAAATTAAAACAGTTCGTATTTGTGAGTAATTGAACAAATGCGCTATGGTATTCAAAAAACATACATTACTATACACATTTTAAAACAAAGCGGTGTCTATCATCTTTTGTTGCGAATTTTACTCACAAATACGACCTTTTTGAATTCATTTAGAAGAAAAAGTATAACCCATCCTTTTTGCATAAAATAAACATTTCTCTTCCGGAATGGTTTGCGATTCATATCAATAAGGTAAACTAGTGTGTTTTGCTATAAAATGCCCTTTGAACTAACCCTGTATATTGCTCAATAAATTAGAAATTCTCAAAAACTACTTGACCACTATACTCCAATTTTGTTGTTATCATTTAGAAACTTGAATCCTACGGATCTGAAGGATTTCAAGTAGTTGCGTGAAATTATCATCGCAAGTGCCAAAATCTGCATTTTGCCTCGGTTTTCGGCCATAACTTTTTTGCTATTAGTCGGATCTTTTTAGGTGTGGTCTCATTTTGTATCATAAATACCAAAAAATCTTATATGAAGAATGTTTTCGTTCCTGTCAACACTTTCGATTGAATCCCAAATAACACATTTTCTCATTCTTTGTTGTCGAATAAAAAGTTTTCTCGCAAAAACTGGTTTACCCATTTTATGCGTCCATGTTTTATATAGCCCCTTGAACAGGGTTGAAAAAACATGTATTTTTTTATTTTATACAAAAAACATTTTTTTTTGTTTTAAACGTTTTTTTTTTTGTTTTAAACAAGATTTTCTTTTGTTTTTAAATTTTGTTTTAAACAAATAAAACTTAGAAAAAACATTGTTTAAATCATATGTTTTCATAATATTAATTGATAATGTGCGACCTATCATTCTAATAAATAACAGATACCTTATTTAAAGTCCGACTCTGTACTAAACTGTCGCGATCAGGTGTTACGAACTACGTCGCGCCACGCAGCCGTTGGGCTGTGCCGGTGAATCCCCGAAATAACAAAAACCAATTGCAATGAGGGACTACTCGTATTCGCCTGGGGGAACCACAGACTACTATTTATAAATTCACCTTGCAAGTTGATATTGCAATAACGTCTACTGTAAGTTATTTTGTGGTGTTCTTTTTCTGAAAAAAGGTAGATAATTTCAAAAAATCAGTGTCTGCTAATTGTAAAAAATGTAAAGTAATTATGGCTGAACTAGTGCTGCGTATGAAGAAACATATTCAAAAATGTGTTCCATCTGAAAATTCTCAGCTACCAATGTCAATTATCTATGATTCCGAGTCAGATGAGGATTTAACGCTAGATGAGATATCCAAAACTCAAAAATATTCAAAGAATGTTTACCCAGGTAATAATACAGGTAACTTTGAATTTTAAATGTTTACCAGTTTAAAGACGAATTAAAGTATGTCGCGTTTCCTTTGGACAAAGTCGAAAGAAACACTTGCACTATACGAGAGGCTACAGAGATATGACTACAATTTTTAGAAGCATTCGAGACTGAACAAACAAATGGAGAATTTTCGGTAAGAGATACGAATAAAGTCGAGGAGCGTATGAACATGGCTTTGAGCCCAGCTCATGTTTTGACAAATTTGCTTGATCATCGCTTTAGAGGCAATAAACAAGAGCAAATAGAAACTGGCATGGAATATGTAGAAACCTATCATCCAGAAGCATTGCCAATTATTATTAGTTACCAGACCTTTAAACCATGTATGTTTTCTAAACATCTAATTGAGAATGTAAAACCATTCGCATGGTGGCGTTCTATGAAAAATATAAATACCACAGCCTTGAAACTTTCTCAACAGCTTCATACAGCTATTGCATCGTCAGCCAACATAGAAAGACTCTTCTCATCATACGGTTTAGTCCATTCAAAAACTACGTAATCGGCTAAGCAATGTTAAAGCTGCTAAGTTGGTATCAATTATTAAAGAGCTTAATTCCATCAGTGATGACGTGACTGATCAGATATCAGATTGATGACTTAGATGACTATGAGACTGAAAGAGTGTGGGGAATTTGTTAATACTTGTATGCAAAATGTTTAAGTTTTCCCATTTTTGTTGTGTTCCTATTATCAATAAATAATATTTATGTTAAAAAGTGTGTATAATGTATTTATTTAATAATTGGTAAATACATATTTCTATTGCAACATAGCTAACATTCAGGCAAAAACAAAAGAAATAATTCTGAAGAAAGTTCAGATACACATTTGAATTAAGACGATTTTGAAGTACAATACGCCCAATTACTTGATCCCCAATTACTCCTGCCCATAAGTTCAATGAAAATCTATGTTGGAAATGTGTACCGCGAACAACTTTTGGATTTTCATCTGACCAGTGATGCATGTTATGGAAATTAAAAGCACCATTCCTAGTAAATATTGACTCATCCGACCATAATATTCTAGGAATAGTGTTTTCATTTGCTAATATCCACTGGCAAAACGCGATTCGACGTCCAGGTACTATGCGATTGAGAAATTTTCTTTGATATTATCTTACGGCTGCCAATGAACCGCCATTGCAAAACCCGCACACAAAATGCATGTCAGTCAGTTCTATGTCTGTAAATCTTGGCATTTTAAATCGATTTAATAAAAATTTTGATTTTAATCTAGTAATTTTACACTGCTAATAATGTCAGCTTAACGTCAAAATAAGTCATAACCAATCAAAACAACTTTTGTTTGCAGTCATGGCTAACTATGTATAATCAACAATTCATTTAAATTCGCAGTACGTTTCCTATCATGTGACAAATTTTTTAGTTTGATTTTATTCAAAAATGGCACAATTTATCGACATTCAATAAGTGTTCCTTTTTTATGTAGAAAACCCTAAATTTTCAAATTCTAAAATTGAATTTCAAAAATAGAATCACACAAAAATTTTGTGGCTAAAATAACCCTGTTACATACGCTTCCAAACAAAACTGTCTAAAATTGTTAATATTTTTAAATCCAGCATAAAAACTAGGCTAGAATACTAAATGTTATGTCTTTATCTAAACTCGTTTCGGAAATATTAAGGAAAAACCATCTTCAGAGGAGCCCCTTTAAAAGACCGTAGCCCTTAGGGGACGTTTGTCGACCTATGTTTATATAAACTTTTCTTCCTATTTTAAGCTCTAGAAATCGCTGGTAGAATATTGCACACTTTTTTCGGGACACCCTGTATAATAAAGAAAATGAAAAGAACGCTTGTTTAATTTAAGTGTTTTAAACATGTTTTAAACCTAAGCGAATGTTTAAAACAAATGATTGAAACAAAATGTTTAAAACGAAACAAGCCTACCCTTGAATAACTTGTACCAATAAAACCAGACTTCAGAATTACTTCGGGGAAATTTGCTAAACTGATTAGACTATTATTTAAACTTTCATCTTGTGTAGTTTTCGAGATTATCCTAATTATTTATAACAGATTTGATGTGCCGCCATCGTTCGCTTGACATTTGTCAGTGTCAAATATGGTGGTACAAAGATCCAGTAAACCAAGAGGCGTCGTAGTGTAGTGGGAAGGAGTAACGGTTGCAAAACCGCAGGACGGAGGTTCGAATCCACAAAGCTCCCATTTTATTAATTTTATTTACATTTTGTTAAACACATTATGAGTACTTTTATTGCGATCTAACAGCTTTTCGCACGTCATAGACAATGTAGGCTTGCAAACAGCAAGCCAGCGGTATAGGTATGACTCTTTAAATTTTTGTTTTATATTACTTTGATAAAATTTCAGAAACACTATGTCGGATCATAGCAGATAGTTTTTGAAAACATATATCTTAGATGTGTAAATTATTAACCAACAATAATGAAAGATATCAGGAATCTTGTTTGTGATAACACACTCTTGGACCGCAGATTGTGCTTATAAAAGTGAAGTGAACTAACCCACAGTTTTTATATTTCTCAAGTTACTGTTAAGGGTAGATGCTCATACACTGCAGATCGTTCTAAAAAGAGATTGCTATAACATACTATAGCGTCTTGGTGTTTAAATCTTCAACTCACAATAAAGTTTTTTTTTTCAAAAATGATCGGTGCCTATAAAACGTATAATAACGAGCGGTTTTATTTACAGTAGAGCGAGGATTATCCGAACTAATTGGGGGACAGGGATGTTCGGAAAACCGGTTTTTTCGGATAATCAAACTGTATTGATATATAGCCATACATATTTATTTATCCACGGGTGAATAAAAGCCATATTTACATACCTTCATAATTATATCTTTATTGAAAAATAGGAATTAAAAAACAAATAAACTGCAGTATTTGCAACAAAACATTCTAAGTGCAATATTGGCGAAAATCGAAGAGATTTGAGTGTTAATTACTAACGCTTAAAAAAAACTTCAATTTTCGTCTGCCAAAGCAAGCCTACCAGCGGCTAGGTCACGTATTTTTTTAAGGACAGATATTTGATACTGGTCGCTCTTGGATTGTGTTTCAAACCAACGCAAGGCAATATCTAAGCAAGTAACGCTTCTGAAGCACCAATTATGTTTTCATCTTCATTATCTGAACTTGCAGTTGATGAGGTGCAAGCTGTGGTGTCAGTTTTATTAGTCATCAGATTCATCATCAAAATCCATCAATTCTTAAACTTCTTCATCACATTCGTCGCAATTAAGTTTTTTTAGCATATCTATCATTTCAGAAATATTTTCCTGTTTTTCATGTCAGGATATTTCACTAAACACAAAATTTTATTCCACGCTTTTTTCAAGTTTTGCTCTTTTACACTGTTCCATGCTGCTCCTATCATGTCTTTCAAATCAATCTTTTTATGATTTCTTATCAGGCTTTCTTTTCCCTCCTCTTCTTTTTCCAAAAGTAACTTACGTAACAATTCTTCTCTATAATACCTTTAAAAGTCTCAATAACGCCTTGATCCTGGGCTGTAATAATGAAGTCACATTAGGTGGAAGAAACATGACTTTTATAAAATCGTCTTTTTCATTTAAGATGTCACATGCTGGACGAGTCGGGGCGTTATCTAGAAGCAATAATGTTTTTTCTCTCTTTTACCATTTTTTAATTGATGGGCTTTAACAGAGGGTATAAAATTTTTTATAAACCATTCCATAAAAATTGTATCCAAGCACTCTTTTGCGAAACTCCCATTCATATCTTATGAAAAATTTGCGAACTGTCCTTACCGAAGCACAGATAGTTTCTGTTTACTATGCCCAACTTGAGACACAACTGAGGTATGCACTATGCTTCTGGGGTTTGTCCACAAATGCCCATCAGGTATTTTTGGCCCAAAAAAGAGTGGTTAGATGCATGATGGGAGTCAGCTGTAGGTATTCTTGTAAGAATATTTTTAAGCTCCTTAAGATTTTAACTTTACCATCTTTATTTCTATACGAAATGGCTGTGTATACTTTTATTAACAAACCTAAGTTTTTAATCAGTTTTAATTCGTACTCGACAAGACAAGCTGGATACTTAAATGTGTATTTTGCCAAGTATAAAATCGGCGTCAGATCTCCGGAAATACTGGGTCCACGAATTTTCAACAGGCTACAAAACCATATTAAAGAGTGTGGAGATATACATAATTTTAAGGCTAAACTGACAGATTTTCTTGTACGTAAATGTTATTTTATTATGCCGTCTCTGAAATTGTTATGTTATGATTTATTTGTGTTTTTACTTTATGCATATACTTATTTTGTGTTGTTTTATTAGATTTTGTTCCGACGAATCCTATACATACTTTGTAATGTCTCTTAGGATAATAAAAGAATTTGAATTTGAATTTGAAGTGTAAACTATAGGCATCGCAGACATTTTAACGTGTTTCAAACAACGTGGTTTCCTGCTTTTACCAATGACAAGCATGGGCAATCGGTGGCTGTCAGTAGCATTAGCACAAGCTAAAGCAGTGATACGAACCTTGCTTATTTTAGGTCCAAGTGCTGCTAATTCACGACGTGACGCAAGAGTTCTTCTTGGCAAAGCTTTCCAGTTGAGCCCAGTTTCATCTGCATTGTAAACGTTTTCGAGGGGGTAATTTTCTTCCTTCAGAAACTCCCTTAGTTTGATTTTGAATGAATCTGCTGCTGATGAATCAGCCGACAGTTTTTCTCACTGTATTTGCAGCTCACGAATGCCATGTATCGACTTCAATCTTTTCAACCAACCTATGCTTGCTTGAAAATTTGATGGATCTCCAAAGTTATCGTTGAACTGAAGTGCTTTTTCACACAGAATCGGACCAGAAACAGGTTCTTACTGGGATCCTTTCTGAGTAAACCACTTATATACAGCATCATCTAAATCCGTGTTTGAGGCAAGTTTCATCGTTTTACGACTTGTCGATCCGTCAGAAGAATCAAGCTGTGACATAAAGTAACTTATGCTCGTCTTTTGTTTTTTTATATCCTTAATGGTAGACTTAACAACTTTGTATTCATTGGATAACTTTGTTGCAGATTCACCTTCCTCTAACCGTTTATTAATCTCGTATTTATCTTTCACAGAAAGAACAACATGCTTACGGTTAGGCATTTTCAAACGAGTGTTTACTTTCACGCGACAAAATTTAGTTTATTTCCTAGCGGCTACTCGGAAGTAACTGATATACGAATAATAAGTAACAAGTCGAAACAAGTGCGCGCACGAGCGCGGGGCGCGGGAGAGGGGAGAGTCGGGAGTTCGGATAAGCGGTCGTTCGGTTGATCGACGTTCGGATAATCGACGCTCTACTGTATTTATTTTCATTTTTGGCTTTTGTCTCCGCGTCCTTTGGACCAATTTTCACTACACTACAAAGCTTCTTCGAACTTGGGAAACCAAGTTATAGACGGACCAAAGATTAGCTTCCAAACAGACAGAAAGACCAACGGAAATGATATAATAATTTTTTTGCGATTACAATTGTTCCTCGCTAGTATGCGTGGAAAGTAGAAAGTAAAAGCACTGTATGTGTGTATATACCTTATAATGAACGCGTAGGCCAATAACTTGAGCTAAAAATGACCTGGTGAATCTAGCTCTAACCAACTGTCTGTAGGTGCCGCCCAGAGCGCTTTCGTACAGACATTTTCCTACCACTTTTCCAGCGAATTCGTAGTGTCTTAATTTAAGATGCGAAGGCCTGTTCGGATTTGGATGCACCAAGGATTGTTGGCCTTCATGGAAACTCGAGAACAAACCGTATTTGGCATCGAAAAGTTGAGCGCAAATGAGCTCGAACCATTCTCTTCTTAGCCCGCCCCAGTCCACACCTGGAACAGAATTTAAATGCAATGGGTTCATCTCAAACTTGAATCGGTGGTATTGACGGTGATCCAAACGTATGTCCATTACAAGTATGTCAGAATTCATCAATGAAGCAATTTAGGACAATTAACATCAACAATCTAAGAAAAGCTGTCCCAAAACTGAAATCTAATAAAAATCCAAGTGAGAATCTCTCAAAAAAATATTCTGAATGATTGTTTCAATATAATTGGAGAGAGATTATTATTATTGGTGAATCATTGTTTAGTACATGGTGAATTCCCATCAAAATTTAAGTGTTCCACCATTACTCCTATGCCAAAAGTTCAAAATTCTCAGCTGTATACAGATATGTGACCGATTAATATATTGCCCCCAAATCATAGAATTCATTGAAGAGACCAAAATTTTGATAAAAAATCAAGCTGGATTTAGAAAAAAATATTCCACAGAAACAGCAATCCAAATGATATTGGAAGACTGGAGAAGAAGTATAGATGAGAAAGAATATATTGTAACAATATTTTTAGACTTTAAAAGGGTATTTGAGACTATAGATAGGGAAAGATTGTTGATGAAATTGCGTCACTATGGCTTTAAAGGATCAGTATTACACATTTTATAAAATTATTTAGTAAATAGAAGACAAAAAACTAACGTTGGAAATATTATGTCAAGTGTTCAAAATATATCAGTAGGGGTGCCACAGGGGAGTAAATTAGGGCCGTTACTATTTATTATTTTTATAAATGATATCTCTGACATTTTAGAACACTGCAACATTCACGGACGATACAATTATATATATATATATATATAGCACATAAGCATAGGACACTGCTTTAGAACTGTAAACTAGTGATATTGAAAAAATTATGAATTGGTTAAATGTCAATAAACGTAAATTAAACACTAATAAAACAAAATATATGTCAATAAGGAAACATTTAGGTAACAATTACAATTAGGCTCATGATTAATGATAAAAAATTGAAGTAGTCGAGTCATTTAAATATCTTGGTATATTATGTGAATAGTAAGCTACTGTTTCACGAACATTATGAATACATTATTTCAAAAATATCTAAAAAGACAAATTACTTCTATAGAGTTTTCCATAATCTTAGTATGTATTCCAAAAAAATTGTGTATAACACTATAATTCTTCCCCATTTTTTATATTGTTCAACCTTCTTGTTTACAGCAAATGAAAACATATTTTCAAAATTACAAATTCTACAAAATAAACCTATGAGAATCATTTTAAATAAAAACAAATATGCTAGGATTAAGTCTATGTTGGAAGAACTGCAGTGGTTGGATGTGAAAAATTTCATATATTATTTAGTTCTCGTTTTCATATTCAAATTAAAAGATTATTATATTATATTTATTACCACCACGTTTAGAGAACCTCACAAAATTAAATAGTCATTATCATAACTACGAAACTAAAGGCAGTATACATTTTCATCTGCAAAATTGTAATAGTAGCATAACTAGTAAATCTATATTTCAAAAGGGAGTATTTGAATTTAATAAATTGAATAATGGTATTAAACAGCGTTCGAATTTAAAAATGTTGAAGGTGTAATATCAATAATCAAAATACATAGTGACGTAATTTTAATTTTAATAAACAGGAATGTAAAATTACAGAAAATTGTAGCATTAATGCTAAATAAATCTTCAACAAACAGACAAAGCACGTTTTAAAAAGAAGGCAGTATAATCTAAGTAACTTTTTCTGATGATAGTTTTGAAAGTTCCCAATATTTTTTTAATCAAATTTTGCCATTTTTTTCTCAAGACTTGCTCGAAAAGTACCAAGGCTACATAACTCTATTTTTGTAATCAGGATCAGTTCAACAATATTTGGGACGAAAGAATTTATTTGATTTTTTTTAAGTCATTTGCACCACTTTTGCTGCGATTGTAATATTCCTACATTTAGGTAAAGATTTCCCATGATGGAAAAACTATTTCTGGAGTTGCACCGCACTCTGGCGCATATCCAAGTGTTTGCATAAAAAGAACAAGCGAATTTACAATGGAAAAAGAATACAATAGGATATATCTCGTCCCATTTTGTTTCAACAATACAATATGAAATGTTAGAGTTAATCAAGAAATGTATGAAACTAGGACAAAAGTTTAATCTCAGAGGATATTATTAAGAACTTAGGTATTTAGCCAAACAGCGCTGTTTTTCAGAAAAAAAATTTGAACTGAAAGTTTTAATAGTCACTTGGGCCACAGAGCAGATAGATACGCTATTTGCAAATATTCTAGCATTTTCTTCAATGGGGAATAGGATCGACTAGTAGATTCAGTAATAAATTACGAAAGTGCTGTAAAAACTAGAAAAAAAAATATCCACCATAATTCAATTAAAAACGACTTTTACCTTGCTCTCCTTGAAAACTAACTTCAAAGTTACGGCACCAATCGGAGACAGAAAAGTTTTTGGTCGCTTTCATGCTAGAATCCAGCAACTTTTCCCTATTAACTTTCATAGACAACTTCTCATGGTAGTGCTTTTGATGGAATTTTCGTACTTCATGATAAAAGAAGTCCTAAAAGGCGATAGAATGGAATAGTATTTCATAAAGTATTTATGCGCATACAAAGAATCACTTGAAATTTCCGAAGCAGAACATGGTATACAGGGTGTTCCAATATCTTTGCATGTCTGAAAATAAATAAGTTCTAAGTACAGTTTTTACGAATATACAAATCTAAACACGCCAAATCTTTAATATCACATATATTAGGCACTATTGAACCAATTTTCTTGAAATTTGAAAATCCAGCGCCGGACTCGGCTTTTTCAATTTTTTTGTACTTCATCAAAATCAAACTTTTAAGCCACACAATGAAATGTTACTCTGTGTACAAAAAACCAATGAATATTGTTAATTAATTAGCGAAATAAAGTGACTGCGCCTCTTTTGGGTTTTTAGTTAAACCTTTTCATTTATTCAAATATCTTATTTTTATCAGTTTGGGTCACGCAGAACAGCATTCTAAGCGCTACCAACTTGATTTCATAAATATCTTACAAAACAATGCTTATATTTGAACCGAAAACGATTTAGGAATTCAAAATTCCAGAGCCGTATGAAGTGTCTTTATTTCTTTTGATGTCAGTAATACGAGTTTATTATTATTTTATAGAAAAAAGAACAATGAATGACATACATCGATGAAATTAATGTTATTCACCCTATTTACTTTGTACTGTAATTTTTTGATTTAATACTACCTACTGATATTGTACAGGGTGGCCAATTAAGAATGCGAGGTACTGTATCTGGAAACCTATACGTCGTAGAGGCTTGTGGCAAAAAAAGTTCTTAGAAAATGGCCAAGAGAAAAATCTGGGAAATTTGTTCCAGTTTCTGAAGGGGCGGAACTGCAATCTTGAATCTAAGAATGTGACGTTTCTGTGAATTCTGCTACATGAACCTAACAAAAAATACCTGATCTTTGAAGTCGGATAATGTAAACTTTTTTTGGTTGACAATTTTTGCTGTATCTCTAAAAATAAAGTGGTGGGGGTATTCAAAGATTTCCGTAAAAAATACCCTGTATCTTCGAAACGGCTGATCCGGTTTTAACAAACTTGGGCTAGTTTGAAAAAAGCTATTCTTGTTATGATATTTGAAGTTTTGCTATTTCACATGTGGCCTTTAGAGTGCTTTTTTCGACATTCCGACAGAAATGGTTAATTTTCTCAAATAAAAATAAATGCATTGGTATTATTTTTTTATCAAAAAGTATCTAAATGACGTGTAAAGAAGCTCGCGAAAACCGCACTTCGATATCTTGTTCATAACCTAAAATTTAGGCCACAGAAAATTTTATACAAAGACTCCCTAAAATTTATTTTTTTAAACTAATTTTTCTGAAATTTCTTTTCATTATTAAGTTGTTGCCCTAAAAATAACCGATTTAAAAAAATAAATAGATGCTCGAAATGTTGAGAATCACGCTTCTATCATATCTTCTCTGGTGGTAGGTTGAGTCTGAACCACGATGTCCTTAACCGTCCCCAGAAATAAAAATCAAGTTAAGTCTGGTGATCGCGATATACCATGTGTGCAGGATTTTTCTAATATTTAATTAGTACCATTCATTGGTTTTTTGTACACAGTCAAACATTTCAATACACAGCTCAAAAGGTGATTTTGATAAACATATAAAATAGTGTAAAAAAGCGAGTCCGGCCCTGCACTTTTAGCCGTACGCCTAGGTTACGTTACTGCATTATTGTAGTACAAAATTTCAACTAAATCGGATATATAATGAATAGATAAATATAAAAAATATTATCAGGGAAGAAAAGATCTCGGTCTATACTACCCATCATTTCAGTATGTGCATTTAAGTACGGAACTCCCTGCATTCAGCCTTCAAGTTACCTGTTTATCTTTGAAAGTCTCCGATCCTCCCATATTTTTAAGCAAAAACTGAGCAAATGTAGCGGCAATGACATTACGCTCCCTAGAAACTAATTCTATCTTTGGTTGACATCCGTCATCTACTGTAAAAGAATTCATGTTGATTTCTGTGCTCTTTACTGTTTTGCCTTGGAAATTAAACTGGAAAAAAGTAATAATACTAATAGTAATAATCAATTGCTTTTATTGCTCATATAAGTACGGAAAATACAAATTCATCTAATATTATGGGAAGAAGAAATGCTAATCAGACCGATGTCCAATTAAAATTATTATCAATATCTTGATTTCATAACAATACGTTACTTCAACACTCTGCATCTCAAACATGTTGTATAGTGTAAATCAGTGTAAATAGCAAAATTGGCTGATCCTTGTTTGTCCAGCAATGTTTGATTTGGTAAAGCTTTGTGGTTTAGTAGCGCAATATAAGCAGTAACATACTGTATAAGGTAGAAGTGACTCCTACTTTGTCAAACAATCCTCTGAAAAACCAGTTCAGGTATAAACTTCTAGGAAGACACACCCTCATAAGCTGGGATCAATATGTAATGAAGGTATTAACCTAACAGGTTACAAAACAGGGGTTGGGTTCATAGCCTAACTCCCAAATGGATCTATTGCAACCCCCACATACATTTTCTAAAGCATTGTCTGCCGATTCCATTGACTGGGGTTTCCATGTTGCCTCGTCTACCAGTCTGAAGAGCCTCATATGACGATAGACTCCAGTGTCCTGTCAGGAGAACCACTATAGCCCTTCCTATTAAATTCTTTGATGCACTCTTTTGCCTGTGGTTGCCCTTATGGGCTGTTCCATCCTTTTAGGAACTTTTTCTTGATCCAATTTCTTATGGACCGTTTGATGCGTGTTTTCGTCACATTACAGAAAGGCTCTGACCTATAAAATGATTGGCCCCACCGTGTCGGGCTAGCGCATTCGTCGCTACATTTCCTTTGTGCCCTGGGAGACAGGTCAATAATTATTGTCGTCTTACTTCGGTAGGCCAGCTCTTCAATATTCACGTAATCCCTTATTAGTTTAGACGACGTTCCCAATTAAGGTAATGCCTTTATACCTGGCTGCCTGAATAGATGGCGATTAACTGATTTATAGTCTCATTCCTTATAAGCTCTTTTGCACAGACTTGTACGGCTGTTAGTTTAGCCTGAATATTTATTGCTGTATTACCTAGACTTACAGAAATCTCGGTTTTTAGCATTGTTCCATGAATCCCTGCTCCAGCTCGGTCTTTAGTTTTCGAGCCGTCTGTATATGAGGTCCTTTCCCCCAAACCTTTTTTATATGTGAATAGTAAGCTACTGTTTCGAAAATATCAAAAAAGATAAATTACTTCTATAGAGTTTCCCATAATCTTCGTATGTATCCCAAAAAACTGTATATAACACAATAATTCTTACTCATTTTTTATTTTGTTCGACCATCTTGTTTACAGCAAATGAAAAATTCTACAAAATTACAAATCCTACAAAATAAAGCTATAAGAATCATTTTAAATAAAAAGAAACATGCTAGGATTAAGTCTATGTTAGAAGAACTGCAGTGGTTGAATGAAAAAATGTCATATGAAATTTAGTTTTGATTTTCATATTCAAATTAAAAAATCATTTATTACCACCAGATTTAGAAAACTTCACAAAATGAAACAGTCATTATCATCACTACGAAACTTGAGGCAGTATAGATTTTCATCTGCAAAATTGTAATAGTATCATAACTAGTAAATATGTATTTCAAAAGGAGTAGGTATTTGAATTTAACAAATTGTGTTCGAATTTAAAAATGTTTAAGGTGAAATTAAAAAATCACTTTATGAATACTCAAAATGCATAGTGATGTAATTTTAATAGACAAGAAAGTCACAGAAAATTGATTTAAAAAAATGTGTAAACCAATAATTGAGGGGTTTGGAAATAAAAAGGTTCAAGTGCACTTTTTTAATTAAATGGTCTAAGTGCAGAATATCATACCTAAAGCATATCCTAACTTGGTGGTAAAATGATTTAAATGCAGGCAACGTTCCCTGGCGCCATCTCTCATAGTTTTTGAGAACAAATCAAAATATCCACTAATACAGTATGTGGTTCAAGTGCACTTGAACCATTTTACTTCTAAGGCTTTGGCAACTATTTTTAATGTTTTTCGTGTGACGTGATTTCAACGTTTTACTTATTCTTAGTTAAAAATACGCATTTTGCAGTGTTGGTAGTGTTACAATAATAAACAAAATGAGTACTGATTGGGAACGCAAGGTATCTCTCAGGAGAATTAAGTATCAATAAGATGTACAAATTATATCAGGAGTTTTGTATTGACAAACAAGAATTACCAGTAAAAGAGTCCTATTACAGGCATATTTTCAATACGGAATTCAATTTAAGATTCCACAAGCCCTATAGTGATACCTGCAGTCGTTGTGACAATTTAGAAAATTTAATAAAATATTCTACAAATGAAGACGTGATTAAAAATTAAAGCAACAGATGCCAAAAAAGCTGATATTGCTGAAAATAAAAATGATTCAAAAATACGGCTGTAACTTGTTTTGATTTGCAACAGGCATTGCCGACGCCATTGTTAACCACCTCTAAAGTATTTTATCTTCGTCAATTATGGACGTATAATTTCTGTGTCTTTGACTTACTAACTGGAAAAAGTTATATGTATACGTATGTTGGAACGAAACTATTGCATCCAGGGGCTCACAGGAGATAGGATCATGTTTAATAAAATTTGTGCAAAGCCTTCCATCTACAGTTACGAAGATTATTTCATACAGTGATTCGTGTGGAGGACAAAATAAGAATAAAAACATTGCTAAACTATTTAGTTTTATTGTTCAAGCTACACATATATCTGAGATTCATCACAAGTTCCTTGAACCCGGGCACACTTACATGGAATGTGACCGTAGTTTTGGCTTAATCGAGAAGAAAAAAAGGCAAATCCCTCAAGTTTTTGTCCCCGCAGATTGGGAGACTGTAATAAGAGCACGTCGGCCAAATTTATTGTGTACAATATGAACAAAGACGATTTTTACTCTTTTTCGCCGTTCAATGAAATTATGAACGATCCAAAAAAAAATAGTGACGAAAATGGAAAGAAATTTCCTGGTTTGCTTACTATAAAAGTGAAAGACTAACATTTTGATACAACAGTATCCTAAACATTGATGTAGAGTTTAGCAGTTGCTTAATGGCAACTTCAAACGTTGGGCGTCCGTGTTTTAACTTTTCAATACTAAAGCCTTTGAATGGCACTTCAATAAAGATTAAAGTCGCCAAGTACAAAAACTTGCTTAGCTTATTGGAATACATTCCGCCCATTCATCATACATTTTATAAAAACATGAAGCACGATGGGAAAGCATTAACAAAAAAAGGAAAAAAGAAACACACATCAAGCCAAAAAGTACCTGATATAGATGAACCCCAACCAAGACCAGCTGATTCAGATAAAGAAAATGATGAAGACATCCAAATATTAGATTCTGATTATGAATAAGAAATTTTGTTATAGATTATTTTTAAATAATGTTTGGTTTAGTACGGTAGTTGCACTTGAATCATGTTACCACCATAATTTTTGTAACATGTATAATGATTCAAGACAATTTTGCAAAAATGACAATAAAAAAGCAAAATTAAGAAAATGTTTTTTGTTTGTAATGTTTTACTGGCATTTAAATAAACTTAATATAGTATCATACTTTGATAAATTTATTCCTGGAATTTTCAAATTCAAGTAAACTTTGAAGCCATTTATCTCAGAACTACTAAAAATGTACTTAAACCCTTTTACTTCCAGGCCCCTCAATTATAAAAAATTGACATTGTAGCATTATTGCTGAATAAATCTTCAACAAACAAACAACATAGGTTATTATGCGCCTGACCACCCTCATTATGTATAATCACATGGTTTTTTAGTTTACCCCCAGTTTCTTCCGCAAATCTCCCTAGCGCTATTGTAGTTTTCTGTAGTATTCTGTTGATGTGATAGTTCCACGTTGATCAAAAATGACTCTAAGATATTTCGCCTCACTCGTATAAGGAATAATACAGGGTTGTCCAGTGGAAAAGTTCACATTTTAAATTTGAATTATGCGGTTACTGTTTGGTACGCCATATCCTCTAGCTGTATTATTGGGCCGTATTTCTTTGAAGATGAAAACGGTCATGCATTGACAATCAATTCCGAGCGATGCAAGGACATGATTGACGTTTTTTTTTTCTCCTATTGTAAGAACAGAACGTCGATTTAACAGAAACATACTGTTTCAACATGATGGGGCCACTGCCCATACTTCCAGAGAAGCGATGGACACGGTGAAAGCACTTTTTAGTCAAAAAGTTATATAATAATGATAATAATAAATGTCTTTATTAGCAACACAACAATAAGGCGAAATTTAGCCAGTTGGCTACTCTTACACCCAACCCTATTGTGTGATTAAATATGTATATACAGTTCAAAGTCACATGCATGCAACCTAAAAATGAATACATCGATCTGGCTTTCAACTAAATGAGCTAATAATAAAGGGAAAAAATACAATCAATTGATAAATCCGCGCTATATTGGTTTACCAAAAAGGAACCAGTCAAGAACCAATACTGAACGGATAACAACGCAAAAAAAAACATTAAGATAATAACAATTAATTATGATACATCTAACAGCTGATTTTTAACCAGCTTCCTGACACTTTAGCTTCTCCAGGCAGGGTCGGTTGAGTTGTATAACCTCACAGCATTGAAAGTGAAACATTTTTGAAACAATGCGGTGTAGTGCAAAGGCATTGTCAGATTATTTTTATGCCTCAGATCTCTAAGATTAATGATTCCTCTAGTTACCAATTTACTATGGAGGTAGATGGGCTTTTAGTACACAATATCTTATGCACAAATACCTTATAGAATATATTCAAATTGTTAATCCATTTTCAGCCATTTCATTTCCTTGATCTTAGAGGAGACATGACTATATTTTCGAAAACCGCAGACAAACCTACAGCAGTTGTTTTGCATTCTTTGGATCCTACACTGATTCATCGAGTCAAGACAAAGATAGTATAAGGTTAAAGCGTAATTGAGGCTGGACATTACCATATCGAAGTTTGGCCTCCTAGGTCACCCGACCTCACGCCATGTGAATATTTTTTAAGGAGATATCTAAAGTGAAAGAGTAATCCAATAATCCACGAACACTGGACGAGCTTAAAGACAACATTCGACAAGAAATAAACAACATCACTCCGGAACTCTGCAAGAGAGGGTTACAGAAACGATATTTTAGAAACAAAACCCGCCGAATTTACGAATATGTTGATAGTGCGACAAATAGCGCCATCTATTGGGCGAGTCTCCTACTCGCCAGAGTTTAATGGCCGATCTCTGCTTTTACGCGAACCACGACTGCACAAGCCGCCTGGCGGCGCCTGTGAGGACCGTGACAGTGGATCGCCTTCGAAATCGACGCGAAGCGATCTCCAACATTCTAGATGTCGCTTTGTGGTACACCCGGTTTTTCTCGAAGCAGCAATTGGGAGTATATATAACTCGGCGGCCGGGAGATGGAGGCAGAGAGTACTGAATACGGTAGAGTAGCATAGCGGAGTGAAGTATAGTGCAGTCAATGGTGATATATGAATTAGTCAGACATAAATAGTGGTGTATATAAATGTTTTATCAAGTTAAATAAATTAGTACATTTCTTTTCGTGGAATCCAGTGTTTTAATCCATACCCAAAAGAACCCAGAAAAAACGCTACAATAGTAACGAATATGCTCTTTTCATTGAGTTTGTATTTTTTTTTTCTTAAATCAAAAAGTGAACTTTCGCACTAAATACCCTGTATAAGCTCAGTTTATTCACACTGTACTTGCCGAAATAATCTTAATAGATGAGGAACCAATTCAGGTACAAATATCAGATGAATTTCTAGGAAGACATCATGCACCCTTATAAGCTGATAAATAATTAAGATGCTTACCTTAGTAGAAGGACATAATCTAAATGTAAACAGCCTCTTTGGTATGAATTTTAAAATTAGTTCTTTGATTATCAGTTGTTTCGGGGAAACATAGCACAAAACCTTCTTTGGTTTTGTTAATCTGTCTCCATTTATACCTACTAATTTGGCTTCGTAACAAACGTTGTGATTCTTTGAAGCTACGTTTTTATGGACTAGAGTGGAATCAATACCTGAAAATATGAGTCCATAATAGAAAAACAAATTGTCGGGGGAAAACACCTTATTGTTGTATCATGTGGAAGCTCACGAAAAGGGGGTTCCCAGGGTGTAAAAATTTACAAGGTGGCCATTTGTTTTTTTTTTCTGCGAAAAAGTACGTTTTTGATTTTTGGTTGAAATTGAATGCACTAAAATGTATTTGACACAAAATTCGCTACATCAACTGTCAAGATAGCAGGTTCACAGACTGTCAAACTTTAATGTTATGATACAATACCCAATAGCTCAACAATCAATTGCCATAGCTCATAAGTATGCTATATCAATAAATCCTTTTAGTATATGTAATAAAAAGTGATGCATTCCATTAAAAAAGTTAACTTTGATATGTGGATCAAAATTGAGATATTATATATAATAATACATGAATAGCTTTATTTGAAAACTTCGTTCTCACACGGTTGGGACACCGTGAATATATTTAGAATAATACAGGGTGCAACTGCGAAGAGGTCGCACCCCCATTTGTGAATCTCCTGGTATATGTTGGGAAAAACTATCAGGCAAGTTAATTTTGATTTCTACGGGGACGTCTTTTTATCTATAGCCATACAATACAGGGTGATCCAAAAATAAGATATTGCGATACATTTTAGATTTTTAAATGAGAACCTCAATTTTTTTTAATTTTTAGATTTTCCATGAAGTTTTTTGTAACTTTTTTATAGTAAAGTTTATTCCTATCTTGAATCGTTGTGAAGCTATTTGAGTTTATAATAATATTCTAGATCAGTCCATCAATTAAAATTTTAATACGTGGGTTTACCTGATAGCTCGTGAGTGCACGTTCGTAACAATAACGTGTTCCCGCCTTTACACATCTGACATACATTATACTGAGTGTAGCAATACCTAAGAGATTGCAACCATTTCTTAAATCACCTGGTATATCAATTTGTACAAAGTTTAAGAAGACGAAAAACTCACTGTTTAAAACTATGATATCAAAATCCCCGTTATGCAACTCGGTGCCGCGGTAAAAAATCGTGGCATGATAACAACCTTCATGGACAAACTTCAATTGCACCATCACGCGTTGACTCTCCCAGTCATACTCCAAGTTTGTCGAACAATTTTCGCCGTCAGCTGTCGCATCCAACGGCAACTCCGGAGATTGTAAACCTAACTGTGCTATATTTATGGCGTAACCCTGAAAACATTAATTTACGCCGCGTCAAAACAGAAACGGCCACTCGATCGCGTAATTCTCGCGCTCCTATTGGCGTTTCTAGGCTACTGGCCAGCAATAGCGCGGGAATGTGGCAATCGAGGCTGTCGCTGTTTATTTAACGGGTAACACACTGCAAATCTGTACCCCAGAGCCAGACTTTCTCAAAAATGTATTTAATATGTTAAGCTTATGGCAATATTGTGAATTTTCATTCGCTACATGCAGCGACCATCTATCTGCAAAAATAAGGAGGTTACGACTTTTTAACTCATGTCAAATCGCTTACAACACAATGCAAGAAAAATATTTTAAATAGAATTATCTCAAAACTAATTATTTGGATTTAAGCTAGTCTGGCTCTGAGGTACATCAATTTTTCAAAGAATCGATGTTTTATTATCGACTTAAAAAATACTGTGAAGCTTTTACAATGTATGGAAAATTTCGAAAATGCGATATCATGTTTTTTTAATCTTATATAACAAGCACATCACGAAAAACCGTGTCACTCATTTATCTCTATCCGTCTGTTTGTCGGTCTTTGTCCGCAAATCTTTGGCCTCTATAACTTGGAAAATACTTATCAGATTTGAATGAAACTTTTACACAATATTACTACCATGCCAAGGATGAAAAAGCTTTGCAGTTTTTGTAAATCGGTCCAGTGGCGGCGGTGAAAAAGACCCAAAACGAAAGACAAAAAAGATGTTCATTATAATTTGTTTTTGTTACTTAAATATACGCTTGATAGCTTTCTCTAGTATTCTTATGTGCTCAAAACAAAAAACCAAAGAAACCTCTTTTAGGACGTTTCAATAGTGTTACCCATTAAACACATTGATTTTTTCAAATCGTGGGTATTATTAGGAATATCTCTCATTTGTTTCATAGTAGACAGTTTTGTATTGAAAAATGAATTCTTCACCTCTAGAGGGTTGTCTTTAGCTTCGAACCTACATACATTCCCATACTCATCTCGCGGTTCCACGTAAACAACTTGCGCGATGTTAGCCGTACATACAACTGTACTACAGTGGCGTAGCACATGGGTTCTTTGTGCGCATGGGGGGCCGGCAACGAAGGTCGCCGCGAACGGACTGCCGGCTACGTGCCTTTCTGCCACTGTCACGCTAACCTACAAAAAAAAAGAAAATAGACTAAGTCCTGAATATATTTTAGCAAGTTTTCATCCGCAATAAAAATGGGCACAGCAAAATAAATAAAAAATAGTTCTGCTGGCAATCGAACATACTTCTACAGATTTTTGTCTTAATGTATCCACCTTTGCAATAGTTCTAATAGCTCTTTTTTGTAATATAAGAAGCCTTTGTAACTTGGAGGATGCTCCCCACGCTTCTATTCCATAAGTCAGAGTAGAATGGATATGTGCATGGTAAAACATTAACAATATCCACTTATCAACGATAAAACTCAGCTGGTACATGCAATAGCAAAGAGGGGTAACCTTTTGACTAACTTTCTCCATATGCGTATCCCATTTGCAGTTTTGCGATATGTGTATTCCTAAAAATTATAGTTTCTGCTTGTTCCATGGATCTACCGCTTGATTTTATAAGGAGACTACAATCCATGTGCATATTAGAGTAGTTAAATCTCAGGAACAGTGTCTTTTTGTGGTTTAAGACCAGGCCGTTATTAATGAACCATTGCTCTTCACCAGCTAAGTTTATGTTGGCATTTCTTATCCCTGACTCCAAGTTTTTGCCATTAATAAGTAATGAGGTATCATCAGCATACATTACCGAGGATTTGGCGGGAAAGTCATTGACATATATTATGTATAGGAGGGGACCAAGTATGGAACCCTGTGGAACCCCTGTATGATATAGGTGCTGGTCAGACTGTGCCGTCAGTACTTCAGCATAATGTTTTCTGTTGCTTAGATAACTGTGGAACCAGTCAAACGGCTTACCTCTGATTCCATATCTATCCAATTTATCCAAAAGTATTACGTGGTTAACTAAGTCAAAAGCTTTACTCAAGTCAAGAAATATTCCTACACACTTTTCGCCATTGTCCATTTTCAAATACAGTTCATCAAGAAAATGAAGCACAGCGTATTGAATCATTTGAAACTGTCAAAAAAATTGACAATTTGTAAGATATATTTCTCAAATACTTTCGCAAAGGGACTAATTAGGGAAATTGCCTAAAATTACAGATGACGTGGTTATCACCCGACTTGAACAAGGGCTTAATTTTTGCAACTTTAAGTTTATCTGGAATTGTCCCTCCTCAATGGAACAATTAATTAAAAATGCTAAAGGTTAGCTAAGGAAACTAGATGACATTTTTAAAATATTTGCACTAATTTTATCTGCGCTAGTAGAGTTGGAGTTTTTAAGGTTCTTTATTATTGATATTATGTCACAACTTATACAGGGTGGTGCATCGAAAACGAAACAAACGCATTTACTGACAGCTCAGTTTTTTTTTTGAAAAACGCTCAGACCCATCGAGTTTTCGAGAGGGACACAAGTTTGGAAAAAACTTTTGCCACGAAAAACCGCTCCAATAGCTATTTTCAACAACAAAATGATAAACAAACCATGGGCGTAGTGAAGAAAAGTACTTACTTATTAAGTAAATTCTTTTAGTCAAATTTCTTCTGAAAGCAGTACAAACTAATCTGATGTACCTATTAAAGTCTACTTTAAGCTTTAAATCAATAAATCTTCAAAACTACTGAACTAAAGTACATTAATTTTATATCATTATAAAGGGAATTGAAATACCTGAAATACCCCAGGGGGCTGCACGTGTTAACGTGATTTTTGGCCAAACTTGTGTCCCCCTCGAAAACAAAATCGACGGCTATGAGCGTTTTTTCAAAAAAAAACTGAGCTGCCAGGAAATGCGTCTGTTTCGTTTTCGATGCGCCACCCTGTATAATGATACCCTTATACATGGTAATTATATGTTAAAATGCTTTAAATGCGGTTCAAATGACCTTTATTCCAGGTATTTTGAACTGCCAATACCGAATCCGAAGTCGTTTCACGTGTATCTGATCCCGTTTATCATTTAGATCTAATTATTTAGCGAAAAATTGCAAAAATTACGCGTTTTTGCTACTCTAAGGTACTAAAAACCCATTTTTACTATCGAGGACTACATGGAAGTGAAGCTTTGCTCAAAGAGGTAATTTGGGGCGCTGAATACGAATATCATAGTGAAAAAATTCCAAAGTGTCAACAGACTGGATTTAGGGTGAAAAGTTGACAGGAAACCATTTTTCCGGGCTAGCCGTAATTTCTAAAAAATGATATTTTCGTACAAGTTACATCCTAATCTTTCATTTTAAAATAGGAAATGATATATTTGCGATATGCCCAATTTTTTGTCAGTTTGTCATTTAACATATTTTTTTCAGTTTCGTGAACGATACCGATTATATTATTAAATGCGAGTAGAGCTAGCGGTATTTTCGACTACATGAAGCTTCCTAATTGGAAAGTTACCTTATATTGGCCAGCATGCCGAACAGTAAACTTGACCTTAGCAACATTAGCACAGGCGGGATCCGTCGGAGAGCCGAGTTCCGTAATAACAGCTAACTGAAATCAAAATGAGGCGTATAAAAAATGGGATTTTAAGAAAAAGGGCATATAAGTGAACAATTACAAAAGTAAGATAGTAGCCAGGATACCTTTCTGGATCCGCCACATACATCAACAGTAAAATTATCAGTATCACAGATTGGATAAGGCTGGCCATTTCGCTGGTAGAATTGCACTGTGAAACAGACCATTTGGCCTACGGGATGGAGATCGGACCATTGGAAATTTACCTGCAAATAAAGAATAATATTGTTATATTCCTGAATTTCCAACTTTCTAAATTCACGTGTGAGTAGTAAGAGTATAATGATAAAAGCAAATCTTTGATATTCCTAAAAAAAATAGGGTCTTGTCTATCTAGAGTATCGACTGTTTTTCAACCCTATGAAACACCTACTCGTCTAGGGTGACTAGCTTCCTATAAATTGAGAATGTTAAGATTATTAAAATTATAATCAAAATATGTGTACCGTTACGCAAGTCTGACAGTTCTATGACTTTAATATAAAATGTGTTCTCTTATTTAACTGACAAGTATACAGGGTGGCCCATCCATGTGTGGACGGAATATTACTCATAAACAAGTACATTTTGGGAAAATCGATTTATGGGATGTTATACATGACATTTGAGGGCACGTTTCTAAAATATTGGCCATTATACAGGGTGTCCCAATTTCGACCTACATATCAAAGCTGTGATTTTTCGAATAGAATGCCTCAAATTTTATTGCATATTTGGATAAATCAATTCAAAAGATGAACATTGATATAATATACTATGGGGTTTTGGTATTTAGCTACTGAGATATTAGGTGTTTTGTCTAGAAAAACCCCCCACTTCGGTAAGTCAGCCTCAGTCAGCCATTTTGAAATTTGGAGTGCTGAATTTTGTATCAGAGAAAACTTACACACCTCATCTTTTATCTTGTTTGTTAATTTTTCGAATTTTAATTTTTGCTCTTACAGGATGGTCAAGAACGCAAATTGTAGTTTTTCTCAAAAATTTCAAATGCATGTATATTTTTGCCAGTTTGGATTCAATTTTTTATAATCTTTTTTTTTTTAATACCAGACACATAAGGGTTTTTACGGCTGTTTTTCGGTTATTAGCACGTCTTTTATTTAACGGCTTGATTCCCTAAAATATCGCATCATCCTTGGAAACAAATAAATTGTTGATTAGTTACAAACTGTCAAAATTAGCTTTTTGAGCATTATAATAAGAATGTGTTTGAAAATGAATTTTTCTAAAGAAGAAATGGTGAATATGGTGTTCGTTTTGGGCGAAGCCCAAAGAAATAATTTCCTAGCATCTCGAATTTATAAGTCACGGTACCCTAATATGCGACATCCAAGGCCGGAAACATTGTACATACTACGAGAACGTTTTGAATCAAGTGAAGCAGTCTAATATAGTAAAAAGTGTATAAATAATCCAAGTGTCACCAATGAGGCGAATCAGTTGGAGGTTCTATTAAAGTTGCAGGAAAATCCCCATTCAATTGCACGGCATATTGGAGCAGAAACTGATATATATGCAGAACTTCTGTCAAATCTGTACTCTTAGGCCCGTATGGTCAGTCGTACTCACAATTGTAGGGCGCCTTCATGGCCTCCTTGATTGTCATAGTTTTCTACTTCTCCGTGTCAGAACTCTATTTTGAGGTTATGTCACAAACATCTATTTGCATCAAATTGTGCTTGCTTTTGAGTTATATCATGTTTTCTCAGCCTGAAATTTCCTACAATTTAGAAAGAAAACATATCTTCACAATAGGAGAGCGCTGACGCTGACACGGGACAAGTGTAATCTAGAAATTTTTGAAGGAGAGAAAGAAGTATGACAATCAAGGAGGGCGCGTTTATGGCCTTCTTGATTTCGATAATATTACGACTTCTTCGTTAACGTACATGTATGTCCTCCTTTTGATTTCCGACATACTGACAGTTCTGGCTTGAGGTTGTTTTGACGTTCAAGACACATGACAGCAGAACCATAATTTATAATTTTCTTGCAAATAATGTCGATCACTCAAAAATACATGGCTACATTGAACAAAAACCTGTGATATCTTCAAGAAATTGATGGGTTAGGAAAAATAATGCACATGGATATAGTATATTATAATATTGTATTTGTATGTATAAAAGTCCCGAAGGTTACAACCAAGCTGTTCTCTTGATGAAGGTTGGTAAGTTACAAAACAAATCATTGGATATTCATATTATATACTTATTGCATTATTTTCAGGTGTAATTCATTCAAACAGACTTTACAAGAAGTTGGTTCCTCAGTAAAATGCTATGTTTACTTTGGAAGGATAAGGAGGTGAATGATCTTTCTAAGAAGGAATTTATGCATCCAGGCATAATTGAAGGAATCTTACAGAAACAAAACGTGAATTTGATTTATGTGACCGATATGTGTTACACTGCAATTTGTTAATTAAAGCCTGGCATAAACCTGTATGATCATAGTCATAATGATAAGAATTAACACTTACGAACTTGAAGACAAGCTGTGCTAAGCAAGTATGTATAATGTGTAAATGTTCTGAAATTGAGTCGATGGTAAATTGACAATCATGATTTCAGGATATTAAAAAGAGCATGGGCATGTAGGAGCACCAATTATGAGACATTACAAGAATCAAATCCAAGCGAATAACCAAAATTTCCGTATTAGGACCGCGGTTATAATATGGTTCAAGATGACACACGGGATGATGACGTCATTTACTCGAATCGCTTGAACGCGTTGGTTTTAACCGCGGTTTGTTGCACGTTGTTTATTTTAGAAAAGCGCGTATATAGTTTCTGATTATAATTATTATCACTTAATAATCAGTGCTTTTTAGTCTACAACGGGATATGGAAAGTTGAAAAAAAGAAAACTTTCATAATATTAATGGCAGGAATGTTTTTTTTCAGAAAAACATTTTTACTGATGGAACCATGGCTTTGTAGCTATGATAACTTTCAATTCTCTAAACTTTTCCGCATGTCAAAGAAAATATTTAAACAAAACCGTATACAGGTGGACATCATCCAGTGAGTTTATATGGCGATATTTTAATATTCTTGTGGCTATACAGGATACTTTGTTAAGCGTAGGAACTAGATTTAAAGTGTCCCCAACAACAGTAATGATTATAAATAATAAGGTGCTTTCTTGTGCTAAAACTGAAGTCAGCCTGTATCAAGTTTCCCAAAAATGAAGCTGAAGTACAATAAAAATATCCAATACCCGGCAAAATTCTAACATGTCACATGTCAAATAATAACCAGAAATATAAAACTACTCCTGAGCTGGGTAAGTACCACAATTTTACGGTGATAATTATGACATATAACAGCTGATTCATGACGTCACGGATCTTATAACCAAACTGATAACCACACTCGCTTAGACGGATCGGTAAATACCAATCCAAAATGGTAAATACCATTTTCATTTGGTTATCCGCTTGAATTTGATTAAAGTTTAAATGGGAAAATGGAGTTGCAGCATGAAGTTAAATTCTTCATTACTTTGTACCATCATGGCAGAAAATTCCACAACTAATTACAAGAAAACTGTGGGAATCAATTCCCTGCTTAAGGAATGTCAAACACTAAATAGGACTGATATTTGAGGTGCTCGCCTTGTTTTACAATATTAGCCTTGTGGGCATATATATATACTGATATAAGCAGAAAAGGTTTTTTTTAAATGGGAAGCTGTAATGAAAATGTATCGTATCAAAACTTCAAACTGTCAATTTCAATTATTTGAATGTTCTGTGTATATATTATGTGTATAAATTGTGGTTTTTAGTTCCTGTTGACAATGCAGACTACAAAAGAAAAATATTCGTCAAAAACAAAAGCTTCAGCTGCTGACCATGGTAAACAATACAGCAATGTGGTTGGAAATAAGAAAAATGATGCAGTCAGCCTCAGGGCAAAAACAAAGCCTTAAATCGAATTGCAGAGAACTTCAATTTTCAACGTTTTCTAAAGAACTTTGTATGGTTAATGGAGATAATGAAAAATGCTTATTTTTTGGAAATAATCTAACCTGTTTACCAGCATTCAAAAATATGTAATCAAGTTCAAACTGTCAATTTCAAATATTTGAATATTCTGTGTATATGAATTCAGTTTGGTTTGAAGTTCAACGCTGCTATGCATTAATAATAGACAAAAATATAACCATATAGTTAAAAACAATAAGACCAATCTTTTGAGCTATCAGTAGAAAAAACTAGGTCTAGCTTTACATTGATAAGAAGTTTAATTTCCAGTAGCAGCACTGATGTAAAAAGCAGAATTTGGTATATGTGAAAAAAAGGAACTGTGATTAAATAATCTGTTGCAATATACCTTTTCAGAGGAAAAACAAAACCTTTCCCTGTTTATTTTGGCAAATAAAAGTAAGATAATACTGAGAGACATAGTTGGCTGCTTACAAGCAGAGGATGTCTCATACATTCCAATAAGGTCCCAGCATTTTACTTTCTTGACAGTGTTGTACAACATATTAAAGTGGTGCTTGACGATCCCTGTGATAATACTTTTCTTACTTATAGAATTTAACTGTCAACCTTTGGATAAAGGGGCAGATTCTTTAAAGAGCAAAATCCATTTTCATATGAAATAAATAAGAGGCTGCTGGAACTCGAACAACTCAAAGAACGTTTCTTATTTATTAGATCGTGTTGTAAACTATATTATACGCCAAAGCTAGTAACTTTTATTCAAACTGCTTTGCTACATATCCAGGGATATAGTTGCGGAAAGTAATTTGGAATTTTGTTTTCAATGCTGCTGTATGTTTTTGCCAGGTCAAGCCATTATCAAGGGTGACCCTGAGGTTCATGACAGAATTTTTTCATTGTATACGACTACCGTCTGCCGAAACCTCGAGTGGGGGCCCCGAGACGTTTTCTGCTACAATACCTATATTTTCGAATGATTACTTTTAATCAAATCAGCCATCGTTCCGACCACTCTAGTACTTACTCCTTTGCATCTTGTAATCTGGCGTGAACCAGATTACCAGTACTTGACTGGCGCAGTGTCGACAGCATAGAGGTAGACTTCACACCACAGTTGTTGAGTAAAAAGCGAGTGAGGAATTGGTTCTAGGACCGAACCTTGAGAAAACGTTAAATTTGATCTGAAACTTCCTTCGATGCAGGATTTTAGTAGTTGTTAGAAGCAAAAAAGAGAAACAATTTTGTATTAGTTTATAGAGACCCACATGACACACGTTGTCAAAGGTTTTTGAGACATCCAAAAGCAAGATGCAGGTACTCAGGTTGAGGGTGAATCCTTTGGGTACATGTTCCACCAGCCTGACTGCCTAATGCTCGGTACTTATGCTTCGACCGAGAGTCGAATTGAATGTTACGAATCAAATGATTATCTGACGAGAAAGAAAGGATTGGCTTCATACGATAACATATATCCCTTACGCAGTTTAATCCTCAAAGTTTAACCTCCTATATCTATTCATGAATCAAAATAGTAGGTAGTAGGGATGGGCAAATATAACTTGTCATTTGGATAACCGGTTTCTTAGATCGGCCTGTTCAACACGTTATTTTATAATGTGCGGTTACTAAATCAGAAAGTTCAATTTCTTTTCTAACTATAATGCATATAGGCATCCTGGATATACCCCCGTATTCATATTTCAATCTCCAATACTTACCACTTTCCCCTCTGTGCCGACGTCTAAATTTGTCAATGCAAGTTTTAGAAAAATATCGGATTAATTCACAACTGGCTTTTTATCAATAACCGCCTATCTCTCTCAAATAGGGTAGAACGTGATATCTCTTTGAGGCTATGCTGGTTTCTTTGTTTCGTCCCGTGTCCCCTCCACATTCGCTCTTGAGTCAACCGATTTTAACATCAGTTCACATTTGAAATTTGTAGCCGGCTTTTTATATCGTATGCTTATTGCAGTGATAAATATAAGTGAAAATGGCAGAACGTGATTTATTTGAATCGGGTGAGCACTCCCTGCCAGAGATCCTCAACCCCTCTACTTCATTTACCAATTAGGTATATTCGTGATAGGTCGAATCCGCTATAGCATTATAGGGACCAAGAATTTCAAAGACGCTTTCGATTCACAAAGGATTGCGTGGTTCACGTTCTCTATCCTATGGTCTACTTACATTGCTCAAAGATACATCCCATCCTGAGAAGCCGAGATTACAAGATACTGTTGCAGGACAGAATAATTCTAGTGTAAGGCACGTTATTAGAGGAAAAAGAAGAGTCGATATATTCAAATTTTTTGTCCACACAGTGTTTTGTTTGTAGAGATTCTAATTTTGAAAGTAGCATACAATATTGTTAACATCATGATGAAACATTTGTTTTAAGGGAAAAGAAGAATTACAAATTGATGAAATCTGTATTTCCATATATTTCTGAAAAAACCTATTATATTTCTAAATAAATATTGATTTTACCAATGATGCTTTTATTTACATTCCACAAATACTTTCCATCAGAAAAGTATAATACATGAAATTGTTAATGAACTCATACGTAGTATGTCAAAACGTAATCACCAATCCAATGATGACTCTATGTCCAAAAGGTACAACTAATTACAGGAATTATAAATATGTAGCCAAAAAAACAATATATCAAAAATGAAAAACTACAACAGCGTATCACAATAACCTTTATTCATTTTTAATTTACTTACATAAAATATACAGGGTGTTTTCCAATTGAATGTCTATATTTAAGGGGGTAACTTTGAGTCCATTTTAAGAAGAATATTTCATATGACGTATATCCTAAATCTCTTGACCTTTGAGAAACAGAGTGGTAAACTTTTCAAAAATTAATAAAATTTCTTGTAAAGATCTGGAATACCACTTTAAATACTTTATCAAAGTTTGGCATACATGTACATCAAGAGGTATTTGTCATGCAACATTCTTTCAATTCCCACCAGTGGCGTTCGTACGAATTTCACTTGCCTATTTTGGCAGACAATGATAGTAGGCAACTGATTTCTCTTAAAATAAAAATTTGCTCTTAAAACCATCAGTGATTTCTGAGCAAATTTTATAAAATTAAAATACTGTTTCTTTGCATGATCCTAATATCGTTAATATAACAATGTCACTATGTATAAATAAACAGTATTTTTGAAAAGAATTTTTTTTAGCCAAACCTATGATTTCCACCCAAAAAATAGAAACTATTTCGCTGCATGGTGATATTGTCATATTATTAACAATATTCAGAGTCAGTTTTTATTTTTATGAAAACCGTACATCAGATTGAAAACATCCAAGTGATTAAATTTGCTTAGATGTGATTAAAAATTTTAATAAAAGAGACATTAGTGGCATACCATTACTGCCCGTCGAAATAAGCAGGTGAAATTCCTTAATAGCATCACTGGTGGAAATTAAAGAAATGCCTCGTCACTCATGTACAATTAGGAGACACACTGAATTGCAGCTCCTAATATTACAAGAGTAAATGCATACTTTTGAGACAAATATTTTTTTACTGTTTCTATCATAACTAACAAACTCTGCTTTTCATATGAGTGTTTCAAATATCAAACCAGTTTAATTCTTGATATTTCTTTTTCAACCCGAAAATGCTTTCCTTTCACACGCCATACTTTTGATAGATTTTCCCTTTTAAGTTGGGGTTCCAAATCAATGAAAAACTTTCAGTATTGAGATTTGAATTTCTTAATAAAATGATTGAAAAATTTAAGTTGCCTTACTTTTTTCCTTATACAATATGCCACAACACTAATATATGGTGCAACACATTTAAAAAGTTCAACATACTGTTCTTTGAGGCTCAGTGCATCAATCTTATTATTGCGCTGATGTATTTTTTTGGTATCCTCAGTAGCTGGAGACTCAATTATAAATAATAATTTAAAACCACAATTTATACCTAGAAGTTTAAATTCAAATGAAATTTTGTATCTCAGAGCCAGGTAAGACCTACCTGTAATTATAAGCAAATTTACTTAACTTTATATGTTAAGTCGCATATGATACAATACAAGACAAATTATCTGAAACGCAATTACCTTATTATCACACTTATTGCGGCTTAACCTTGCCTGACTGAGGTACACTTTTCAAAATAATTGGTCTTTTCTGCTTATCTAGACCTTTGAAGTGTTTGAAATTTGTTTAACAGAAAAGTGATTCCCTGGATTAGTTAAGATTTTCTTATATTTTTATATTTGTAATTAACTGTGGAATTTTGTGTCATGAAGTTTTTCCGATTTAAATTCATACTACAATACTACAACTGTGTTTACTCCCTGTAATACTTCATATTTGGTAATCCTACATGGATATGGTATTTCAAGCATCCTGAAATAACAATGATAAATGGTAATTACGATCTTCACATACACACATTGTACATATTTGTAGCTTGACACTTCACATAGAGTCCAGTAATGATTTGTGAACAGGCATCTTGACATCAACAATGCAATTGCATTCGGGATATGTTTGTTATCCATGGAGGAACCAACTTCTTGTAAAGTCTCTTGTAAAGTCTGTTTGAATGAATTACACCTGAAAATAATGCAATAAGTATATAATATGAATATCCAATGATTTGTTTTGTAACTTACCAACCTTCATCAAGAGAACAGCTTGGTTGTAAACTTCTGGACTTTTATACACACAAATATAATATTATAATATAATATATCCATGTGCAACAATTTCTTGAAGATACCACAGGTTGTGGTTGTGGAGTGATTTGTTCAATGTAGCGAGGTATTTTTGAGTGACCGATATTATTTGCAAGAAAATTATAAATTATGGTTCTGCTGTCATGTGTCTTGAACGTCAAAACAACCTCAAGCCAGAACTGTCAGTATTTCGGAAATCAAAAGGAGGACATACATGTACGTTAACGAAGAAGACGTAATCTTATCGAAATCAAGAAGGCCGTAAACGAGCCCTACAACTGTAGGGACGACTGACGATACGGGCCTTAGTGGCAATATGGAACTAGCCCACTGTTTGTCTTTTGTTTCCATGGATGATGTGAATTTTTCTTAATTTTGGTGTTGTTCTATTAAAGCTTAATAACTCAAAATCTAGTGATTTTATCTGAATTAAACCTTATACAAAAAAAAGCTCATAAAAAATTGAATCCAAACTTGTACAAATATACAGGGTGATGCACTTGAAATTTTTGAGAAAAAGGACAATTCGCGTTTTTGACCACCCTGTACGAGCAAACATGATAATTCGAAAAAGTAACAAATAAGATAAAAGCTGAGGTATGTACATTTTTTTGATACAAAATTCAGCTCTCCAAATTTCAAAGTGGCGGATTGAGGGGTTGCCGAAGTGGACGGTTTTTCTGGACAAAACAACTTACATCTCGGTAGCTAATTACCAAAACCCCATAGTATGTCATATCAATCTTCTTCTTTTGAACATGCCATAAATAGATTTACCCAAAATGTATTTGTTTATGAGTAATATTCGGTCCACAGATAGATGGGCCACCCTGATTCTGATTACTGCAAACAGTCATTTTTCTTCATCACATTTGCATAATTCAATTTTAATGAGCCTTGGTTTCCTGTTCTGTCTAGCGCTCGGGTGTTGGATAACCTACTTAACTTTTCTCACCTTACAGTTTGAGGGTAAGAGATATTTTCCAGTGACGTACTGCAAAAGGGAATGTTTGGCTTCTGGGGCGAGGGAGGGTTGAGTCATGGCGGCCAAAGTGACCAACCCGGCTACAGACAGCGATACCACCAACATGCCTCCTACAAGATAAATAAAACAAATCATTAGCACAGCACACAAACTATACTTCTTCAATTTTAGTTCAGCTTTTGAAACGTGTACTCCTTGGAAGATTACACAGCGTCAGCCACGCAACATTATTGCACCTGGCAGCTTCTTGCAGTGTGCGCCGAGTTTAGAGAGCAGCACAATGGTCTAGAACGTTCTAAGGCATTCACGAAATTTCATAGAGTACGATTTTCTGGGTCGCTAATATCTTTGTATCTAAGAGAGCATTTTAAGGTCATTGGAAGGACACTTCTTAGAAAAGTCGAACAACTGAGCCCGACCGCACCTCACTTAGGTTTTTCTGGTCGCTGAGTCCGTATCAAACGTCAGTTAATCACCATGAAGGCATCGGAGGTCATTTCAAGGTCAAGATAAAAATCTAGCAATTTTGTTCAGTTTAGTGGCATTTGACAACCATTTTAAGGCCACTCAGAAGTTGAATATTCCATCATAGCACACAGTTGCTCGAAACTGATGTCACTCATTTTTAGAACACAATAGAAAAAACTGCTATGGATAACTAAATGACTCGTGCGAGTTCAAACTTGTACTGAAGGCGGATCACATGTTGCCCTGTCTCCCCTCCAAGCCCGCCACTTCCAGTGTTGTCAGATGGGATGCTAAATTTACTAAATTTTATGGAGTTACGAGTAATAAGACAAGAACAATGTAAGAATTTTAACTATTGAATAACAGTACCCCATGTCCAAGCGTCCCTATGACTGCTGCCTTTGACCACCTCCGCCCAGAGGTCTGCCTTCAGCTGATCCAAGGGTTGTTTGGAAGTGGGCAGCGCCTGTCTAGCCGCCGACCATTTGGAAAAGTCCCCCCCGAATGCCCGCCTTGCCCTGCCGTCCTCCAGCCAGTACACGTCCTCCAAACTGCCCACGCCCAATGAGAGCAGCCGAGGATGGTAAGACTAGAAAAATAATAATCATTGCTTATCCAGGATTGTTCAAAAATAAGCTAAAATGCTTCCGATTCTTGGATTCATTTCAAGACAAAAAATGCATATTACCCTGAATGTCTTGATTTTTTTAAGACAAAGCATTTGATCGAAAAAGTGTGAAATGGCGTCAAGTAGATTCACTATATACTTCTTACGCCTTCATTCGAGGTTTCAAAGGAAATGTTTGTGGCAAATACGTGTAACTTATTAATAGGTTCATAGTAACACTGGTATCAGCAGCTTCTTAATAGTAAGTCTTTCACTAACACCAATTATGCAACAATTTATAACCGTACCGCATAAGCTTTCAAGTTACAATTTTCATACCCTCCAATGCATGAAAATGAGCAGGAATCTCCGAAACGTTGTAACACTATGTTCCAGATATTTTATTTTCGCCGTATCTGAACCAATTTTCAAAATACATATACGACTACCTAAACGATGGGAGTATTAAACTCACGATAATATTCGAACTTCGGTCCACAAGTTTTCTCATGCTCAAAGCAGCATCACACAAGTCCGTGTTTTTCATTTATGTCGGTTTGTATATGCGTGTCGGCTGTATATCAATGCGTCATAGTACTGAGTCGATCTACTAGACCAAAAATTCAGGAAGCTATCACAGATGGAGTTTAGACAAATTGAATATTAGACGAAATGGGTGGTACACTTAAGGATCATAAAATTCTAATATCCAAATATTGCTAAAATATATAAATATTTCTCCTGTAGCTGTGTGTCAGTGACTACATCATCGCAGACCAGTTGGAGTTTGTTCCTCATTACACAGCACATACAAGCGATTTTCTTGTGTTTTTTTCCAAAAACTGCAAAGCTTTTCCATCCTTCGCATAGTAGTAAACTTCTGTGAAAATTTCAACAAAATCCGAGCGGTACTTCTCAAGTTATAGGCCAGTTATAAGATTAGCGGACAGACCGAGAGACAGACCGACAGACCGACAGACAGACCGACGGAAATAAGTGACATGGTTTTTCGTGATGTCATATACATCCAAAAGAATATAATCTCTCAATTTTGAAATTTTCCCGATTACAATACTTCAAATTTGGTCTTTTAATTTTCTTTCCAGAAACTTACAGTTTTCTCGTAAGAAAATAAGAAACACTTCTCTGCATGGCCATATAGCTATAATGTGAAAATTGAGAAAAGGAAACAACATATCGATTATATTTTTTTACGCGAAAATCGTCTGCGCAGAGAAAATCAAGTTTGCTCAAAAGTGGATAAGAACATTTTTTCCCGATAAAATGCAGAAGAGTACCATATTTTTATTTTAAAGTAGTTAGCCCAAATCTCACACGAACGCCATTGGAAGGAACAAAAAAATATATACTAAATTTAATTAAACATGTATCGAGCGGTATCATAGATATTATAAAAAAATGGTTTTTTGAAAACCTTACCACCATGTACCTACAGTAATGGACAAAAGTATCTTGACAAATATGAATATTTACCTAAATACCTTTGTAAAACGAATTCATATTTCATTGCTCCGTAAGCAAATACGTTATTCTTGTTTTTGTTGAAGTCTGAATATAAGCACTTTTTTATGAGGGACAAAAATATGTAGACTAATTCTTTTCAACATTAGTTTAGTACAGTTTCGTGTCAGAAGAGGATTAGTTTGTGTTCATCAAGTATTGTGGAATAAGTTGAGTGATTTTAAGACCATGCCGCGTGGTCCAGAAATTTCTTTCGTTGTCAAAAATTTGAAGCTGAAGCGTAAAGCAGTTTGGACAATATTGAACAAATATAAACAAAAAGGTATCTTGGAAGCCTCTAAGAGAAGTGGTCGGCCTAGAAAACTAAATGCTAGATCAGTTAGATTAATAAAAGTAATTTGCTCCGTTTAAAACCCCAAGACAAATAAAAGCCGAAATCGAGACAAAAGGAATTGTCAGTGTTTCTACGAAAACTATAAGTAGAAGATTAAATGATTTGAAGTTATTTGACGTCGCCCGAGTAAGAAGCCGCTAATCTCGAGGAAAAACAGTAAGAACCGATTACAATTTGCACGGGTGCATCTTGATTGGAGCATCTGTGACTGGAAGAGATATGTTTGAGTGACGAATCCAAGTTCAATATGTTTGGATCAGATGGTGTTCATTACATTAGACGTCCTAGTGGACAAAGATTGAACCCCAAGTACACTTTGCCCACTGTCAAACATGGAGGCGGGTCTGATATAGTTTGGGGGTGCTTTTCGGGGTTTGGGATGGGACCTTTACATAGAATAGATGGCATATATGGAAGACAATATGCCCTTAAGATCAATCTTCCAGCAAGATAATGACCCGAAGCACACTTCAAATCTCGCAAAAAAATACTTTCTGGATGAAAAAATACCAGTTCTCAAATGGCCTTCACAGTCTCCCGATATAAACCCCATTGAAAATCTATGGGAATACTCAGATAAGCAAATACGAGATAAAAATTATTCAAAGAAGGATGAACAAAAGTGGAGACAGATTGATGAATCTTATATCAAGAAACTTCTACAATCTATGCCTAGACGATGCCAGGCAGTGATTGATAATAATGGTTATGCTACAAAATATTAACACAAACATGGTTGGTTTTCTATAATTCAATGAACTTTGCTTGTTTTTCCTATAATTGTTTTGCTTTGTCTATATATTTTTGGCCTTCATAGTTCCAGTTTTTTTCAATTAATTTTTTATTGAAGGGAGTCTAATGAATTTATTTATGTATAAGTGAGTATTATGCTATAACGAATTATGTATATAGGTTGGTGTATTTAATAAAACAAGTTAAAAAGGAAATACAGCACAATATTAATTTGTCTATATACTTTGGCCATTACTGTATATCAAAATTTGAGATGTTCATAATACGGATTCGTGAGAAGTTTTTTCTCAAAACGGATCCAAGAATCGTGCTAAAAAAAATCATTCTTCAAAATGCTTTCAACAGTGATTATTCACCATTAAAACTCACTATCAATCAAACACACTCTTTGAAAAATGACGCAATGTCTGAATTATCTTTGATTCCTAAAACAAGAGTCAACTTGTCCAATATCTACATTATCCTCAGAATTCAAATTGCTGACACATTTATTAAATATGAAACTATGTTACCTTCGTATCAGAGGAATTACAACTGATGATGGCCATACGGTGTTGGTGATTAAAGCTAGGTTAGTAAAAAACTGACAGTACAAATATTTAAAGCTGTATAAAATGGCAGTAAAATGCCGTACATATAATTATATTGATAGTGATAAAAGTTGAAGGAAGGTCAAATTGCCTAAAATTTATCGCCTAGGACTAGGGATGGCAACGATACATCGATGTATCGAAAACATCGATACATCGGACGTAGAACATCGATGTTTAGGCATCGATGGTTTAATGACGATATATCGATGTATCGACATCGAAAGGTTTATAAAAATCGTTATACCCCGAGTATACCCTTAACTGTGCTACCATCTCTAAGCGAGGACTGGCAGCTTCTACATTGAAAGCCCAGAAAGCTGTTTAGTAGTATCTCAACATCATCATTTCTTTATTCTGTAGTTCCCCAAGAGATATAATATAATAAACTGAAATCAGCGAATTTACGCATTTAATGATTTCAGGTTCTTCTGATTATTTTATTGTATATAGCTCTTGTGTCTCTGTTTTATTGTTAATTAATCGAAATGCCACGAAAAAGTGATATGTGGAAGTACTTTAAACTTGTGCACAGTGAAAAGTATTTCATGGTCATCAATGTGCTCTTAATTTTGACAATATTCTATCTTGCAGTTTCCTATAATCATACTTTTTTACTGAAATATATTGCAGTCGGTATCCTTCTTTTATCCTATCGTGAAGTTGCTGTCGCGGTTTTTATTCTTACTTAATGGTTCCCAAATCGAGAAAAAAAAAACGCGGTGGGAATTCCACCCACGGATAAAATGACCATTCCGCTAAAATCTATAGCAATCGTTGAATTAAGTCGTTGTTGAATTGAAAGCAGAGAGTTGTTTCGATACATCCGTGTATCGATGTATTTGTTCCGATGTATCGAGCTCCATCGATACTACGATGGCGATGTTTATGTCCAAAGATCGATGTTTTCTAATAAATTGCCATCCCTACCTAGGACAGACATTATCAAGCTGGTCTGTTAGGCGAACGTCACACTATCATTATTTATTGTGGTTTGTACCATCAGTATTTAGTGATCAATCCGTCAGAGTCACTGGATTTCTGCGTAACTCTATACATCAATAATTACGTCCTGGCTACTTGGTCAGCACGAGTAAATCTCACATTATAAATACTGACCCTAAGGCAGTCACGCAATCAACACTTATACTAGGATCCGCACGGGTATCATGTAAGAAACCTATAAAACGTGAAAAAACCCTATTAGATGCCATCTTGCAAACTAGGTAGTTTTTAGGGCGCAGTCATTCCACGTTTGCTCACTAGGAGGAATCACTCACCTAAGCTACACGCCTTATAGGTCGCATCTGGATGATTATGTGTATTGGTCTGCATGTGTACAAAATCAGTGATCTCTGTTGTGTGAGAAAATCATTACTGAATATGCTGCCAATGAAGTATACCTATTGGCTGTGCCCGACGAGTTATTTTTATGTTGCGCTTCCTGAAGAGAGGTTATGTTCAAAGTTATAAATAACGAAAAACTGAGGAGAGTTACGGGAAATCATCACCGCGCTCGCGTTGTGTGTAATTACTGTTAACATGTATATGGATTGTAATTCGACAGTGTACAGTGAATATAATTATTTCTTATCTCTCTCATTTTTGAAATTCAGCAAATTTCAATATGAAATTTCCAGAATGGATAAGAAAAAGTAGATGCGCAACTAATTTGTAGCTTTGAATATCAATTAAGTGTATTTGAGACAAGAACCCAATGTAATTATCATCAACACAAACATACAAGTTACAGCTTAGACGTCCAGTAATGCCATATCAGAAGCAAATTTTACCTCACATCAGAGCCAAATATTGATAACAAGTCTCATGACTAGTCATGTGTTGTTCGCGAACGAGTCGTTCAAAATGAACAACTCATCTATGTGAGCGACGATTGAACGACTCTTTTGTTATATATGACTCGTTCAATTGTGCAAAGCGAGTCTGCACGCCTGTAGTATCCAGCAACTGAACTGCGAACTGACAACAGACACAATCTAGGGAACTTGTTTTGTTTTGAGATGTCTCATTAAATTATACACTGAGTTGTAATGATGGGATTTGAGAGCAAAAACTGCATTTTGATTAAGAATTCGGTAATTCCTCAAAACCGAACCACATACATACCCCTTCTCTTTTCTTTGCAATGTACGGACTAAGAAAGGACGTATTCAAATAATTTGGTGGCCCTATTTCATATACGAGCCCCTTCCCACTTCAGTTGGCCCAACTATTGAAATCTTAGTTTTTTCTTATCAAACACAAATAATAAAAATGTAGCATGGTGTTATAGGTTTAAAATATTAACAATGAATATTTTGATAAGATATAGTAGAAAACACCAACTTTATCACTCCCTAGTCAAATTTGCAGCATAAAAATAACACATGTTGCAATTACAACATATAAACCTATTTTCATTTCAATGCAAAATAAGTCTATAACGCGTAAGTGGCTGTGAAAAATAAAATCCATGACAATTGTTTTTATTAATCACAGCTGTCAGAATACGTTTAAAATAGTTTTGGGTAGTTAAGGTTTTCAAAATGGGTGGAGGAAAGGTTATTAATGAGAAAATTCGGTTACTGATAACTAAATTTTTTAATTCTGGGAAATCAAACTAAGAAATTGCAACTTTATTAGACTTATCGCGGTACAGTGTGAGAAATATTGTTAGAAGATATAACGTAACTGGTTCAGTTAATATTAAGCCACGATATGTGAAAAAAGTAATATCACAAATGCCGACCGAAGAGCATTAAGAAGAATAATCGTGAAAAACAGGCGTGCCAATTATTTACAATTAAGTGCTCTGTGGAGTGTCGCTGTTGGAAGGAGAATTTCGAGGTCCACAACTCGTAGAGAGGCCCACAAACTGGGATTTAGCACTTGCAAGGTAAGTTTTCTTATAAAAAAAGTGAAGTAAAAACCCTAAAGTTGCACAACTTGTTTATAGGGCAAAGAAAAGCCACTATTAACTCCACTGCAAAAGAAAAATCAGCTTAGATGGGCTAAATAACATAGACAATGGACACCTCAACAATGGTGAGCAATACAATGGAGTGATGAGGCCCTATTCGAAGTTTGTGTTGGTGACGATCGCAGTAGAGTTATTCGCAAAAAAATGAAGCAATCCATGTTGACTGTCTGAAGAGAAAAGTGAAATTTCCAGCATCCATTATGGTCTGGGGCAGTATGTCATCAAAAGGAGTAGGAAAACTTCATTTTATTGACGGAAATGTGGATACAAACAAATATTTGGCAATTTTAGAAGAATCGCTTTTACCAGTGACGGAAGAATGTTTGACATCCGGCCAAGATTTTGTGTTTCAGCAAGATGGTGCAGCGTGCCATACCTCAAAAAAGGCTATAAAATGGATGGAAGAATAATGTACCACTTTTGAAATGGGTTTCTAGCAGTCGAGATCTGTCACCTATTGAAACTTTGTGGCACGAGATGAAAAAGGTTCCTCGACAACATCCTGATCGTACAATCACCAAACTGAGACAAAAGCTTCAAGAAATATGGGATTGTTTTATACCCAAAGAATTTCAGCCGTAATAAAAAATTAAGGTGATGTTACCCAATGGTAATCTTTCAATTGTTGCTTTGTTCACTTCGCGCATTTATTCGCACATTGTTTATTTGTTCAGATGTTCTATTAGTTATAGGTCTAAGTCAAATATGTATTTTTTACGACTAGAGTGTATCTAAAATGTTTTTGAGTCAATAAATTGTTTTAGAAGTAAATAGTTTCGTCATGTTTAGGTTATAAAGGCATATTTTGGTAAAAATCTTGAAGTGGGCCAACTGAAGTGGGAAGAGGCTCGTAATATCGCGTAGATAAGTCGTTCTGCAAATAGGTACTCATAATCGCGATCGCTGATACTCCTCGATTTTAAAGCCGTTTTACTTCCCACGCCACTGGCGAGGAAGTATTGTAATCTCGAAAAATTTCTAAAATGGGATGTTATGTTTTTTAAGTCATATTACATCTACATCACGAAAAACTGTATCACTCATCATCAACTTAGAAATTACCGCTCGGATTTTTATGAAATTTCCACACGGGGTTACAGGTATGCCAAAGCTTTGTAGTTTTAGTCCAGTGGCAACGGTGCTATAGGCAAAAAATAAAAAGTACTCGTAACAATTGCTGAAACTCCGTTTTTGACATTTCAGGGGCTCCAAATCATTGACATAAAAAGATTGTACTGCTTCTGATCCCAGTGATTAGAGGAAATTTAAATGACGAAAATCCGACGAATAATGCGCTCACGATTTGAAAAAATCGGTACCTGCTCCATAGGTTTGACACCAAGAGCCAACAGATCTGCAACTACCGACAGTACGGAAGAATAAATTCAGATATCACTCCAGTCAAGTATAGGGGAATTTAGCGTGGAACTTTACAATTATCGATATGTCAAGGACATATGTTTTTGAGAATGATAATTTGGTAGATTTTATATCTGCATTTTCATTTGAATTTAATGACCCGTGAAATGTACCCATTTCGCCGTTACCCTCAATCTGTGTTCTGCAGTTTGTGATGTTTTTCTGGATATAAGCAGGACAATTGCCTAGGGTGCTATCAGAGCTTTTTACAAAATTTTGTCTTTGCGCAAGAATTATGGTGGGTTGAAATGCTTACTATTTGTACTCAACTTCTTGATATTTTTAAAAGATCCTAGTGGATAAAATCGAAAAAGTGGATCGCTGGCACCCTGTGGACTTTGTTTCTAGTACGCTGCAAGAGTTTCATTTGGAAATAAAAATGAAACGTCAGTTGTGAAGTGCAAATCGGTTTTTGGGCGAAATTCATCTACTGTTTCGTCCTGCCAACCAGCCTTCCGACTAGAGGAAAAATGTATTCAAATAATTTTATATCTTTCCTGAAATAAATTCAAGAACTCAAATTCAAATTCGTTTATTCATGTCAATAAACGCAATTATGTTTACAAGGGTCATGTGGTACATGGTAACAATTGAATGAGAGTCATAAAAATTTCTTATGCCGTCAAAATAAGAGGAAACAGTTAGGTAGTTTTTGCAAAGCAATAAACAGGTAGGCTTATAGCTGTATTAAGTACATGTCTTGTCTACTGTATAAGGTAGATGGAGGTGATGCTGCCAGAAATTGATGTGTGCGATCAATAAACAAACCACAAGGTTGAACTGCCGTTGCCGATGATTTTTGTATTGCCTTTTTTTATTGCCTTACTAGAAAACTCTGTTGTGTATATGATGGAGTTTACTAGAACTTTACAGCTTGTTGTCTGCCTTCTTCTACAAACTTCACCAAATCGAGACGCTGTCAGCCTTATCCTCCGATGAAGACGCCACAAAGTACAGTCCTGTAATTTGGTGACTTGTTCGATCTGCAAAATCTCGTCGTCACTTTTTCTAAGTTTCCCTAAAAATTCTTGCTTAGCAACCTCCAAATCAATGTCGTTCATGTCAGGTTTTTGACTGAATTCGCCATAAAACTATTCATTTTCATTGGAATTGCTATTCGATTTGTTAGTTTTTTTATTATATCAGCTTTTTTGGTCTGAGTTTCTTTTCAAGATTCTTGCGTTTGAGTCTTTGTTCCATCTTAGTGATAAGCGAGGTTGGACTAAGCTTAGAACGCAAATGTATTTGGACCACATAGTCACGCCGCTCGGTATTGTGGCTCACTACAGCTGCAGCACATCTTCCATGGTATGACCTCTTCTTGCAATAATTTATTCGCTTACCCCAATGTATTTTGCGATTATAGAGTTGAACTGCTCCACACTATTGTTGTTCTCATCATGAATTAAACTCAATGCATTCGTAATTAAAACTGTCGCATATGACCTTTTATTGTCCATCATCAACCTTGATAAAAAAAGGCACTCAAGCACAATCACCCCAACAAGAGTACAGCACAACAATTCAACAACACAATATCGACGAACAGTAACAAGGGTAGAACAATACTAAATGATCACTTGCTGAGTACCAAAATAGGAAACGATTTACAGGCTAGATCGCTAATCGAAATCCGACTCTGTTATTATAAAAATTTACCTCGGTAAGCACCCGCAGTCATCCTTTCCTCTTTTAAAGTAGCGCCGACGACCGTCTAAGGCCAGCCCACCCTCGTTTCCTTTTCACCCTACCGTCAACTCAGCAGATGGTGCTCGGGATTGTAGGAGCCCCGTTAAAAGTAGGTACGTATGTAGTGTCAGTCACTGGTGACGACATGACGGTCAATATGTTAACGGTGACAATCGAACGCTACTTTACCTGCAGTTGGTTCTTTGTGAGCCACTGTCTGAGGACGAGGCGCTGTTGTAGGAGTTCAGCCGCCTCTTGCAGCCGTTGCTCATCTGGGGCGGGCAGTTCTGGCAGTTGACCCAGCTCACTGCATTGCGACAGCAAAGATATACCTGAAACAAAAGAAAACATATTACATATCTCCAAAATATATCCTAAGAAGATTTTTATGGTTATGGCGTCAATTAGTTTAATTCATTTCAACAGCAGCTTTACAAAAGTGCTGCCAACATTTATGGCATTTGACAGATGAGGTTCTGTCATATCTCCATTTGACGACGACGTAGACGAGACAACTAAGGTAAAAATTATTGCTAATTTAGTCAAAGAAAGTCCGTCAGCCCACAGTAAACGCTACATGCCATCGAAAGAAGAACTTTCTGGTCCACTTACGAATAAATGTTCCTTTGTCTTCTTTTTACTATGCTAACTGTTGAAACAAGCCAGCATAAACTACGATTCTGGCAATAGATGGCACCTCATACTGCCTTGTTTCGATAGATATTATACCTCGGATAGAGGTTAGTTGCATGTTTTCGTCCGTTGTCCTGAGGTCAAACCCAAACGATGCTGACGAGTTCCCGCAAAGCACAAAACATATGTTCATGATCTAATGTCTGTGGCCGGAGGGACAAAACGAGTATGTTTAGATGGTAGCTATTCTTCGACTCAAAATTGATAACAGTTTTCTCGATGAGTGTCCAACTGCATGGCCACATGATTCTTTCCTACACGCTAATACGGTGCAAGCACTGAGAGTAGTTAACGATACGGCAGAAAGAGCAATCAAGTTAATGCAAGACTTTGCTTAATCACTGCTTATAGGGAACAAACACAATTTTTATTACTTTGTACATAAGAACACAGGCAGGTATATCCTGACTGTAAAAATAAAACTGAAAATTTAGTAAATAATATTTTTTTAATGATAAATATCTAAGAAATATAGATAAAGCAGTGTTTTATTTGTCGAATAAGAATTAGGTTTTGGAATCCATATATGGTTTCCCTATTAACTTTCAAATTCTAAGTGTAACCGAAACATATCGTTCCCAGATCGCAATAATTTTTTAAGTTGTTACAGTCAAATGGAAAAAATTAGAGGATATACGTATCTCAATTCGAACAAAAATTCGTCTATACTACCTACACCCTCAATTTATTACCAAATAATAGAGTAAAACCAGCGGACTTACGTA